AAAATGTATGCCTTCAGAAGATATTGCCAATACATTTGCATTTAAATTATTGCATTTTAGATATTTGCAAATCTTTGGCTATACTAACCATGGAATAGGAGGTACACCACTGGCTGCATTGGTTTTAGAATTTACTGGGTCACAGTACTGTAAAATGGGGTAACTTTGACCACTTTTTTTAAATGATGCCATTTCTTTACTAGATAAGTTAAACTTAAATTGAAACATGCAAAATACAGGTCTATACTCTAGCTTTACTCACCATATATTGCTTGCTCCTGCCTCTCATAGTTTTGATGTAATTTCAAAAAAGTGATGGTCTTTGTTACCCCAGCTCTTGGGGTTTCTTTGACCGGGTGGTAAAATTAATTTTATTTTTTGGTAAAATAACTCCAAATAACTCCAGGTTTTGGTGCATTGTAGTAGAACTCTTCTAGTTACATATGCAAAAGACAAATTTTAGGAAAGTGCCATAGTTTGCAAATGGGGGTGCCGCCCCCAAATGGGCGAAATGTGACCATCTAATGGCAGCCGTGATGGGGTAACATTGACCGGTTTGTAAATAAAGTTAAAATTACCATATATAAGACTCTGTAGAGTCTGAAACATAAAGAAAAAAACATTAATAGGTGTATCAAACATAAAATATGTTATATAGGTACCTATGGTAATTTTAACTTAATTTCCAAGCTGGTCAATGTTACCCCGTCACGGCTGCCATTAGGTGGTCAAAGTTACCCCATTGGGGGCGGCACCCCCCATTTACAAACTATGACACTTTCCTAAAATTTGTCTTTTGCATATGTAACTAGAAGAGTTCCACTACAATGCATCAAAACCTGGAGTTATTTTACCAAAAAATGAAAAAATTGGAGCGGGTACTCCGACGGGCTTCAAATAATAGCTCTTTTTCGTGGGTCACATTTTTAATTTTTTAACCTGTTAGATATGCAAACTTTTTAAATCTTTCTATTGTGTTACGTAGCCTCAGTATTAGGCCTTTGATGGCCATTGACAAAATTTTTCTATGTCGAATCGTTTTTGAGTTTTGGGGGTTTTGTTAAAAAAACAAAAAGTGGTCAAAGTTACCCCGCCGGTCAAAGTAACCCCATTTTACGGTAGGTCAGATGAGGCTGCAAAGCATGATCCACAATTTGATCATTTTGGTTGTGATGCAATTTTCTACTGCAATACCTGGGGTGTTGAAGATACCCTCATCAAAGTTGGTTCAGTTAGGATTTTGATGAAAATTATGTTTGCAACGCATCTTGAAGACTGCCAGCAATGCAACAACGCATGTTGAAGACTGCTGGCAATGCATCTTGAGTACTCTCAGCAATATTTTTGGTTTACTCTTTTACCAACCTCTGCACCCTGGCATGGGTTAGGTGCATGTTAACTGTGGACCAGAGGGCAGCCTTGCTCTGCACCAGGGACTGACTGACTGGAGAAAGGGGGGTTGCATGGGGACAGAGTTCGCATAGCAACTGTTATTAAGATCATTTAACCATTATAGTCTCTTGACAAATGTAGCACAATTTTAGTCTATAATGACAAATTTTCTCACATAAAACATAACCTACAGTCAAACTGGCATTCCAATTTAGATATAAAAGAACATGAGCTTTTGGGAAATTGGAGTACTCTGTCATAATCTAGAGTGCCCTATGTCACTACACCTACAATTCCAGTAACTCACTGCAGTAGACAGAATCCTATATTGACAAAGACACAGCTTCATCCCCAGCACTAATTGGTCAAAGTTCCTGTTGACAAAGAGATGTGGCTTCATGCCCAGCGATAATTGGTTGAGTCTGTCCAATGATAATCCAGTACTACCAACAGCTTTGTAATACCACTTGGCTTGATATAAAAGACCATAGTGCTCCCAATAATCTATGTCTTGTCCAGACCAAAGGATTATCAATGGATTTCCTATGAATGTTACTCATAAATAATACTCAAGAACTGTATTAATTGCACTATTAAGAAATAACCAATATAACTCATAATCATTGTACCATCAAAGAGGGTAATGAGGGACAATTTGTAGTGTTTTTAGCGCATTTTGTCATTTATGGGAAAAAAGGTGCTATTGTGCTGGCCATGTCCATCTGTCTGTCTGTCCGTCTGTGACTTCACGTTTTTGTCCACAAGAAAATGCTCTCTCACTCACTGCAGTGAGTCCCGAGTTACATTTTTTGTTAATAACTTCTTACTGTGAAACATTTCATAAACTAGTTTAGGCTCATTTTAAATATCTTTGCAACGGCTATCGTATGGCATCTCCAAAAAAATTCCTTATGCTATTTGCAAGGTACCAGACGCCAAAGAAAAGCGTCCCAAATTACCATTGAGAATGGGGATAATTCGGGACACTTGAAATAAAACTTAATTTTAAAACTTTTAAGCATGCTAAGTGTACTCATCCATTACTAACAGTAGGTACTCCAAAGTCCTCCTCTTCCTTTATAGATGATGTAGATGAAGAATAAATGACATTTTCTGTGATTTGTACTTGTTTTTCCTTTATTGATATGATATTACCATATCCATACATTACTATATTATTGACATGATACTATTACCTACTGTATCCATGGACATGCCATTGAGCATTGACAATGACCTTGTCCTCTGCAAGCTTTATATAACTATTTTGTGACCCTTCTCTACATAGGTTTTCTTTAAAAATTAGCCAGAAATTCATTATTTGCAGAAAAGGGTTGCCACAAACACTGAAATGACAGGCAATGATTGTTCTAACATATTCTTTTGTCAAATTGAATTCAGTGCAATTAGAATGCATGCCATGGGCCGGTCCTTTCTTACTCCGTGAAGACTGCGATCCTGTCTTACCTCATTTGACTAATATCAGCAGTCGGATAGCATTTCTTCTGAATCTGTAAGCTTACAGGACTGGGCTTGTAATTTTGCACAATTTTAATTGCCTGAAGTGAATTCATTTCAACAAAAACTTGAAGCAGAGAGGAATATTTTAGTGACAACCATAAAATTTTTTGGATAAATAAATTATAGTTTAGGTTAATTACTTTTCATTCTATGTTGCCTGGTGCACAATTCTATCTATGACACTCTATGTACAATTTTGTGATGACTGATGATGCATTAATTTTTCATTAAGTAAATTTTTTCACTGAGCAAATTAAATGTAATCAAAATTCTTTGTTGTTAATAAATATTTTCATTAAATTTTGAGATGAATGTGTCAACTAAACCAAAACAATATTGTAAAAAAAAAAATTTTCTTGATGATCTTTATTTGTTGGAACTAATAAATAATATTATTTATCATTTATTGTGGAACTAGTATTCCACTTGCAATTCCACCCATGCCTTGTGATTACCTAGTGATAATGATTTATATAGCTATTTTATTCCAATATATCCTTGACTGTAGTTCATGAGCCAAGACTCATTTTTTTCAGATATGGGAGCTGGATAGCATTTATATGGTAGATTATTTAGGAGATGATGCAGTCAAGATTTTAGTCTCATTTATGCTGGCTCATGGAGTCACTGCTGCCTGCTGAACAATCAACACAAGCAAGTATGTTCCTTTTTGTCAAGTTTCATACTAAGTAGTAATTTTCTAGGGATTCAATAACCATTATCATTGCTTCTTGTTAGTCATATATATAAAAAATAGAAATTATTTCCATTTATATCAAATAACATATATTTATATACCATGATCAAAATCATTTTTGTGTTTTATACCTTAAGCCTTGGACAGTTGGACACAAAAGTCATGAACATTCAATTTTTGAGGCTAGTGCAAGAAATTGTTGTAAATTTTGAAAAATGTATTTACTCCTGAGCATTATTTTCCCAATAGTTAACATTACAGTTAAAAAGTTGAACAAAGCTAGTCACCAAGCTATGTAGGTGCATTTTATATTACTTGATATTAAATAAGTATTCATATAATATATTTGCTTAAATTACAAATTACCCAAGAATTCAAAGGAAAAGAAAACAATCCTATAAAATTCACCATTATTTCATTATGATACCAGACACTTGTTCTGATACTAAAATTAATTTGCTTTCCTCATTGTTGTTGCTTTCACCTTCCCTTAATCTTTTTAAAAGCAATAGAAATCTATTCATCTGCAGTCAGTAATGTGCTGTGAATAAGATTGAAGGTAGAATTTTCCTTCATTTTTGCATGTCCAATTTTTCAGAAAATCAAATGGTTTTGAGCAAACAAGGTTTGAATATTGATTAATTATTTAGGTGTTATATCAATATATACAGTACCTACTTTGAATATGGAAATTTTTTTAAAAGATATGCTGGTGTAAATATATCTTAGAATTTATCATAAATTGTTGGATTAGCCTCAGAAATTAGAATTTGTTCTTAAATACTACCTCCCCCCCCTAAAAAAAGTGCATCAGTCTTGATCCCTTGACCAAACTTCTCAAGTGCTAGTATTTCTCTTCATAAGACTAGTGATGTTAGTATGATGGGTTGGTGAATGGTGATGTTAGTATGATGGGTTGGTGAATGGTGATGTTAGTATGATGGGTTGGTGAATGGTGATGTTAGGTTATGATGAGTTGGTAAATGGTGATGTTAGGTTATGATGGGTTGGTGAATTGTGATGTTATGTTATGATGGGTTGGTGAATTGTGATGTTATGTTATGATGGGTTGGTGAATTGTGATGTTATGTTAGGATGGGTTGGTGAATTGTGATGTTATGTTAGGATGGGTTGGTGAATGGTGATGTTATGCTATGATTATAAACCTATTGTTGCAATATCACACCTATACAGGTTAGCAATCCTCTGCCAATTTGAATGCATTTAATATCAATCCTTACCATGTTTAATAATTGAAACATTTACTTTTAAGAACAATTTGGGCTTGACACCATAAATTAAGCTGTATTTTTCATCGATTTAGAAATAAGTAAATGCAAACATTTACTGATAGCATTAGTATCTCATGTGGTAACATTGAGAGCAAGAATTAGAATGGAAATTGCTTTATATGTTGCTAATGTAATTTCATTTTTTTTTTTTCAGGGGGAATTTCAGTGTCCATCAAGAGATCTTGTAAAATTACAAAGTGCGTTCTAAGTTCAAGTGAATCTCCAAGTCACACGTCTCTGGCTGAGAATAAGACCGAAAATGTTAGTTTGAGGATATTTGTTTGTTCTACATTGTCATCCACCCAGCATCAAGAACAGCTCATCTCTTCTGTAAACCTGGTGCTTGTTGCTCACCAACAAACATCACATCTCAGTCATGCTTTCCTAAATGTTTTTTACCACAAATCATGCCTCTTCTACATAAGATTCTCTGCTGTGAGAATCATTTAGTTGCATCACTGCACCTGGATTCTTAAATTCGTGACCCACCTGTTCCATCTCACTTGTTTTCCCTTCTGTTTAATTTATTTTACACCATACAAATTAGTGCACAGTATCATGATGCTAAGCTTAAAAGAGACTGCAATGTTTTGATAAACTCACATGCAACTGTTAACACCACAATGCCTTCATTTCTACTCTCTTGATTACTGCAAACTACATCACACAAATGAAGCACTTTACCAAACTTTTGCCATTTATTTAGTGATGAATCCAGCTCATTGTCTGGACAGTAATCTTAGTTCTAACTGCCAGAAAAGAGATGATAACTGTGACACAATTAATTCCCCAGAAATCCATTCTAATGCAGTAAATACACTTGTGACACCTGAGGCATTAACCTTGGTTGAAGCTTTTGTCAACACTACCTCTAACTCCATTGGCTGCAATGCCCACAAAACTCTCCTATTATCTCAACTTCTAGCTAAAAATGCAACTATTCCTCAGTTGGCTCAAATTTCTCCTCTTTGTGAATCTTCATTAGTTGAAGCTTCTCATTTTCAGACATTGCAGGATTCTTCCAAACCCTGTTTGTTCAAAACTGTCAACGATGAGAATAGTCAACACTTACTCTTCTACACAAACAAGAGCATTCTTAATAACTCAGTTGCTTCACCTTACTGTGTGATTAGTGACAATGTGCAACACAGTACTGTGTCTGTACCACAACAGAAAACTTATGTTTTAACAAGCTCAAACAATTGCAGTGTGTCTCTGCCTTATTCCAATGTTCCCTCAATGGTGGCAAGTCCTGGCAGTTCTTTAATGATTGCTCAAGCTGAACATCACAGCTCCAAAGTATTTCTGAGTGACTCTACCAAAGGTGCCACACCTCCTTTATTATCCCCGCTATCACCTCGTCCTTATGCTCAAAGTTTGGTTTCTGTTGAATTGAGCTCTCCGTCTATTCTATCTGCCATTCCAACAGTTTGCCAGTCCTCTGTTTGTGACATTGACAGTTCTCATAGAGTTCTCTCTTCAACTCCTGCTGCTGATAGCACTTACATCCCCACGAGTGTGTTGGGTGTGTCTACATGCTCTGTCTTGCCGGGTAACTTGGTCCTCAGTGGGCCACAGGTTGGTGAATACTTTTGGATCTTTCTACTTGCCTGTCCTTCTGTATCCTTGCCAAGTTCAGTGCTTTCCCACTGGGTCATCCTTGCATGGACTACATAATCAATTAACCCTTCAAATCATTTTATGTGAACTTTATTTATTTTTATACTCCTCATTTTTTCCTATCAAAAAGTTTAGGATTGGTTGCTTCTGATTCTAATTTAACCTGTGAGCTGGACAAAAAATGATCTGTCATGGTTATTCTGTTAAAGGTATAAATTCTTAATTTTTTATATGAATTTTTCTTCCAAATTCACCAGTATTTTAATAATTTCAGTGAAATCAATTATTCAGTGTTGATCTTGTTAGAAAATTGAAGAATCGATTTATGAATATCAAAAATATTATGTAGCAATAAGGAATATGGACACTAAAGTTTTTCCTATCTAGGTTTATTCTTATTGATATAGGACTGAAAATTTTAAGTTTTCTGGTTACAGAAATAAATTATTACTCATCAATGTAACAAAAACTATGGGCTTCTTCTGTGCTCTACTTTGTTTAGGTTATTTTAAAATTATTGTCCTGTAGGTACTCGCTTTAACTCAAAGTGGAGGATATTTCTTTTTTTACTCTCAATTCAGCTTGCATTTCCATTGATTCTGACTGATATTTAGAATTCTGAATAAATAGCATGGGGACTAATGAATATAAATATTATTTTTCTCATCTGAGCAGTTGTACCATAGCTATAGTGGATACATTTGCTTATTTTTTGGAAACTTGACAGAAAAATGAGGCCAGAAGTCACATGTGTAAAGCAATTGATAACAAGATAGAAAATTTATTAAAAACTTGAGGTTATCCCCTTTGAATTTTATTTTTACCGGTATTTTTTTATTGGTACATTTGTATTAATTTTTTTGAAACAAGCGTTTTATTTGCTATGTAGATTGGTGGAAAAAGCATGTGCAAAGATCTCCATCTGTGGTTTGACTCATTCCTCTTGTTCTGTTATGCTGAGCATTTGTTTTGCTTCATAACTCTTGTAGGTACCATTATCGTTCATGTTTATTCTTGTCTTGCATCACTATGTCAGTCATCTGTTGCTTCAAGAGTCATAAATCCTGATTGCCATTTCTTCATCAACCTCTTCTTAAATGGCCATTATTTTTACCGTGCATTGCTTATCCATTGCTAAATGATGCCTCAAATAATTTTATATTACCTCCATCCTCAATATTATTTCTCACGAGTTGAAAAAGTATCCATTATTGCAGTTTAGATGAATCTTTTTAGAACAAATATATTTTATTTACATCACTTTCAGATGGCCTTATGGTTATATCATTTTTCAGACCAATGGAGTGGTGGCCGGTGCAGATCTCACAAGCAGCATCACAGGTGGTAGAAAGTCCCCCATGGCCAGTCCCTCGTCCACCTCCCTGTCCCCAGTGACCTCTTCCTTGCCCCTAGTATCGAGCAAGAACATCTCATCAGCCATGACCGTGAGTGGCGGTGGTGGTAAGCACGCTCTGCGTCAGCAGGCGCGCCGCCGCCGACGCAACACGTCCATCGCGGCAGGCAACTCGCCCCCTATAACGCGTATTACCATGAAGACGTTGTCAGGGGCACAGCAGCTGTGCGGGGCATCCCATGTCACAACACAACAACAGCTCTCCACATCGACGCCCGTGACGAGCTTGTTAACGCTGCCAACGTCACTGCCACTGCAACACCTCCAACAATTGCATCAAGCGCATCTGGATGTTTCAGCCGCAGCGCCCGTCATCACACTTCCCCTTACCACCAACGGCTTGAGTATCTCCAGTGCAGGCGTCATCTTCTCGAACTCGCTTAGTGCTCAGTACTCAACCCTCCTGAGTGCACGACCCTTAACTAAAGATATTCTCACCTCCACTCCACTGTCTCCTTCAGCAACACCGTCTGAATTACGCAATGCATCGCCGGGTATATTGTTCAATGCATGCAAGAGTGATGTTGAAACATCACCCGTGAGGTCCTTCCACAGCTCCATTGGATCTGATTTGAGCTCAATCGTAAACTCGGCCATCAATTCCGTGGTGACAATCAGTGCGCGTAATTCCAGCAATACTAGACTGTCGCCATCGCCTCTTGCTTCTCGTAACGCCAATACTACCCTCAAAAATCTTGTTGCTAATTCGAAATCATTTACTCTATCGAACAAAAGTTTATTAACCTACAGTAATAATGCCAAGAATAAAAGTTGCATTAGCAAACAACTCTCGGTTAACAAAGTGAGCAGCACGAAGGCCAGCACTTCTAGTGCTGTTGATTCCAATGTTTCGTTAGGCGTCACTAGTAAGCAATCCACAGCGCCCTCTAGAACACCTCGGTCATCTCAGCGCAGCAGCTCTAGACTTGCATGGACATCCATCGCAACACCCACCACGAGTTTATCTGTCACGCACACAACGACGACCACTACCACTCATGCCTCCACATCTTCCTTGTCCTCCACCACGAGCACGTCGCTCATCACGACCAACCCCTCATCCTCGTCTGCCAGCAGCACCGTTACCATCGTCCCAAGTACTACAGCCGTGCCCTGCGTCACCCCTCCGCCCCTAGAAGTTGTGTGTTGCAGCTCTACCACGACACCTAACTTGTCGCCGTCTCTGGCCTCTACCTGCGCACTAACTGGACGCGCGCTCAGAGTGTCGTCAGGGCAGAGCTCGCCATCATCGCTCACGGCTGCGCCTTCCACAATGCAGGATTATCTTGCTGCTATTCCTGGCTTCAAACCCAGGAAAAAGTAAGCTTTGAAAGCGAAGTATTTACTTGTTTGTTGTACAAGCTCGTTAACTCTGTACCATTTCGTTCTGAAGCTTATGACAATTTTGATCGATACATTCTTGAACTGGTCTCCTTCACCTTATTTCTGACGACAAACAATGTATTATAGTTTTGATAAGATGATGCCTTTTCTGCTACCATTACTGACTTAACCTCGTGTTCACGTCGTTGTTTTCATGAACAGGTCGGGCCGAAAGTTGAGCACCGCTGCCCAGCTGGCGCAGAGCAAGGAAGGAAACATTGACTTGGAGACGCCGGACTCGATCTTATGCGGCGTCAACCTGAGACCAACTCTTAACAACCACACCTTCACGCTGCTGTCCCCAGAGCAGCAAGCCAGGCTCATGCCTCTTATGCCTCAGCTAGACTTGGAAAACGTTGGATCAGTTAAAAGGTGTGTTATGATGACATCAAAATGAATATGTTGAAACCACCAGGCTCGTTCTTAGGTGATTTTTTTGTATTATCTTTCATTCGTTTCACTGAAATTTTCCGTTTATGGCTTTAGAGTACCGGTAACTTACACAAGTCAGATTATTTCATTATGCAGGTATTAAATGTTTATTATTTATTTCATTATGCAGCTTTATTACCGTCGTTCACTGCCCTGCTCTCTATTAGTGCCGTTCACTGCCTTGCTATATTTATGCCGCTCACTGCGAAAGCCTGCAACCAGAAAATAAAATTACACTAAAGAAACAGACACAAAGGCAAAATGTCGAGTGATATAGGAAAAAGGCAAAGTGTGAGGCATGTAACGGGGCATGCACTTGATGATTGCGCTCTGACACAGCAGACTCTCAATTACTCATGCCATTCAATCTGTGGCTTTCATTCACTGTGGATTGTCCTTGTGTCGAGGACTTTAGCGGCTAGGCAGGTTGTCCTGTTGTGGTTTGTCTCTCAGCTGGCATGAGTTACCGTAGCTCGGCGTCCACTCGTGTGTGCAGCGTTTCAAATTTGACTGCTTCACCCTTCAGGGAAACTGTCATTTGCACTGTCATGTTCTGAGGGACTGTCATGTCCACTCATGTTCTGAGGGACTGTCATGTCCACTGTCATGTTCTGAGGGACTGTCATGTCCACTGTCATGTTCTGAGGGACTGTCATGTCCACTGTCATGTTCTGAGAGACTGTCATGCAGGATGCTGGACACTTCATTTATCAAACCTGTACTGCGTCTCCTCTTGTGACTCTTAAGAAAGGCTGTAATTCCAAATAGAAAGTTAGGTACGATGTAGTTTCAGGTTGATCACAGCTTTCCCGTATTGCTTTAATTTAAATTTGCAAACTCTATCTACGAATCTCGATTTTCGTGCTTGGAATATTTCTCTGGTACATGTCTTGTATCTTATCGTATAATTATTTCAGCATGTAAATAGGGTCTGGGCTAACCTATACAAATTGCCTTCTCTAATTTTTTAGAAGAATCGTTCTTTATTTTTAGTTATTTCCTTTTTTCGTGTCCCTTTGAATGCTGGGGTGTGTTTCATTGTAAGAAATTTAAATCTAAAAATTCTGTAATCTTAAACTTGAATTTGCAATCTACATGAAACTTAGAGAAAAATGTTTTAACTTTGATGAACATGTTAGGATATAAGTTAAATTTATGAGTAACTGTCTCTCTTGCCCACTAACATTGGAACTAGTTCATTAAATCGTTTTTCAAGAAATAAACACTGGTTTGCTCCTTTTCAGTTGATGCCGCTGTAGTCGTTAGCCTTTTTTTCCTGCAGATATATTAAACTTATTCAACGCTATTCGTACTTAACACGTTGACTACAAAGTGGTAAATATGCGTACCACGAAATGTATTTCTCCAGGACGTAGTGGTACATAATTCAGGTTGCCTAAAATCGGCCAAATCCGAGAACAAAAGAGGCCAAAAAAGGCCGACAGCTCAAAATATACTAGTTTATTTGTAGGTTCCACTATAAAAATTCCATTCATTTTCTTTTTTGCAGTATTTAAAATTTAATTAGGAAGTACCCCTATCATAAATTTTGCCGGCCAACGCAATTGAGAAAAACTAAATCACGGAATTAGTCCGGAAAAAATGACCGTCTGGCAACCCTGTTTAAAAAACAGCACAAAAAATGAAATAATAGTACAAGATGAAGCAATCGTGAAGATGAAGCCTCTCTGATAGCATCGTTGAAGCTCCGAGTATGAACATCTTCAAAAACAGACTAGATGAAGCTATGCAGGAGCATATGTTCAGTCTTAAAATGCCTAGCAAATTACGGAGCAGGCAATAAGTCCAGCAGCTAAATCAATCAATCGTCAGTTATGGAAAGATCGTTACAAAGTTCGAAACTTGATGCAAATCAAATTTTCCTCCAAAATGGTTATTCGCCACCGACCTCTTTTCTACTCGCCCACTATTTGCTACGTGGTGCAGGATATCTTCTTTCGTGCTCCGAATACATCGTCATGCATCCTGAACTCTCGGGAATATGATTCAGAGCTGAAATAATCTCCGCCATTAGTTATAACTCTGCAAAAATTGCTAAGAATGAGGAGAGAGAGCCGCTCACACCTCTCTGCTATAGATATTTTCAGAAATCGTTTATGCACGGTGAACTAGACTATTAAATTTGTTCAATTTAGCGCTGGAAACTAATAATTATGAATAATACTGTGTGCTCATAATTTGATTCATATGCTTTTTCCTTTATCTAATCGAGACACCAAAGGCATTTCTTCTCTTATATAAATTTTATTCGTATGGATTCCTTAACACGTTGACTCCGAAGTGGTACATATGCGTACCACGAAATGTATTTCTCCAGGACGTAGTGTTACATAATTAAGGTTGCCTAAAATTGGGCAAATCCGAGAACAAAAAAGGCCAAAAAAGGCCGATAACTCAAAATATACTAGTTTATTTGTAGGTTCCACTATAAAATATCCATTCATTTTCTTTTTGCAGTATTTAAAATTTAATTAGGAAGTACCCCTATCATAAATTTTGCCGGCCAACGCAATTGAGAAAAACTAAATCACGGATTTTGTCCGGAAAAAATGACCGTCTGGCAACCCTGTTTAAAAACAGTACAAAAAATGAAATAATAGTACATGATGAAGCAATCGTAGTCAACGTGTTAAAAGCCTAGTGACGTCAGTCACCAACAAATTTCGACCCTGTGTGTGCGAATAGTTTTAATGTCCTCAATACGTCTTGTACCTAAGACTTTTAACTGAGATTAAAGGGTATAAAATAAATGTATTTAGTTTCAGACTGGCGTCCGGCAGCCTGAATAACGAATTTTTCGGTCGGGCGTGCGAGTCGTGGCGATGTCGTCTCAACGCCGGCGAGTTCACGCACGACAGTCAAATGAAGATGAAGGCTGAGGTCGAAAAAGAGAGACTCAAGCTGGACCCTTGGAAGGCGAGTTATCTGGTGTACGATGGTGCGCTGTACGGCCAGTCATTCCAAACCTGCGTGCAGTGTGTAATTCTAGAGGGGTATTTAATTGATCACTACACGCAGCATATTGGTAAGGCCATCACACAAACAATCACAGTCTGGAGTGGATGACATCACAATCCCACCAACCAATCACAGTCTGAAGAGGAAGATATCACAATTAATCACAGTTTGGAGATGGTCTTGCATCTGCCATAAATGAGATAAGCTGTATGCACTATCCTAGAATTCCAGGGTGACAATCTATCTCTTCAGCCGTGTATATGATATTGCCTACATGAAGGATGTTATAAGCATAGTATCATGTTTGACCAAGAATGGGCCCTAGCCTGGACTACTTATGCTGGAACACCGGTCTTTCACTGGTGTACGTAGTGATGCTTGTACCAGTATTTGTAGTCAACGTAATGAGAAGTATGAATATATGTTCAGCTAAAACATGAACGACCATAATGCATTTCTATTTCACTCTAGTGATTTATTTTAGTTCAGTTTAATGATGTAATTATCTAACGACCGATCTGCTGCAAAAGACCAGTTATTCGGGATTTAAAATTAGTAAATATTGAATTAGTTTTATTGAACATGAATTCGATAGAAGCGAAAATTTTAATTATTTTAATTCATTATAAACAAATTTACACAACAGACAGAATATAATGTACCGATTCAATGTTTCTGTTTACGCTTGCTCGGGTGCTTGAAGCGAGAGAACAGCGTGCTAGCTGTCCATGCTGCTCCATGCGATTTATCTGTGTCTAGAATTTTTGAACTGAAGGTGGAGCTGGACTCCGAAACGTTTTCTTTAAAGATACATACTATGAATTTTTGTGGAGTTATCTTTGCTTTTAAGTTTTTAGTGAATTTGCGATTCAAGCAAACGAGTGACATTATTACTTAACTGTGACTGTGTCTATTTGTTTTTCGCTTGCCATTAATCTTATGTGTGACGTGCCCTGGAAGTTCGTTTGAACCAGACTCTACGATAGATGCTTTGTAGAATAATAATAATAATAAGTTGGTATATTTTGCTCGCGCAGGTTGCACACTTTGAGCCAGTGTGGGGCGTGAAGCCGTCGGCTCAGCTGCCTCCTCTCTTCACCAGCCCTGCCTTCTCAAGCGGCCGCTCCAGAGGCTTTCAGTCTTCAAAAGTCTCATCAAATGCCAAATTAAAAAACTCTCATCCTCCGGACAAACTTTTGTTGATATTGAAATTATTAGCCGAAAGAGAATCGAGTAGGAAAAAAGCTTCTGAACCTGAATCCCTTGAAGATGAGAAGATTGCTTGCAAGCTGGAAGATGACAAGGAGGCGTGTTCTAGTGACTGTTTAATTATCCCGTCCAATATGTTGATGAATGACGAAGACTCTAACCATGAGGACTTGTTGGCAACGCGTATCAAGGCAGAGTCCTTCATTGACAGAGTTGATCACATCCCAAATTCCTCTATCGTCCCCTTTAAAAACGATCATGCAGTTACTTCCGTTTCGTGCAAACGAAAAAACTCATCATTGGTATGGAGTAACTCTATGAAAAAAATGTGCTTATCATCGATTGTGAGTGATGCACATTCAAGAAAAGTTTCTGATATTGAGTTAATTGCTGTTTCTTCGAATGTGTCGTCTAGTCTCCGCGCGGTTTCTGTTACGTCTAATGTAACGAACCTGTGCGATTCAAGTGCTGAAGAACCACCTGTGGTTGTTCCGTCAAGTTCTGATCGTGCAATAATGCTTTCATCCAGTTCATCGGAATCAATAATTCGCTGTACATCTCCTAATCAGCCTGGTACTGCTTGTTCAACATTAGACAGCTTGTCCCTCACGGGAGAAGTGAACATAGTTCGGTCGGACTGCACCATAACACGCGTGACAGCGCCCGGTGGTAGCTCAGGCAGCAGTTTTGCGTCGAGCGTTCCTGGTTTGGTGTTGCGAAGTAGCGCTGGCAGATCCGTGGGGCTGTCTTCGCCTAACACTGTCACAATCAAACCATCTCTCAGCTCTCATCCAACCAGACTGGTAAGCTCTCATCAGATACATATTTTGATCAAAAATTAACGGTACTGCTATTCATTATAAACTACGACTCTTGCTATGTCCTTCCTTGTTGTTTTGTTCCTGACTAATTGAGGGTCAGCATTTTTATACCTATATTTTTACGATGGTACACTTTCTGTTTGCCTGCTCATTTTTTTATAACCTTCTGTTATTTAGTCACATTCCTTGAAACATTTACAAAAATTTAAATAACTAGGGGTAACAATACTCAAGGGGGGAGGGAAGGGAAGGTTACGTTGACTCTGCCAATGTGTCACTTTTTTTTAAGCCTGATAGCAATGTGCTACTTAAGTCAGTCTTGAAATACATGAACCTTTTCAGAGCGCACGTTTGAGCGGCCGCAACCTCCGCCCCACCAACACTACAGAGAGCACAGCTTTGTCACCTCAGAAATCGAGTTGCATTTCTCTGCCTGAATTTTCATCTGAATCTTCTAAGTGCTTCTCTAATGCGTTGTCCAGTCAAACTTCTCTGCAGTCACTTCAATCATCCCGGTCACACTTGACCATTGAACAGCTTCCTTCCTCCAAGTCTATCACGTGCCCCGTGTCCTACGTGTCGGCGCTGCCCCAGGTCACAATACACCCCGTACCTCCCAAGACTACAGCGGCTACCACTTCGTCAGCTCCTCATCTTACTTCGACCATCACCTTTACGAGACTCAACTCGGCACTTTCCGCGAGTACTTCTGCTACCGAAAGTTCCTTACCTAGATCAGTGGCAGATGTTTCTTCCGCGGGTAGTCTTCTTGTTATTAGAAAGATACCTTCATCAGTTCCACAGATGGTGAGATATTCTTTTATCTTTCATGAACAAATTTCCTTGTATACATTTATGATCTTTAAATGTGTGACTTGAAACATTCTTAACGATGTTATTTTCAAGGATCTAGTATTTCAATTTAGGCCAAATATATTTTTGATACATATCTCGTCTTTTTCAGAGTGAGTCAAGTGCAGAAAAGGCGAGTCTGTCCAATGTTAGTGTGAACAGCAGTCGACCCATTGCCATAATCCCATACCAGCAGCCGACGAGCAACAATGTTCCTTCTGCACATCCAACCTTCGCCACTCCTCCCGTCTTGTTAAGAGGTTTACGACTCTTCAGAATAGCAGAACCTATAACTCAAGCAAGTGAAGCCTCGTGTAGCGTGGATCCTTCCAACCAAACATTGCTTGTTCCTCGTTTAAACACATCTGCCTGCAACGAGGCCTCCCCTCAGACTGGGCTGATATCTAGTATGGACGGCTCGACTATGCCAAGCGCGCCCGCAGTTATAGACGTCGTTAATTCTAATATTTCTTCACCTGGAAATTTGTTTTATCATGGAACACCTCCGCGTGCTGCGTCTGTGCCTCCTAATAAAACTTCTCTGGTGACTGTCTCGCCCAGACCGAACAGTGTTGGACCTCAACTTATGTTGGCCTCTCCTTGTTCGCATGTTGGTGACTCGCAAACTGTTCATTTAGTTTCTCCTTCTGGCATCCTCTTGACGCCCAACATACAGGACCAAGTCACAGATTTCCGTGTTCCTCCTCAAACTATCATTGTTGCCTCGAGGTCTCCAAGCACTAACACGAGTTCTGGTCATGTGACCATTGCTAATCCTGCGCATTCAGCTGTTGATGCAACTTCTAATATCATCAATGTTGATACAAATTACGTAAGATCTGTGAGTAGTAGTGATACGAACACAATTCCTCATTTTGGCACACCTAATACTTTAATTACGTCTGTTCCCGGCAGTCATTTTTTATCCAAATGTTGCCCCAGTCCCGATGAAGATAGAGGACTGATTCGTGACGAACAGAAAGAAATTCCAGAAGTTGCTCACGAAATTTCTACGACACATGAGGATATCGTGAAGCTCCATTCACCTGTTACTGATGTAGAATCAATTGCAGCTGAAGAATTGCCACTTCAAAATACTGAAGATCAAGACGAAAAGGAAGAATTGCCCCGAGGTCATCTACAACTTCGCTTTAGCAAAAGTCAGCTGGAAAGGTTTAGAGAGGAGTCTTCGGCGCGGTCTGTGGCGTCTGACGACTTGTCAGAGTACACGGACAAAAATACGGACGTCTTCGAGGACGAAGACGAAGAGGAAATTGAAGAGGATGAAGAAGATGAAGACGAAGATGAGGAAGAGGAAGACGTAGATTTTTCTGGATTAACTAATACCGAGTTCGCAGCGGAGCAGTTTCAACATTTAACAGAACAAGAACAGTTGCAATTAAAACAACTGCAAGAACAACAGATTCAACTTGAGCGCCAGATTGAGCAGCAACAGCAGCTACTTCAACTTCAACAGCAGCACCAGGCCCAGCTGCAGTATCTTGGAGATCCCGATGAAGATCAGCACGGTTTTGTGGAGCGCCTAGACGGTTATGACGACCATGATGATAGAAGCTCTGGGCATTACTCATTGAAACGTTCCATACAAAACTCCAAGGAGCAAGAAGTTTATGATGTTGAGGATGACGATGAAGTTGCTGGTTCTCATGAATCTGAAGCAGAACATGAAATTGTTGAGCTTCATGATGAAGATGATGATGGGCCCGAGGACTCTTCTAAACATCAGAATCTGCTGTTCGATGGCGAGAATGTTCATGAATCATCTGAAAATATCGATGATAATTCCATGGTCGTAAATAGTTCCCATGATATTGATATGTTGGATAGTAATGACGCCGTGCCAACTGTCGTAGACTTGGACTTGAATGGAACGGAATCACAGCTCGTTGATACCGAAGAAGATAAAAGTTTGAGTGCTCCTCCTGGTGACAGTGATGACGCAGCCGCGATGGCCGAGGTCATGGAAGTTGCGTTCTCTGATAAACAAGAGGATACTGACGAACGACAAGAAGAAGGGAGCACCAAAGAAGCAAACAAGCGTGACTTGTTCAGTAACACAGTTTCCAGCATGTCGTTGCGTAGTAGTAGGAGAGTTTCTATTAATAAAGCGATGCAATCTTCATCCGATCGTAGCAAAGGTAAAAAGTCGTCGTCTTCGCAGGCGATCAACACCACATCAATACAGGATGAGATGCAGTTGGAAGAATCTCATCATCTGTACGATGATTCCAATTCATGCAAAGAAGACGAAACTCCTGATTCATCTGAGCGTCAAGTTTTGCAGCCAGGCGAACAAGAACCTTCTCAAAATGATTCTTTTTGTGACAAGGAAGACATAGACTGTGTTAATGTCGCTCAATACGAAGTTTTCGGCAAAGACAACAAGATTCTTTGCAGTGACAGAGTCGTAGTTCAACACTCGCCTGGAGTTGTGAAAGGAGAAGATGACGAAGTGAGCTCCCTGCCTGATTTAGACGATTGTAATCACGACATGGAGGAACTTGGTAGCCTACAGAATATCGACGATTGTTTATCAACCATAGAATCTCTCGAGAACCTTGAAGATTGTCCATCCAATTTGAACTCCCTCGATCAAATTGATGATTATCCTTCAAATATTGACTCATTTGAAAACATTGACGAGTGTCCAAGCAATATTGATTCATTAGATCAGATCGACGATTTACCATCTACGATCGACTCGCCTAACAATTTGGATTCTTTCCCTGATGAAGAAACTAGACAATTTGATAACTGCGACGGCGCTTCTGGTAATCTGCAAAAGGAGAATAAAAATACCGCATCTGAAGACAACCCCGTTGCTGTAAACGCAAGTCATCCAATTCAAGATCAAGGCGGCAACGGCCAAACTTCTGAAGTTTGCCAAGTTAAAACTGAAGACTTAGAGACTCATACTAGCGACATGAGCATGATTGATGATGCTGGTTTGTCTCAAAGTAACGTGTCCTTGGATGAAAGTGAAAACAAACTTGAAAATCCGGAGTCTGTTGAGCTGGAGTCCCACGAGATAGAAAGCTGTGCCATGGATGCACAGGAAGGCCTTGACGTGTCTCCTTCATCGGCTGATGGCGATCAATGCATTTCCTTGGAAGCTGACGCTGTTCGACAGCAGCAACATGAGCCATTGATGGCATGTGCTGTGGTGAAGCAAGAAATGCCTGACATACCGCAACAACTACACTTCACTGGGCAAAGTTACGTCTCACCACAGCATCAGCAGCATCACCAGTTCCAGCAGATGAAGCCTTTGCCTCAGCAGCACATGATGATGTATGGTAAACAGTTCATCAACTGTAACCCTGGCGGTATGCAGCCCATGATATACAACATGAATGCTGTTATGCCCTCGCATATGAACAATCAGATGATGACAGGCCACATGACTGCCAATAATATGGAGTCTGCCGCCATTGGATCCAATGGTTTGTCCAACCACGTCAACATGGGCCACATGATCCAAGTTGTGGGTTCGAATGTCATGCGTCCAAACATGGCCAATGCTATGATGACAGGACATGTGATTGGCCCGAACCAAAGATTCCCGGGATTTTTCAACAACATGCAGCAGAACATGAACAGCGCGCATATGCATATGCACAATCCCATGCACATGAACTTGAATAATGTAAATTCTCATGCTAACATGAATGGCATGCAACCTACCGTGGTGAATGGTGGCAATGGTACCATGATGAACATGGGTAGCGTGGTGGGACCAATGGGCAACCAGAACTTCGTTGCGTCGATGAATGTCAATAAATTCGCTAACTCAACGGCGGTGTTAATGAACATTTCCCCTCCAATGATGCGCAGTAGTAACAATAACGTTTCCCCTCCAGCGATACGCACTAGTAACAACAACAATAATGACCACAACTCGATAGTACCCCACGGTATGGATGATACAGAGTGTGGTGGTCAGGTGGACGACGGATCTGCGGATGACGGCTGTCCGTGCAACATGAAGGCTATGGTCGTGTGTCTGAAATGCGGAGCGTTTTGTCATCACGACTGCATGTCCCCTGGTCGTCTTTGTGGCACGTGTTTAGTGAGATAAGCTCTCTTCCCCGGGCATTTTGCCGGGGTTTGGGCGAGTAACCTTGAGCTTTACAAGACTACCACGCAGGGCTGGGATTATAGCAAAGCATTTCCTGCTCGTATGAGGCGTAGGGGTAAACTCAACCAGAAACTGAACAACTTTGTTCGAATAAATGCATCGCTACTGCCACTAAGAATGGTTGTGTTATAGAAGTTCCTACATCCAGCCCCTCTTTCTTTTCGCTTCTTCTGAAAAGCTATCGATTTTGTGTCTGATCAAGCAAAGAGAACTCAATAAAAGAGGCTGTGCAATACGTTTAAATGTCTGGAAGGGTTGTGCAATAATCCTGTAAAAGCCATCATCTACTCGGACATCGCATGAAAATACAGCATAGGAAAATCTTTCTGCTGCAATTGTGTTGATGCAGCGGCTTTACTATTGAAATGCTGAACCCATAGTTATTGCAGCTTAAACTTGGCGCAATGAAACTTGTGCTTAGCTCGAAACTTCGACTAATTTTCTTATTCAAATTTATCCCCTACATTATTTTCGTCTTGGAATTTTTTCAATTCAATTTGAGCGAATTTTTCGTGCTTTTGACATAGGTAATTACTTTTTGATCGACAAAAAGACTATTTGTTTTGTCACTGTTATTAGAAATATATACTCTTTTCAATGCCAGATCAGAAGCAGAAATTATAAAATGATTCGCCCTCTGAGAACTCTGATAGAAATCTCCTAATGCGATGCTAATTCAAAACTTTCATTATAGACATGCAAATGTTTTGGACAAAAATTGTTATCGTAATAAGGTTGTATTCCGTAATAGTACCGTTCTTTATACTATCGTTCTTTCATTGAAAACTCTGTCAGATATTAAATTACGTGAATCTTTGTGTGCTCATTCTTTATACTTAGTGAAATTCAACAAGATTTAGTATCATTTAAGGAATCGTTCTTTTTGGAGCTAATATAGGTTTAGCATGCCTAAACTTGAGATCTGCGTTATGCCGTGTTGCAAGAAAGCTTTGCTGCATATCTCAATAGAGACGATCTCTTGCACTCAAAGTTCATGTGTTTCGTAAAAGATTTTGATCATTGATGCGGTATTGTGTCTTTTTTTAGCGCATTTTCTCATTTATGGAAAAAATGCCCTATTGTGCTCGTCATGTCCGTCTGTCCGTGACTTCATGTTTTCGTCGACGAGAAAATGCGCGCTCTGTCACTCACTGCAGTGAGTACTGAGTTATATTTTTTTAATTTGGCGCTAAAACCTAAATTGGATTTACTCATAATTGTATGTTAAACATAAGTGTGATTAATCTGAGGTGGAACTTGCCTATCATTTTGTGTGCGTGCAAGAACTGCTAACATGTTAGATATTATCATCGACCGACTGCCAGGGGAGTTATTCCTTATCATCACTCTGAAATTGCAGTAAATTAGCTGAGGTGTCGCAGTGAATATATACTCGCTGCCATGCAAATCAGATTTGCGAGAAAATTTATAGCGTTTAATTCATCTTAAATATCGATTATAAATGTGCTATGGCAATGTGGATGAAATTTATTAAAATTGTCTATCATTTCGTTAAGAATTGATGGTGTTTTTCATTGAGCGATGTCATTTTCGTGACCAAGAATGACTTCTTTATTAATGAGATTTCGTTAGGTAAGTAAGTAATTTATTGAGAACTGTTAGGTTCTTAAGAGAGCCGATAACCAATTACCGTATTCGATACAAATGAACCAAATGCTTACAAATGTTTATCAATGTTTCAGTATGAATTGTGTGTATGTTCTATTTTTGTGTATATTGCGGTTGTAACTGCATTTCTTTCCAATGAACGGCATGTGCAATGTTGTCATAATATTTTCGTTCTACGAAAATGACGCTATCGGTACTACGTATTGATGTTGATATGTGCATAAATTCACTCACAAATAAGCTCTTGTTGACTTTGTTGTTTGAGAATGACGTGATGTTGGTTGCTTCGTCTATGTAGATCTGATGTGTCTTGGGAGCAGGCTTGGGGCGTCCTATAGCTCAATAATGCATATGATCGCTTATCGCAGCAAGCTCTCATCAGCCCCAAACAGCCACTTGTATCCTAAATATTAATCGCTGATTTGCAATCTTCTGAAGGATATTCTTTTTTAGTAATGAGCTATAACTTAACTTGATATAACACGAGGTTCTAAAGCTTGAGACGAGCAAACGACTCGTTGTTAACTCGAGCTTGGCTGTTTTGCCGCACTCTGTGCCAGCCGCAAGGCCCTGAAGGCTCCATGTCGGCTGTCGGAAGCTTTGAACTTTCTACATCATTCCAGAATTGTAGTGAAAATCATTACTGCCTAGATATACGCGCTATCTAGCGCTTCGTTCATTCGAGCCGCAAAAGAAAACAATGTAACTAATAATTCCTTTTTAGAGCCCTTGGTAGACTCTGAGAACTTCTTTGTTCAGCTAAGTATTTCTCTAACGGACTGCTAATATCTTTCAGACCATTGCTGCATAATGACCAACAACTTGCATAAAATTTTATCATGATGCTAGATCACTAATCAGATTTCAGGCCACAACTCTATGGTAATAAAGCAACTCAATATTTAATTATTCCACAGACATATTAGTCAGCGACCGTTCACAGAATGCAGAGTAGCGCAAACTACGCGACCTAGTCTGTCTTGTATCTCGTTTATTGTACTCCTATATTCCGTGTTGACAGGAAAACCAAAGTGCCGTAGTTTTCTTCTGTTTGCTTGTCTAAGTTCGGTGTACATACTCTATATCTCGCCCACCATGTGATTGCTCCCGTACCTTCTCTTCTCTCCCTGTAGCGTGTACAGTACTGCGTATTATGCGCTACGACGACTTGCTCACTTCAAACTTAAATGCATGTTAATCTAAATAAACTCTTCAATTCATACCCATGTCTTCACCGTTCGTACAATATATATTTTAGTATAATTTACAAACTAGAATTGTTTGGCAAGCACCACCCCTCAACGATGTTTCAGTCAGGTTTAGATAAACAAATTGATAAGTGTGTCCATATAATTCAGCGCGTTGGTTTGTTTGTTTGTCCTGAATCTGTTGGTGCGATTCAAAATGCATTATCAATCTCCTCGAAAATGTTACTCCGCATAATAGTATTATCAGCGCTGAAATGCACCGTTACAAAATTCCCTGCTGTTTTAAACGCTTAAAATTGTCACATTTTCTTCAAACTTTCGAAACTTGAACTATCTCGAGCTGCTCATTCCTCCCTGGACTCTCCGCTCGTCCGCCACGACTCTGTGCTTGGTCATGTAACAAGGGTACCGCCTCTCTATTTTTGTCAACACTTTTGTTTTGTTTTACGACATCCCTTTCTTCCTCATTTCTTCTCTTCGCTTCAGTTATTTCCAGATTTTTGTGATTTGTTGATTATTTTTATTTGTTGGCGAGAAAAATCATAGTGCTCCTTCGCTCGATATTTATCATGCTTCTGTCCTTGTGTCGTATATACTTTAATACTTCATACCAAAGGCTTAATGATGACTAACTATTGTATTTAATTCGTTTGAATCAACGCTCTATTTTTTCATTAGTTTACTTCACGAATATCAAATCACAATAGAAATTATGTCTTGGATGTTTGTTAGTTTCATTATTATGATTATATGAGTTGAATTTATGATGCGTATGATCAGTGTCAAGGCATAGTTTGTTACGACTTCATTCAAGCTACAAAATTACGCACCTTGTCCATTAGATTTTTTTCGGGTGTAATTGTACTAATAATAAAAAGGATTAGTTATCTGTAATACTGGTCTTTTAGGATGGTCGTTTCAACTCATTTTTCATTGTCAATAGCGAATAATTATTATTAACATGTCTAAGGTTTTTGTAGTGAAGTTGTTGCGCACATCGAATTGTTTACTGGCTTAGCTGTGCTGTACTCTAGGCAGAGCTGTAGAATATGTAATTTATATGTACATACAATGCAGGTGTCATTAGTTAGCCAATATTGATTGACAACACAAGGCTAACATTTCGCTGTTTCTATTTTTATCGTGACCTTGATTATGAAGTATCTTAACTCTATCAGTTCTCTATTTCGTGTGATCATAGTGCTACTATTGATCGACTTTTCCTGTAAATATTAATTTTCAATATCCACTTGTTCTTCATTACCATCGAAATATTGACGGTCTGCATTTTATTTGCAAAGCTTTTACCAGTATTCAATCCTGATCATGGCTTGTTCTGCGCCTTCATTATACAGAGGTACAGTTATAATATAGCGGTTTCAGCGTTTATTAGGCCGTAGACCTGTCGCCGATTCTTAACATCGCAGAACATTCACAGCATTTTGCGGTCTCGAACGCGCAACTGGCTGCTGCAATTCTGCTGTGCTTAACCGCCCGGCCTCCTCGCCGATTCTGACCAGAAACTGGCGCACAGGAGCTGGGATCGAACCCGCGCCTCTCTGCACAAATCTTGGTAATCTGTGTAACCACTGGGCCACCCTGCGACGAAATTATTCATAGACCCATTTGTTCTTGATGTTGTTTTTAATAACTCAAAAATTAATGAAAACATGAGCCTAAGATTTGAATGAACTAAGCAGTAAGTAATAGAGAAAAAAATGCTACATTTTCAGAATAAAATGTAGTTTCAAAACGTTTTAACATGCCAAAATTCCCCAACACCTTCAGACATGTATAATTTATTTGTAGAGCAGAGATGGCAGAATGTAAGAATTTTTTCAGTTGGGATAAATATTTTAAGCATTTAAGTTATTGATTATCGTTTCATGGGCCTCTTGAATGAATGAGTGGAGTAGGAACTAGAAACTCCACAAATGGACATTTTTTGGTAGCCGTCATCACTATACACCGAGTACGACAATAACAACGTTATTAATGATAGTAAAACTGCGTCTATATTGTGGGTTGGATCTAAAGAAATAATGACACGTAAATTACAAATTCACACCTCGAGCATCTAGGCAAGTCAAGACCGATAATCTTCGCCGTAAGCAGCGACTATCGAATGCTATTTCATATATGAAGTAATGTAAGTAGGCAAAAGGTTTCGGCACATTAACTTCATTAACTTTAACAGCACAAATCATCCTTTCACATTATTGTCCAACCACTGTGCTTGCAGTCACTTTCGATTTCGATAAGATTTTTTTGCGCAGTTCTATGATTTGAGTACGACTCCACATGTGACCAATGATTTCCAGGTAGTAAGCCTACCTAGTACAGAAGACACGTGCACCGCCAGGGCTGTGTATAATCGGGAAGATACTTACGTAAAATTGAAAAATATTAAGTAAATTTTGTAGACTTTGTCAAATTTTGTTTCAGCAATATGTCAACTCGTATTTGTGCTATTGCCGCCTGCTGTGAAGGCGGAGGCATAGGAAAAAACGGCGATTTACCATGGAGGCTGAGGTATGTTCTAGTTTCTGATCCCGCCCTTCTGTTGAAAGATCTCAAATTTCCCGTAAAACTACCCCAATCACGAAATTCTCCTATTGTTACCAGTTATGAATATGTGATTTATAGTTACAGATTCCTAATTTGGCTTAAATTTGGTATATATAGTTGATTAGGTAAAATGAAATTCTTCGCAGGCATACAATGTTGTTTTCTTTCTTTACTTAAATCCATTTCTTTTGGTTCAAACTGGAAAAATACCCTAATTCAGGGTAGTTTTACATATGTCGGTCGTGCGAATGCAGTGACAGATGATAAGCAGACCCGCTTACATTCTCGCAAAAATGGGCGCATTTGTGCTAATGATGACGCTTTTTGTGACTGGTGGTTTTGGTACAAGAGTTTCAGATAAAATATATGAAGACATTCAAGGTAACATGGCCTGTTTTAAACGCTTCAATGGAACTCATGAAGTTGGCTGTACGTCCGATTATTTCGGCAATGTAGGCGTTTTGTATATCCCAAAAGACGTGAGCGACGTTCACTGGGCGGTAACAAGTGGACCTCATGATTCCTACATTCTAGCAGTGGAGCCTGAACTCTTTACTCGTCAAGTGTTGATGATAGCCAAAAATTCGTCTAATGTTAGAGGCATTATTGTTCTACATTCAGAAGATGCCAATATTCCCAAAGAAGAGTCACCAGCTGATACATGCCCCTCCCATGAATATGGCTTGTACAATCATTCATCTTCATCTAAATATGCAAATTATTGTCCATCAACTGAAGCTTGGAATGCCATTGGAAACTCATTACTATTTGAATCTTTTAATTTCCCAGTGTTTTTGATAATGGAAAATCAGTCCATAACTTCCATCAAGAACTGTTATGAAGAATTCAGTATGATTGATTCAAACTCAAAGCAACTACAAGATTGGCCCCTCTGTGCTCTACAGTTACACTCTAATATGTTTGGCACAACCAATACTGAGGTATGCCTTAGAAGGAAGAACAACAATGTCTTACAACCTGTGAATTACTGTGATCCTATTCATGATTATAATATTGTAGCAAGTTTGCTGCCTATGGAAGGAGACCTGCAAGATTCATCTGTTATTGTTGTTGCTGCTCGTGCTGATGCTGCATCCATGTTTGATAACATATCTCCTGGCGCTGATGCTGCCGTTACTGGACTCATCACACTCTTGGCTGTGGCTGAAGCATTGGGTCGCCAACAAGGAACTGCCACAATGAGAAAAAATGTTATGTTTGTTCTCTTTGAAGGTGAAACTTGGGATTATCTTGGCTCTACCACTATGACTTATGATATGAGCAATGGAAATTTTCCTTTTACACCTCGAGATGAAACTGATCAAGTTAGCCAATTCAATTTTACTCACATTGACTTCTTTCTTGAACTATCTCAATTGGGTATTCACAAAGGGGCAGAAGAAACTCTTTTGTACTTGTATAATGATCCCATCAGTAATGAAATCCCATCTTTATCTGCATTGAATAAAAAGATTTATGATGTTTTGAAAGAGAAAAGCAAGAAGTTCAATGTAACGGTTGATAAGCCTGTGGATCAAAATTCAGCCGATTTTCCTCTTCCTCCTTCAAGTTTTCAAAGTTTCCTAAAACATTCAAATATGTCTGGAGCAGTATTAAGTGACCATGCTGGAAAGTTTTCCAACAATTACTATCAAAGTTATCTTGATGACTACAAAAATGTTAAATTCTTTGGGAATGTTAATGGCACTTATGATTCAGACATGCTGCACATTCACATTGCTCGCATAGCCTCTACTGTGGCTTCAGCTGTGTTTTCACTTGCAGCTGAGGACGCAAGTTCTTCATCAGATGTAAAGGCTGATGAAATGCTCATTTCAGATTTACTTGTGTGCTTCCTTCGTAACGTAAATTGCACATTGTTCAGAGAGCATGCAGGGCGTACTCTCCAGCTGTACCCTGGCTACTTTCAAGAACAGCCTGCAAAAATGTATACTAGTGTTTATAGAGGAGAAGATATCCTAACAAACATCACTCTATACCTTATGGGGCATTTCTTAGGCACTGAAATCAATGAAGGAAAAAATGAATGCTGGTCTAATATTACATCTGCTATCCAGAAATTCTACTTGCCACTTATTGGAGAAAATGGCACCTGCTTTAGTTCAACTGCCAGACTTCACAGTGCTGATAGCCCTGCTTTTACTATTCCTGGTTATGATTTTGGTTCAGGACAATATCCTTCATGGACTGAATCTGGATGGTCTGTGACCAAAATTAGATTATTTCTGAAGCCAAATCCTGCAGAAGAAATTGCATTGATAGTTAGTGGGGTTTTCTTGATATTAGCTACAGGAATTGTGTCATATTGGGCACACAAGAGATCTGAGACATTGTTTGTGAGATTGCCTGAACCTGCTTTCTGTTGATGATGACTGCCTCTATTTCTCATATCTATTGCTCTAGTTGTAAATAATTCAATTTGCTTCCTCATTCAGCATTATATTTCATTGATGTGGACCTGAATTTGTCTCAAGATAATTTCCAAGTTCTTGCATGATGAATAGTATCAGAGATGCAGTAATAAATGATGTACCATGTTATGATACAAGCCAATAAAATATATCTATACATTGAATGAAGACAACCTAGAATTGGCTCTAGTTATTCACATTGTGTCATAAGGCTCAGGGCTCTGCGCCCTGCGGTCAATATTGCCTCTAAATCTGAACATGATTTTTTTTCAAACTCTGTTATTATTATTATTTTTTTTGCCTTGAATGAATTTTGAACCATTTCTCATGCAAAAATTGAGCTCTCTTAACAGTTATCAATAATTCAATGTATTCTTTGTTTTACATTGTGGTAGTATTTATGAAAATATTTAAATCCCATAACCAGGGAATTACCAAAGACTTGGTTAGGATTGACTAAGGAATTCTTGCCACCTAAATTGTTATTTGTATCCCAATTATCTATGGATATATTTTTTCAAATCATTCTTTAACCTAAGGAGACTAACAAAAACTCTAACATAGGAAATGTTCTCCCACTCCGCATCCCAATTTTGAGGGTTGTATATAAATAGGCTTTGGGAAAAATTATGATATAATTGATTAATTTTGATGTGACTTTTAATGAAATGCAGAATCCTCTGCTTTACATCTGAACACTGAATCTGCTAGAACAAAAGTTTTAATATCTTGTGACCAATCCCACTGTCTTATAAAGTTGCCATTTTATATATCAAACAAAGAAAAAAAATTGCCTGTTGAAAGGAGGGTGTATTGAATTTCTCTGCTGTTGCAAAAATTTCACTTGTATGTTATATTGATTTGTATTCCCTATGTGCTTTGAACATTTGCTATATGTATTTAGAATTCATTTTATTATAGGACCTGTTGCAAATGGAAGGGAGTGTCCAATATGTTATTTCCTGATAATATCATGCTATCATGTGTAATTATTGGGGTATGAACTCTTGAGTTAAATCTGTTAACTATACATACCAAACTTCTCTGATAAAGATGTGTTATGCTAACATAAGGTGTGACTAGTTTCAAATTAGTTTCAACTGACATCATTCTACCCTGGATGGTTTTCAAGTCATCTTCTGAAGGTTTTCATTGCGTCTCTCTTATGCACATTTATACATTTTATATATCATTGAATTTGGTTTGTGTTTCTATTCTTTGTACAGTATAGAATTATTTCATCATGTGTGTTATGGGACACCATAAACAATTTATTTTGATCATTCATATTTATAAGGAAATGATCTCTTTTAGTTAGTACATATTTCTTTACTTTTTGGCTTTACTGATAACATTATAGATTTTTAGTAGATATTTCTTTCATTATAACATATTTACTTATGCAACTACTTTTACTCATATGACTTTGTCATTTCATTTATGTATGCTTTCCTATAAGCTTTTATGGTGATTATTGCATTATTTTACTGATTCAGTTCCCCCACTACATTGGCAAACATTCTCTAAGAAAGACAGGTTTGTTCCTTGAGACAATGTATCTCTCTTTATACAGATTAAAAAATACTTGTATTATATCATTTTGCTTTCATTAGTGTTCTGTAATCACTTGACATTGCCAAAATATGCACTTAAATTGGATCTGCAGAATTTGCAGAAATAAGTTGATTTTGCTTTTTAGGTTTTTAATAATAGCTTACACTGCCTGTAAGTAAATGATATCATGCAACAATTACATTCCAAGATCTGTGACAAAAAATAGCTCTGCTCTGAATGAAGAAAAGGTCTCTATTTTGATGTATTGATTAATAGCAGTACTATTATAATTTAATTGTTATAATCCGCAATTGTTGTTCTAAAGGAGATGGGTTTTTGTCCCCTTTTAAGCCTATTTTTTTGCATAGTAGTTGATTAAAAATTTGCATCCCTAGTTACCAGGATCATATTGTTCTAATATATACATATAAATGGAAAATGATGCTTTTCTTGTCATACCCCTCACTTTATATTTATATATATAGGTATATATGACCTGAGGTTGGTTTGGCATGTTCAAGAAGATTATGTAATGAGGTACAGCATGTTGGTTTATCCAGTGTCATTTGAAGATTATATACGACTTACAGTTTATGGAAATAAAGGTCATAGTATGAGGTTAAACACTTTCTGTCATAGGCTCACAACTCTAATGGGATTGAGTCTTAACATATCTGCAACTATGCTCTGTCCTGAATCTAGTTGACTTTACTATCCTTTAACATGGATAGGAGTGAGGGTTTATATATGGCTATTCTCACCCAAGACGGCAGTTACTTGTTAAGCACAGTGTTTTTTAGCATGTGCAGTGCATAGCAGACATCACAAGGACATAAGTTGCTACCAGATAAATAGGAATAATGTATTGTTGGAATAATGTATTGTTCCAACAATACATTCTAGTAGCTGATCATCTTCTTTCTTCCCCATCAGTTTTTTGTCACTCTATGAGTCTGAGGAATTATTATTATTATTATTATTCCACGAAGAGATTGTCGTGGCGTCTCGTTCAGATCGAACTTCGAGGGCACGTTAATACATTGCACTTCACTTGGCTTCACTTCCCTGCCAATTTTTAATTGTTATTACACACTCAGGCACCAATTGTCAGGTTACTGGTTTTGGTGTCAACCCAATTGTTACTTGATAAGTTGATCAATACAAGATCTTCAAATCAATAGTAGAAAAACCTGAGGGGTTTTGGTTCATTTGATGAATGTCCAAATAACATATTAGTGTAGATTCATTGGCCAGGGAAGGATAATAACGAGACGTGTATCTAAGAGTAAATATTACAGATAGGTTTACAAGATATACCAGATAGAAGTTACAGGATCAAAGCACAGTCTGTGCAGTAGTTTTGGAGATAGAGTATTACGACACTGCGTGTTGGTCTGAGTGCCTGAGTCTAAGATGTTGTGAGCACATCTAGAGTTAGCTGCGTGCCTGCAGCTGTCTGCCTATGGACTGACTGGCAGTTGGCTTGATGAGCTTATATAAGCAAAGACCTGTGAATAGTGACATCACAGAAGGTGACGTTAGAGAGACTAATGACATCATGGGTGATGACACTCTGACAAGAGAGTATAGATGAGGAAGATTTCATGGACATATCCCAATTGAGGAAATTATATCCCAACAAGGAAATTTTTAATGAAGACATCCAAGGTTGAATGACATTGACTATCATCACCTGACATAAAATGTTCGAGGTCATTCTTTAACACAAGAAAGTTCTAGTTCATTCAATTTTAGAAATTATAAATGGTTGCCACAATCTCGTGTAATTTCTGTGCCCAGGTGACTGATATAAATGTATATGAAGTATATTTATCTGAAAAAAGGCTAAATTGATGATTTTTGTCATAATCGTCAAAATTTTATGCTTATTATTTTTTTCCTTCTGTTTTTCTTTCTCAATTCATGAGCCAACAATGTAATTGAGTGAGCCAAGGTTCACCCAAATTGGTAATAATGCTTTACATTTTGGTTTTATGTAAAGCTTTTAATAACATAAAGTTTGTTGTACGTGTAAGAATATTTAGGTTTATGCTCCTAAATTCATTTTAAGATTATTTATATTATTTATATTTCAATTATAGATTGTCACTGATTCTCAAACACTAGACTGGATTGCAAATGCAAATAAGATAAGAAAATTTTAAATGTTCATACTAATAATCATGTGTTTGCCTTCCTCGCTGTGTCTCAATCTCAAGTTTTGCATCTGATCCACAAGCAAAAAACAATTGTAAATATTTTGTAAAAATATGTATCATTAATGAAAATTCTCTTATTTGTGCCTAGAATTGAACTGGATATTTCCAGTGCTGTGTATGTCTATCCTTGATGCAAAATAAGTTGCATCCACTTGTACATATTGCCCACTAATTCTTTAAATAAAATTCGTTTTACAATTTGTTTTATTCTCCTTGATTATTGTCCATCTGTTTTACAGAAAAGTTATACTTAATATATAGCTTTTTAGCTTGATCTGTTGCCATTATTGACTAGTATATTTCAACAGTTTTAATTATTGATGGAGTTATTCTCAATGCATGTTAAAAATTCATGTGTCCTTCAAGAAAAGCATATGATGATGGCAATAAAGAAGAATATTACCATTTTCAAGTGAAATGTGGAACTTGTGTTCAATTATGAAAGAATTATTAATTTGAAGAAACTAAGTACTTACACAAAAAAATTGAAACTTACACATGGCATTTTGTTTAGAAAACATTCAAAATGGCATAATCTTCTACAAAGATCTGATATGCCAATGTTAATATTAAAATAAATTTTCGCTGTCAGTCATTAGAACAACTCAACTGATGTGTGATGAAGCATACATAACATTGTCTTTCATTTGCTCAGCAACAAATTTAGTTCTGTATGTCCAAGAAACTCAATATTTCCTATTGCACTTTTAAAATTGACTGACTCTCAGCTGTATCTCAGCCAGTGTTTGCATAAGTATCTTTTTTTGGAACAGGTCTTAACTTTTTACAAGACTGTACATATCTTTAATAAAACCTAACTGTAACCAAAAGATTGCTTGGAACGTGTTGGTTGACATACTTCCCTCTATCAGCATCTTCTCTCGTTTAGTGACATATTGAAGAAAAATGCTGGCGCCGTGTTGACTTACACGAGTATATACCACATATAGTGCAAACACTGCACTAACTGGTCAAATGGTTCATAAGTTGTTAATTCTTAAGATAAGATTTTCACAATAAGAGCTTTTTAAGATCAGCCATGAGAATTTATTTATTGGGTTCCAACTAGAATTGGTCAAATAAAAGCATTTCTTCAGCTTTTTAGTATGTTGCATCCAAGCTGCCCAAATAGGGCATCATAGCATAAGGTATGAATCCAATATTCCCAATGGCATTGAAAGGAATTCACATCCCAGCTATATACAGGACCATATATAATCGCATTTATCTCTTAACATATCGCCTCTGAGAGCTTATTACTATTAGGCACGTAAGGGAAAATCTAATATAGGTCTCTCAGATATCGGGATCTTTATTATTGCTAATGCTGACTGATCCGTGACACCCTTGACAACAACGTCAAACCTCAAACTATAGGCAGCAACGGCCCGAGCAAAAGAGCGGGAGTTCTCCAAGAATCTGGTGTAATCCATAAATTTTGCTTCGAAGAAGGTTGTGGACTTTTTTAATATTTGGACGACGACATTGAGCAGCCACGACGACATTGAGCAGCCATTTAGTCAGCCACATGAGACAAGCTCGCCAAAAGACCAGGTCTCAAAGTATAATGAAAATCGAGCAGCTTCATCTCGATATCCGCGATGAATTCAACGGACTCCATGACACCCTTGACAACGTCAAACTAAACGAGACCGTCACTCCCACTTTGCTGAAGGAACCCACTAGCATCGTCTTCGTCGAGTGGTAATGTAACCTGAAAAAAAAAAAACGTTGGCATGTGTAGCGTCATGTAACCTGCCCAAACGTTGACATGTGCAGCGTCATGTAACCTGCCCAAACGTTGACATGTGCAGCGTCATGTAACCTGCCCAAACGTTGACATATGCAGCGTCATGTAACCTGACCAAACGTTGACATGTGCAGCGTCATGCAACGTGACCAAACGTTGGCATTTGCCGCGTCTCATAAACTGCCTAAACGTTGGCTGAACTCATCGTCGTTCTCGCGCTGCACTCGCGATCTATTCTTTTTAAACAGCACCAAAGTGTGGTTTACAACTAAATGTGATTCTGAATAATAAGTAGTTTGAAAATGAATTATGCATATAATTATTTTAATTGAATTGTTTGCGAAACGTATTACTAATGAATACTTAAGAACACTATAATTCAAGCTATTTCATATCAAAAAAATGTTACAGCCATTGTGCAGCTTCTACAATAATTATTTTTTTCCTTTCTTATACTGAATTTCATAATTAACCAATACTCTGTGGACAATCCTCTTATATAGCATTGAGAATTGGGCCGTACTGAATTTTATAATTAACCAATACCGTACTCTGTGGACAATCCTCTTGCATAGCATTGAGAATTGGGTCACCCTATTGATCGTACAAGTGTCCGTCTTAAAATTGGGCAGTAGCCTGCAGCCACCACGAAGCCCGTGACTCGGTTGACTATACATGTAATCCCAGGGAAAATTTACAGACGCGGCAGCTTCTGATTTGGAATATCAGAAGCTGGGGCGACTCTAAATTTTGTTAGGGATTCCCATGTAGGATAATATCATGCCAAATGAATCGCTTTTTATGCAAGAATGTTATAGAATGGAATAGAAGTGTCGGCATTGAAGAAATAGGCCCATGACCTGTTGCCGATTCTTCTACTTTTCGTGACTTGATTCACAAGGGATTATAATAATTACTAGAAAGATTATTCCAACTGGCTTTCCACCAGAATGATAATGGTTGTCGTGGGAAAGGATATTTTCCTATCCGCCCTTTTGCCGAGACTTGATCTTCTGATCTTAGGAAAGAACTGCAATACTTCGGGCGCATGACGTGTCGGGTCTCGCAAGAAGGCCGCCAGAATGCGGTGCTGATGGGCCGCAAGACCTGGGACTCCATGCCTGCCAAGATGAAGCCCTTGCGTCACCGCATCAATTACGTGCTTACCAAGTAAGTTTTGGAGACATTGCACATTATTTACTGATTAATTAATTGCCAGTCAATATCGGCCGTGTCTTCTATTGTATTTTTCGACTTCCTGCAAAACACAGCTTGCTTGAAATGAGGGACATATACTGACATGAAGAACCCTTGTACATGAAGAGAAAATATTCCGAAATATTTCTATAGTGAAAGGTTAGAAACGCATGCAAACCGCATAGTGGCAAAGCGCACATCTGATTCTAAATTACAAACATGGTAAAGACATTTTATAACTTTTCAGGTCTGATCTGACTCTGCCAGGTGCAATCACGTGTAAATCTCTGGAAGAAGCTTTGAGCGACTTCGAGAAGAGAGGTGACGCTGTCGAGACGTTTTGGGTGATCGGGGGCCACGCAGCGTACGAGGCGAGTCCTGTATAATTTAAAGCTCTGTATATACAATAAAAATATAGTGCATCAACATACATGTGGAGTGAAATAGCTTGCTCAAGTGCATTGTTTACGTATGATGTGCGGAAAATACACTGGAAGTTGCACTGAGATGGATGCAGCTAAGTCGTGGTTTGGAGACTTTATCCTGGTTGCCAAGTTCCTTGGTTTCAAGTTTGAAGATGCGTAAAAGGTGGTGCATAAGCATGGCCTAGGGTGGTGGGTTAAGCCCCGTCCACACACTCAAACTTATCGTCAGTCTTTCATGAACCCAAAGGTCTCGCCCGTCCGTCTTTTCCAATGGCTTGTCAAATCTCAAACTCCGCCCACGGCCCACCCATCATGCAAGACGTCAAACTTTGAGCGTCCAGACGGCCGCCAGACGCTCCGTCTTGTCGGTCAAACCTGGCATGACGTGCAAGACCAACGATAAGTTTGAGCGTGTGGACGGGGCTTAAAACAAACCTCTAGTTCACGTTGACTGTGGGATCTTGAGACGTGACGAGGTTGAAATGCTCGTCCCTGCTGTCCTCCAGCATCCTAACCTATATATTTGTACATGCAAGGTACATTCAAACTGCTAATCATTGTTTGAGAACAGTAGAACAGGTTATCGGATTGTGTAAATGAGCCTCGACATGGATGTTGATTGAGTCCAAACAACTCCTAATCGGATCGCCAATGTCATCTCAAATTTAACCCTCGTCTTTAAGCTCTACAATTAATGGGGCAGAAAGTGATTTTACCAGTATAAATAACGTTTGTCTCTGCCCCAGTTGAGGTTGGTTGAGGCGCACAGGTCCGTAGCTACAAGGGCCGCCCTCCTACGCTATGACTCCACCACTTTCAGCCCTCAAGGGCTGTCAAGAGTTGTTACTACTGTTGCACGCGTGAATTCTGGGATTATATCGGATCAAAGAATGTCATTTTAATACGCGCCGATATCTGCCTATTAATTATTCTCTAATAGTTCTAATTAATTTTTTTCAATCGCCTTTCTCCTTTAGTTCGATTTCAAGCATGCTTCCGACAGTTTATCATAGGATTGTAAACAGTACTGTTGTCAACATTGTCGCAATTGTTCTGCAGTTTAACAGAAATGGTTTCTACTCATGTTTTTCTGCATCGTTTCGATTTCCTTATGGTGCTTCTTGTTTTTCTGTTATCTCACCATGTATTTATGTATTATTTATTGTTTTTTTATCTTCTATACTTCATTCGTGTGTGCCCTCAGCTGGCATTTGCAAGCGCGTCGTTCTACCGTCTCTACTTGACCCGCATCCACGCCAGCTACGACTGTGATGCCTTCCTGCCCGCCATCCCTGTTGATCTCACGAGCGTCAGGTCATTTTCCATATTTCACTGTCGGGATTTTAAGCATATTTATCACTCATTCTGTGGTTAATGTGTGCGCGTAATTTTTTGGGAATTATTGTCTGATGGGTAATTTTAGATTGTTAGTTAACTGCTCTCTTCATTTTTTGCCCGATTTAAAAGGAAAGTGAAATCAAGTTAAATGGACGATATTTCGTTTCTTTCCTGTCAATATTGAGCCTTGAATATAACATCCTGAGCAAGTAGAACATTATTACTGTTGCTTCAACTCGAGTAAACAGTTTCCATTCCATTGATCAACTGTTTGAATAAATTAAAAAACTGCAAGAGGTAGTTTTTAGCGCATTTTCTTATTTATGAAAAAAAGGCGCTATTGTGCTCGTCATGTCCTTCTTTCTGTCTGTCCGTCCGTCTATCTGTCCGTCAGTCTGTCCGTGACTTCACGTTTTCGTCGACGAGAAAATGTGCTCTCTGTCACGCACTGCAGTAAGTACTGAGTTATATTTTTAGCGCACTTTCACATTTATGGAAAAAGGCGCTATTTTGCTCGTCATGTCCTTCTGTCTGTCCGTCCGTCCGTCTGTCTGTCCGTCTGTCTGTCCGTTACTTCACGTTTTCGCCGATGACAAAATGCGTTCTCTGTCACTCACTGCAGTGAGTACTGAGTTATATTTTTTGTGCTATTTTTTGTTTGCAAACCTTCATTGCGTACGAATATGAAGCGACCAAGTGACGACCCCAAGAAGAAAGTAACCAAAAGTGTGCTTGAATCTCACCCGAAATTATTTCTTTGGCAAATTTTCAATTTGAATTTTGGTTTAACTCTTACCTAACGCCTCCTTTCTTAACACATATTTGCCTAAAAGTTATTCAGGGTAGCTTCAAAATATTATTAAACTTTTTAAAACCTTTTTCATCCATTTTTCCATTTCAGTGACCCTGATGTAAGCTCCGAAGTGCAGGAAGAAAATGGTATAAAGTATCATTTCGAAGTTTTGGAAAGGCCTGCCGTTTTCGGTGCAAAGCAATAAGCTCTGAGACGGGCTCTTCTCTTCGGCATATTTGACGTTCTTCCAGCACAACAGTGTGGCGGGGATCGGAACTGAGCATTTAGTTTCACTATTGACCAGCTCTACGGTCATGATGAATTAGTTTCATTTAACGCATATTGGAATAAAAAGTCACTCGTCTAATTAAGACATGATTTAGATCAAAATAAAGGCGCGCGAAACGTCTCTCAACTTCATAAATCGTCTCTGGACAATTGTATTTAGACTAGGTGAGTATTGTATTGTATTTAGACTAGACTCTAAATACTCCACTAGGAGTGGAGTATTTAGACTATGAATGTAATAGAGGATTGTTTGTCCCTGCAACACTAACTGTAAAATCTTTTTGCATCCATCAAATTCACGGATGATTAAGCAGTTACAAAGTGTTGCATTATCCCATTTCATCAACTAAATTTGCGCAAGCTTCTCGTGAAACTGTTATTCATAAGAAAATTAACTAGACCTTTGTTTTTTATCCCCTCTAATACCAATAACGTTAAACATACATTGGCGAGAATGCGAGAACTCATGCCACGTCATGTGCGAGAACTCTCGTGGCGTCCTAATCTCAGTCGGTGAACAGCGCTTCATTCCATATCATAAATATTTATGATAAAAATTTTCGGATGGAGTTAATTTTACTGAAAGTCCCCAATGTACGTTTGCGTGTTAATTCTCCAGAAAGTTGTGTATATACAGTAAACGTGTTATACAACTTGAAAGTTTCTCATTCCGAAGCTATGTACCCCAGAGCTAAGTATATTTTTCAATAGCTGAAAGCCGAACAAAAAATCTAAAGTAGTGGTAGTAGTAGTATACTAGCGCTTCAGCTATCAAGCTATTTCGCACCGGAAGTCAAAATGTAGCATCGCCAGCGAGGCGAAAGATCTCAATTATTCAAAATCTCAAATTAATCATCACCCACAAGGGGCGTAATGTCTCAAATGTCCAGCCCGCGGAAGCTGGCTCGAAAGAAGCAGCGTTAGCATCTCAAAGAGACGGAGGGACAGGTGAAAAGCAACAGAAACGAAGACACTCTAACAAGAGGTCGCGTACACGGGACGTCGCCCGCCCGCACGAGAGAGACAGAGAAAAAATGTAAGGAATCCTACATAGCTACATTATACATACGTAATAACTTAACCCCACAACTGAGACCCTGCAGTCAGACACCGCGAGCTCAGTAGTTGAGCGCTCACGAACAATCCCCCTGTAGGAGCGCGAAATCCCATAGGACTTCTGACGCGCACAGACGCGCGTCAGAAGTCCCCCCTGAGGGAGAAAAAATTATAATACATGATCTTTTATAAAATATAATGATAAAAGTTGCGGGATTCTATCTTTCTCTCTCACTCAATAATAAGGTGACATGGGAAACGACTTACCATATCTATTTGTAATTAGTTAAGCTCACTGTGTAATTGCAGATGGGAATTTTTTCTAAAGTTTCCAATACTTTTTCTTCCATCATTACACCTCTACTTCATTTCCACTTGCCTTGCAAATCCAAATGTAGATCCCGGGATACAGGATATGTCGGTCAATTAGTTTTGTTTGTACACAAGTTACACAACATGCGAGTTGGAAGTTTGGAGCTGACAGCCGAGAGTCTGAGCTCAGCTGGCTGACGACACAAGTTCAGAGTTGAGACGTTATCGGGTAGGGTAGTTATAATACTGTTATCAGTGTTATGAACTCTTCGTTCCGGGCATAAATTTCCATTAATAGAATTTTTAGAGGTTATTCGTCAAAAGCGCAGCGCCGGACTCCGTCATCCTCGACCTCTTGTATCATTCAGTATTCTCACTTATTAATCGCTGTACGGTCAGCCTGTTGGAGTCACTGGGTCAGCAGCCGACAGCCGTCAACTAAGTCCGGTTACGAGTTTCCACCACTTTCCAAGCAGTCAACATAACTCGAAGTTCAAAATTCAAATCAATATGTTTCCCAGCAGCTCTTCTGAGGTTAAAAGATCAGATAGAGTTGTAAGGTAAGAGTTTGTTTGTGAAATATATTTCATCAAAGTAAATGATATGATGAAAATATGAAATTCAGAAATGTTTATTGCTATCTTTAACTCTTAAGTGACACTGTGACAAATGCTGCAGAACTTTTGCACCATTCCAATACCAATTTTGATCTGCCATCAGGTCAATTTTTTGGGCAAATGTTGCTTAAACTTGAAATATTTTGCATAATTTTAAACAAATCACAGGGTAGGAGATTGATCATTTATGAGTGATTTTTAGAAATTGCAGGCTAAAATGTTTTTATTTCTATTAAAAAAATTGGAGAAGGGCTGTTGCAGGGGAGGAAAAGATCTACTCTGTGAGCCGCGACTGGATTTTTTGAGCCGCGAAATAACGAATTTTCAAGCCGTAAGCCTATTTCTCAAGCCGTGGAAAGCCATTCTTGAACCGCGAAGTTGCGAACTCTTGGCGGCTCTATTCTTTATCGTTTTGCTGCCGACAACTGCCAACCGCTGGCTTGCCCTTCCATCACACGTCACGTGACCCATTTCGGAGCCGCGACATTTCTAAATCAATATATTTTACCTGACTTCCGAGCCGCGAGATTTCAAACTTACATATTAATGGGAGATCTCGGGCCGCGAAATTTCCATTAAAAGTAGATGTATTCCACCCCTGGCGCTGTTGGAATGAATGAAATTGTTAGAAATCATAGACAATTGTGTATCATTCACCAATCACCATCGCCGTCATGATGATTCATGGTTGGTTCTGGACTTTGGTCCAATTTTCTGGTTTTGGCTGAAAACAATTATTCCATTGAAGGCTTTTTAAAATCATGAGTAAAATGTTCTATTTCACATAATATGTATGGTAATGAAATCATAATCATTATATATATTCAGTGGCTCAGTGCTTAAAGTTCAGAGTAACAGCACTAACAGGATTGGTCATTGGAGCAGACTCAGCAGAGAGGTGCAGCCGTGCAGGTTTGATCCCAGCTCTGAGCTCTGTGCACCAGTTTCTGGTCAGAATCGACAAGGAGGCCAGGCTGCCAGGTGGTTAAGCACAGCAGAATGGGAGCAATGAGTTCTGAGTTCGAGAGCACATCAAGCTGTGAATGTTCTGACTGCTATGATAAGAATCGGCAACAGGCCTTCAGCTTAATAAACGCTGAAACGCTATTATCTATTATTATAAGGCAGAATTCTTGCTGTGTCAATTCATATCTTAATCTCATATGTATACTAATAATCAGTGGTAACAGTTGGTACTATAAAAATTTTGAATTAAATTATAAAACAAGTTTTAGTCTTTAGCCCATATATAAGATATCCTTTAAAACTCTTCAAAGGAAAGCAATAATTGTGAGGTTTGAAGTAAGACAAAATGGAATATATCCACATGGAATAAATCATATTTCACATTTAATAAGTTTCATTTGAATTATTATAAGAAAAAATATATCAGCAAAGATTGAACCATCACTTGTACCTAATATGTATTTCATTAAAGGTGGAACTCTTTTACAACTGTCAGTAGGCATCAAGTAGGTAGATGCATCCATTTAGTTCACAAATGGAAGGACTTGTTCAGGCCAGCCTGCAAACCCTCTGACAGTAGAATTTTGCAGCTCATGGTTGAGAGCAATCTTGTTTGGCTTGCAGTTGGTAATCAATCATCAATGATTCATCAAGATGCCAGCCCTTGAAGTCAGTGGACTGAACTCTTACCCATTTGCCATGGCTAATTTCCTCCATAAACCACCCCCTTAAAGCTCATTTCTACCTTTGATTTTAAGAAAAAATATGCTTGATGTTATAGTTGAAATTCGAAGGCAGTCACTATGTTACTGACTGCTATTATATTGTTTCTAATTGTATACTGTTAAGTTGAGACTGAAGAGAAATAGGGACACACATTAATTTAATGATGATTAATGCCATCAAAATTGAGACCAAGAAATGCTGAGTTGAGCAAACCAGTGACAACCTGTAAGGTACTTTCTATACCAGACAAAATCATCTCAAATGGTCTTGATCTAATTTCCATCACACAGTTAAAGCATATATTTTATATCAAATCTGTGATCAAAGTATATATACAATAATTTTACAGATGATCAATTTTTTCTGACCTATCAAGCAAAATTGTGCTGCAATCATTTTGTTATAAGTTCTGATGAACTGTTATTCCACCCATGTTGAATAATTTCATGTGGTGGTAAGAAAAACGGAGGTTATATTGACCATTCATGAATTTTTATTAGTTGTCTTGTGTATTCATGTAGGTCGTTGTTGTAAAGATTTCAGGCCGCGGTGGCTGGCAGTCCAAATGCGCCAGTTGAAGACCCTACACCAGACTATATGAACATGCTGGGCATGATTTTCAGCATGTGTGGTCTCATGATGCGGGTATGTGAAAGAAAATTAATACTAGTAATATAAATGACAAATTCCACCATTTAAATCAGCTGATTAACATTGTGGTAGTAAACAGCAAAGAAATTCAGTGTTTGTTTTCAAGCATGGTTCGTTGCAGGAATTCATTTTGCAATTATATATTTTGCATATATAATAATTAGAACCGTGCTTCAAAAAAATTGTATACTGATAAAAATTCCAAGAATTATACTGCAGGGTGGCCCTGTGGTTACAGCTCAGATTACCAGGATTGGCGCAGAGAGGCGCGGGTTCGATCCCAGCTCTGTGCGCCAGTTTCTGGTCAGAATCGGCGAGGAGGCCGGACGGTTAAGCAAAAGCAGAATTTGAATCAGTGAGTTGTGAGTTCGAGACCGCAACAAGCTGTGGATGTTCTGCGATGTTAAGAATCGGCGATAGGCCTATTCCCTAATAAACGCTGAAACCACTATTATTATTTTTATATAACCTTTTCATTCAATAACAGTTAAAATGGTGTGCTTGGGTGGCCATTTATTGCTCCTGCGTCAGTTTTGCCAACTGCCGCGTCACTGACGACACAAAGCAAATGCTGAGCAGCTTCATGTGAGTATAACGGGAAAAACTTTTTGCTCATCAAATTCAGTCTAGTTTTAAGGCAGGAATTTCTTTCCTGTTGACTTGTACCGTATTTTGGACAAATTGTTTTATTTTAACTTGGTATCTACTATCTAGTAGGTATGTTCTGAGAATTAAGTTTGACTGTTCAACATATTCAACTGCGATCATTTCCATTGTTCTACGTTCCTTTGACACGGAGAATAATTATTTTGTACATGCAGGCTGTCCATTTCTGCGGTGGTGATGTCATACCTGCAGAACCCTCAACCCATGATCCCGCCGTGGTCCAATTTGTAGCCACCGCCCTGATGGAGACTCATCCTCGCTGCCAGAGCTTTGCGGTGCAAGCAGCAGCCCGGTTACTTGAATTAATTCTTAGCTGAATTACAAGTTGAAGTGATGAACGTGAAATGTTTAAAGAATATGGTGAACAAAATCTGCGTCCAATTTATTAATCAATTTTATTTAAACATTCAGTTGACATGTAAAAACAGACATCGAGTTCGTCTAATTGCTGTACATATTTACATACATGGTTCACATTAGTCGGGCCTTTACACGAGTTACATGTAATGGAAACCATTCCTCGAATCAAGATTCCTTTCTCGAGATTCAAGTTTGTATCGCCAAGTAGATATCCGTACTCTATTATTCATGCAATCGTGTATTCAATTATAGCTCGATAAAGGTAAGCAGAAGTCCCCGTTAACATCAATTACTTTGAAATAAATAATGGAAATACTTTCGTGATTTCATTGTGTATTAGTATAGCAAGGGAGAAAACACTGCATAATAATTCCACTGTTCAAGTACGCAGTTACAAAAATACGCGTTTTCCCTTTTACATGCAGAAACAAACGGTAATGATTTGTGCTCAGAATTTTACAACCGGACAAACATGGTTCCATCTTCTTACCTATTCACGCTCTGAGGTCCCTTGATATTACTTGCTTAATCTGATTTAGGAATTTGATGAGAAAGGCACTCGTTTGGCGTCCTTACTCAATCACCTTCACGCTCACATACTATATATGAACAACTTACAAAAAATTTCCCCTTCTGAAGTTTCTTAATACTGCACATTTTACTTGCTGGCAGACTCCTGTTGACACTTCAAGAAACTGAACATTATTTCGCACGAAGGAGCGCATTTTTTGACGTTCAAATAAGTTATCAAGTGACCAAGAGAAACGCAAGTATTGGCTAGATGACCATATTGTAGAGTCTGCAGAAAGCAGTGTTGTGCAAGCCAAAGTTGGAGATGGAAAAATTTCCCAAGTAAATTTTAGACACAAGATGCTTTTCAGTAACTGAATACTCAGGGTTAACAAGATTGTGCAATACATCGGCAATTGAAATCGTGAAATTATCTGAGAAAACGAGAGTTAACAGCAGCATGAAAAATCGAGGATTTGCAGTTCTTGGGCTACATTCATTCAGATAGAAAAGCCATCAAATGGAAAGTAGTTTCAAGCTGGCAATCAAAATATTAACGTAATTCATCAATAATTAGGATTTCGAGAACAGAACTAGCTTCCTTCTTACGCTTATTACAAGAATAGTCCGTTAAAATCTGCCGTAAATTAAATTGCCCGATTAAACGTGCACAGGCCAATTACATTGGAATCATAATTGCAATAATTGGAAAACTCATTTGAGATTCAATTTCGGCTCAATTATCAAATAAAAGAGAAATTCCCTCTACTCGGCGAGCGCATCCAAAATAAAATGAAGTTACAAGAAGAAATAATCTTACATGCAAATGATTCCGACAACTATCTTCATATTTACACAACAATGTAGGCGCGGCAAAAGTATCAATATATACATACTCACATATACCAAATTAATAGCAAAGAGAACCAACGCTCGGCACACTACGAGGAGCTTATAAAATGAGATTGATAATCCAACATTGCTTATTTGTCTTCCAAAGGTACGAGCATCAAAACCAGGTTGAACATTTCGAGCTTCAGCATTTCGCCTTAGCGCTCGCGTCAAAAAAATAAAAATAAACGTTGCTCTCACAAAGAGTAAGTACTTAGAAATATCTACTGCAACACGAATGTATCAAACTTAACAAAACATTTCGGCGAAAAAACACGTTTATAAAACAAGCTTACGCAGAGGAGAGCAAAATAATACGTAGAGTAGGTACAAATACGCATATGCAAGTTACACATTATAGAGCCCCCATAATTATACGAAATAGTCGGCACTACACCCAATAATTCAGAAGCCATTAATTGAAGTGACTGTGTGGAATTCATACACCATCTGATCATAAACTGGCTCGAACATCGGTCTTCTGCAGGAGATAGATGCATAATTTCTAAGCTGGCTTGAGTTACCAAGTCTCAGTGAATAGATAACGAAGTATGCAATCCATTTCAATTTTCGGGACATTATTTGCGTGCCCTCGTATATACTTTCAAAGCGGTATAAGCAGCAACACATTAAGTGAACTTAATTAGAGTAATCTTAACTACGAGAAGAATTCATATATTTAATTCAACGAGTGATCCCAGTTTGAGACATGCAGGCCGGCAATTCACATATAATATGCGGAATGCGAAATTGAATGAAAGACTTTCAACAAATCTAGGATTCATTTGACAGCACAAACAGCACGATTTCCCTTTTAAACTCTCGACTAAACAGCTAAGAAAAATTCGGGGCACATGGCGATGATGCAGAAATAAAATCAATGTCATTAAATGAGGCACTGTCTCAAATAAAATCTGGGCCCAACAAATCCATAGCTACATTGTGCAGTGACGGTCTATTGGCATTTTGTTGAGGCCTCAGTGGCAGCTCACTGCTGAAAGTATCATTCATTCTACCACACTCTCACAAAAAATAAAATATGAACCCACTAAAGGTCACATCATTTGTACTTTAAGACTCGGGCTAAGCTTTATCTCATACGCAGCCAAATAGCCATACTTCTGTAATTCTTAACGTACGCACTAGATTTTGCACTTATGGCATAGGAGATAAAATACAGCTCTCAGAGAGAAATAACTTACGTGAAAAACTAGCCTGATCGAGTTTTCGAGTTTTTTAACATTTTGTTAGGCAGAGACGGCAGGAGATACGTCTAGGATCAGTTGCTTAGCACTATGAATTGAAAGAATGACTATTTAGAAAAAGAACGTCGTCCGCAACACGGAAGACGAGTTCAGGCATCGAGATCGCCTATTAGAATTTGCATATTGCACTCTGAAAGAAGGCACGGTGGCTCATCAGAGACCGACGCTACAAGATTATCTGGCAGTCTGGTTGATTAAAAAAAATGTGCTGAAGACTTGATCCTAAATGAGGAGAGAATCAGCCCGCGGCATCACCACGAGTTCATGGAAGATATCAGTGCATCGCCTTAATCAGTTCAAAACCGCACGAAGAGTCACGCGAGTCACGTTGCATAATTGATAGAGAAGCGATATTGCCTTCTACTATTGTCTGTCAAGAACCAAAAGCAAGAGAAAATAAGTCTCGAAGTTAATACTGAGTTGTCATTTTTTGTGAAGATTAGCTTCCATCTTCTGCCTTGCTTTCACCTACAAAGAAGTAAAGTATTAGCGATCTTATATTGATAGAGACCATTAGTTATCCGTCAATATTCATGTGCCTAAGTTACTTGCGAACAATGTTCTACGGTAAGAAAAGCATCAATTACAACATCGCTCGATGAATGAGATAGAAACGCAACTTCAATGTATCTGGACAACTAAATTTAAAAATGTAGGAATTAAACTTTTGAGCAAACGTCAGCTTCTCGGAGTTCACAGAGCAACATTGCAAGTCCCATTACTCACGATCTTTCTTTCTAATTTTTTTCTTCTTCTTCTCCATGGAAGCAACGCTGGACTTGCATTCAGCATAAACTTTTCTTATGTCAATAATACGACGCAGAATTTCGCTGATACGCTGCTGTTGATTCATGGCACCTGTGGGAGATATCATTTTAATACTGATAAAAGGAAATTTCAAAAATATTATTATCAGAAGAATAGCCGTTCAAAGCCACATTTGGCACAAAACTACCAACGAAGTCTTCTATTGAAATTTAAATGAAACTAAAACTTTTATTTTTTCTTTAATTTACAACACTTACCACAGTAAGTTGCATTTTAACTCACATCCAACTCTTCTCTGATTATCTTAATGTAACAGGGTACAAAAATACTATAGCCTCTGACCAACCACTACATATTTCCGTTATCATGCTTTACACAAATAAACCAACTAGCACACTTTTATTATTATATAATACTACCTGCATGATAATGTACCATTAATCGTAGAAAGTTAAGCTTTTAATGCAGGATAAATATAGCTGGATATGATACGATTTTAGGATAACAATAAAGAATAAACGTACTAATATCCTGTAGAAAATTGAAGCGGCCGAGTGGAGCTTGGTGACCAGCAAACGTGCCTTCCAGGGGCAGCGGCGAGACAGCGCCCACAAACTCGTTCCGATATTCTGAGGAAAACAGGTTACATTTTTATTAATTAAGAAAAATACCGAGGAAAAAGGAAAATGAATATATAATTGTAATTGGTCATAAATTACATACATGTCATCAATAAAGGAGTTCCTCAATATATTAGACACTAGAGTTCCATTAAACCTACTTTTTGCTTTTATTAAAGTAGTTGAGCCTTTGATTTCATCAAATTAGTTAAGCCTAGAAGCGAAATGAACCGAAATACCCTCAATATTAAAGAAGCTTTAGCATTCAATTCCATTTTTATGGATTTGTATGTTTGTCGATGTGTTCAAAGCCTCCCACAAGCGCGCTCTCTAATTTGGAGGATATCTTGGATACAATCGGATTCTTCATTACGCATTTTTCAATTGATACCTCAAAAGCTTCGTATAATTGATACAATATTTTATCTGCTCCGCATGTTTAAAAAGTTGAGCATCTCAAACAACAAAAAACATATTGTCTTTCCTTGCGACCAAGAACGCCCGAAAGAACTCAACGATAACTTAGAAACCCCAATACAAAACCAGTATCAGGATTTTATAATGGCTTACTTTAGAAAGAATCATCGATAGTAATCATCAGGGCCGCACTAAAGCTAAGTATGATGAATAGACTGCACAACACTGACTTTCCCCCTTTTCAGACTCGCCAAAGACAAAGAGTGGCCGGTTCTCCAACCTCCCGCACCCCAAAGTACTAAAATACTCACGTCTATACGGATGTGATCTGGTAGCATTTTTCTTCTTGTTCTTTTTTGGTACAGTAGAAGAATGTTCCCCTTCATTTTGGCCGCTAAGTTTGGCGTCAGCGGCACTCTTTTTGCCGCTGCTGGTGGACGGTCGGCTCTGGTTGCTATCATCGTTATCATCGTCTACAATAGCAGACCGAGGGGTGCGTGCAGGTCTCCGTCCACTGCCTCCACTGCCGCTGTCGTCCCCACCCTCCTCGCCGCCGCCTGAACCACAAGCAGGGGCGCGGCCGCCACTAGTGGAAGCCCCAACGTTATCAGTGACTCCTGATGACGCTGAGCCACTCGAGTCATTAGTGCTTGAGGAATCTGCAGCTGTATCATTTTTGGTGGTGTTTCGGTGAGATCTTGACGTCGCTGATGCCGTATCTAACACGGAGCCAGTACTTCCACCATTTGTCTTAGAGTCATCTGAATCAGGGGCTGGATTTGTGCCAAATTTAGTGGCACCATCACCTAACTTGCCACTAATACGCTTCGAGATGTTTTTTCTTCGCCCTCTACTTCCATTGTGAGTGTTACTACCACCACCAGCAGCAGCAGCACCTGGACGAGGTCCCGGAGAGGGCACTAAGCTGTCCTGCGTGCTGGAGTCGTCCTCGAAGTTGTAAGACTGGGCTGCTGGAGGTGAACGACTCTCTCCGTCACCCTCGGGGGTCGCGTTGCCGGACTTGGAGCTGCTGTCGTCGCTGATTGCTTTCAAAAACTCTTCATCCCTAGCAGCAGGTCATGGGTTAATTAATACATCAACAAATCATAAACTATGCACCTGGAATATATCTTAATAATAAAGTACACATTAACAATAAAATGACAAATCTGTTAATATAATTCAAAATTGTTTTAGCAAAAATTCATCATTTAAATTAGTTGTTCAAGATTTAAATTCAGAGTTGCTGAGTAGGAGCGAACAATACCTTCTTGGAGAATCAGTAATGGTTGAACATAAAGACTCAGGAGTGGATGGCAGTGAATTGTGAGACTGGAGAGTAGAGTGTTGCAGGCTCACAGGCACGTCAGAGGCCAATTTTCTGCAAGACTCTGAGCTGGATAATTGACATGAATCTTTTGATTGAGGTTCAGGGAGAGGACGCCTGATGTTGTTAGCACTGGCACCGATACCCGCTTTGTACTTGGGAGCAACACTTAACCCTGCACGTCCACTGCAGCCTCCAGCCACAGAAATGCCTCCATTGTCTGCGGCGTGTGTGTTCAATATTGAAGAGTCATTGCTTTGGTCTAGAACGCAATTTTTGGAGCGGACGTAAGAATTGTTATGGAGGGAGTTAGACTGGCTCGAGATCAACAACGATTCGTCAGCTAATCTTTGATTAACTCTTTGATTATGATAAGATTGCTCAGGTCCCATAGGCCATCTTGCAGCAACAGAAATATGTTCCGAGTTGCTTGAAAATGCAGGCTGTCCAGAAGAAGGTTGGTAACAGCCTTGCCGAACGAAACTATGATTATTATTGCGAGCCCCGACCAGCGCAGCAGACGACATATATTCTGTAAGGTGTCGGTGCTGATGACGCTTTGTGTACGTAGATCCTTGAACTGGCACAGTATATTGCTGTGGCTCAGCCATCGCCAACTCCGACTCCATCAAGAGATGGTCTTGATTAACAGGACTGCCAGGAGGGATGGTCTCATCGCATAAAAGTTCTCCATCACCAGTCTCGATTTCAGTTGAATCAGTGTCATCACTGGCGTCGATGTTTGGAGAACTTCCTTCATCCAATTCTTTTTTAGAATCTAAGGCAATATCGCCACCATCCTCTCGCCGAACTGGGGAAGGAAACAATTGGATATTTTTCCTCGTAGATCTAATATTGGGCTCCTCTGTCAGTGATGAAGTTACGCAAGTGTCAGGTGTTCCTTCAACATCGGAAATGATTTCTTCTGCTTTTCTTTTACCAACAGGTTTTTTGCCAGTAGACTCTGTCTTAGGGCTTTTGGGAAGCGAGTTTAAGCTTGATTCAGCCTTAAACTTTTTACAAGGAGTTTTCATTTGACTGTCGGGAGGATCCCCCACGTCGTTGGGGTCCTTTTTCTTACCACGACCGAAAACTTTTCGCTTCTTTTCCGAAGCCGCAGGGCTTTCAATATGATTTTTTTCATTCAACAAATTCACAGGTGATAAATCATTATGCTCTTGCCTAGCTTTTTGTACAACAGCTTCAATGCTTTCTCCCACAGACAACTGCATGGACGACGGAGTGGCGAGGATGCTTACGGTCGTGTCGACAACACGAGACGAGGACTCAACAACAGCTGTTTCAGAAGCTTTTATGCTCGTCGCACAAGAGTTAGCTGATTCACATGAAGTTGTATTGGTGATCGGAGAAGATACAGGAACATTAGAAGCGGATTTAATGTCAGCAAAATGGGTATCGGCAATACCTTGTCGAGAAGCAGTGCCGGGATTTGATATTTCTTCCAATGCTGGCTCGATCGACACAGGTTTTATTTCCTCTTTACCAATTTCGTCGCATCCGCCCGGTCGGCTGAGCAGATGCGGGAAGATCTGATGTTGTCTTTTCAAGAACGACGCTTTGGAATCATCTTTGCAATCGTTTTTCATTGTAGAGGAAGTGTCTCCTGGAATTGTAGAATTGAAAACATTACCACTTTCCATCCCAGCAGTTACTGTAGATGAGTTAGTAGAAGCAACATTTGACGAATTATTATACGAAGAAAGGTCGTTACTAGTCGGTGGAGGAAGCCCCTTAGCGTGAATAGTTTTAGCAAGAGCCCGAGACTGTTTGGGAGGTAATACTTGGGCCATTATATGAGATCCGCTTACAGGACGACGGTTTGCTGCATTAATGCTACCAATAACAACACGGCCGTGGTTCAAGTCAAAATTAGGCCTTGCAATACTTGTGACTTTACCTACTACTTCTCCTTGCGAAAGTTTACTAAGTGGAGACCCTGCAGCGTTCGAATCCAGTTTAACCACCTTAATATCAGTAGCATTGATGTGGTGCAATGGTTTTGGGATAAAGCCGTCTTTTTTCTGCATTGGAGTTTTGTTGAGAACGCCAGCTGTTAACATAGGATCCACCGGTAAACTTCTAAGAGCGCCGAAAATAGGTATTGGCTCGCCAATTGAAGCGCCGCCACACTGTTGGACTTCAGAGGACGAAGAATTATCAGGAGCCTCAGATTTGATTATTTTATTTGGTGTCACTTCCCCTGGATTGGAAGTACTGGAATCTAACTCATCCTTCTTAATAGGAGTTTTCGCAAAACGTTTCACAGGAGTTTCCCTTCGCGTGTCTCGTTCCCATAATTTCTTAGGAGTGAGGGTAGAAAAATCGCCGTCGCTGTCTCCAACTTCAGATTCAGAATTTCTTCTGACTTTGGAACGTTTTTTCCCGTCGGTGTCAGCCTCTTCTTGGGGCGAAGACAGGCTTCCTCTGGAGCCACGACCTTCTTTCTTTGTCCTCATCTCTCCTATTTCAAACGGCTCGGGTTCTTTAAATTCATAAATATCATCTTCAAAACAATCGCTCTTTACTCCGGGACTGCGTTTTATTTTCTCTGGGGTTTGGTCAATCATGGCTTCTGTCTTTTTAGCTGGACTAACGAACAGCGGAGCTTCTAAGGAAGCTTTAGTGTTAGGCGAAGCTTCCAAAGATTTAATTTGATTTTGTTTCTTATCAATATTAGTGCGCTGCAATCGTGGCCCAACGTACGAATGAGCAGGGCTACCAACAAAGCCAAGTTCTTCCTCTTTCTTGATCGGGCGATCAAGCCCCTTCATTTCGGATTCGATCGCCTTCAAGTCGATGTCTCGGCCACACGATTGAGTATACTCTTCGTTAGACTTGATGTCTACATCGAACTTCTCTTCTTTAATTCCTTTTGTATCTCCATCGCAAACAATTTTTTCTTTCTCGATTTTTTGTTCGGCTTTGGGTTCGACTTTGGCCTCAAAGTCAGATTTTAGAAGAGAATTGTTTGACGCGGGAGTAACACGACTGTTGCTGCCGTTAGATTCAACAGAAGCGCTGGAGCAAGAAATGCTCCGGGACGTGAGTGTGCCATCCTCCGAATCGGAGTTTTCAGAATCAGAATTGCCATCATCTAAGGGAAGGAAAAAAAGACAATATATAGCAGGATATTTTTTACATCAAGGCAGCAATTCCACCGCTTGCTTGGTCAGAATAATGAAATATCAATCAAGAATTAACTTTAAATAAATACCAGAAAGCGATTACATGAGGATGGTTCAACATTATCTAAAAATGTTTATATAGTATCTTCTTTCAACTACATAAAAAAATAACAACAGAAAAGCATTACCTCAAAACCTGTTTAAAAATTAACCAACAGCCTTAGATTTTATTAACAGAGAACTCGTTTTTAAAATAAACCATATGAGAGTTCTATCATTTGAAAATTAGATTATACAATAATGATGAACATAACGGCATTGTGGTTAGCAAGAAGTTCTATCATTTGAAAATTAGATTATAAAATAATCAAGAACATACCGGCATTGTGGTTAGCAGGAAGCAAACTTCTGCGAGCACTGCGTCGTCTGCCTTCCTCCCTGACCCCTCCCCCCTTGTCGTCGGGGGGCAGTGACACCTGACGGTCGCCTCCAGCCTTGGAGCGGGTGCCAACGCCCCCCTTACCCGAGCCATCGGTGTCGTCGTCTGCCGCGCTCGAGCGACTCTCACTCGCGCCGCTCTTGTTCGTCCTGCCTTTGGTGTTGGCAGGAGGAGCTGATGTCTTGGCAGGGCACGAGGGCTTCATGTTGCTGGGCGGTTGTGCCACTGGCGCACAGGAGTTCACCTATCGAGAAGTTATTTGTGTTCATGAAAATTGTTTGGCGTTTTCCTTGGACAACTTTACAACTGACTCGCTGTAGTTCATCTACAGAGAATTGCTTTTATATAGAATACAGATTATTTGTGATAACATTTCAGAATAATAATAACTAGAGAAAATAGACGTCGGTACATTTTAGTGGAGATCACTAAAATCACAAAATTTTAAAGCAATGCGACCTTCAAAGAGTCGATATCGATCAAAGTTGCCAAGTTTTTGGAAGGCAAAATGAAAATATAATTATGACACATCAATCAAAACATTTCAATTAAATCAATAAATTTCAAGGATACCGTATGGGTTGAGATCAAATGGGTAAAAAAGGTTTGAAGAACTTTAAGGTAACAAACTATTTTATGTCAATTTAAGGTGATAAATTTGAGACTAAGAGTTGTTTAGATATGAAGGTTTGCAGACCAGAAGTTTTGTACTCGACACATATTTATGTATAGTACTACATAATTCTTCCCTTGATTAATACAAGGGATTAAATTTAAGAGATATTAAAATTACATTACATACGAGAAAAAAGATATCAGTGAATAAAGATGACCCAAGAGTGAGCGTAATTACTACACAATTTACTCACCAATTCTTTTTTAGCATTGCTAGGTGAAGAGTTGGGAAGAACATTCTTTAGTTTATTAGCGACGTTATTGGGAGTGGCGTTACTGACGGGACAATAGCTGGTGTTCTTGGCGATGCGGTTACGTCTGATCCACTCATCATAGCGGGAGTTCCAGCCCTGGTAGTGCACGAAGTACATGAGGTTGTCCACGCTGCTAGTGTCCAGTAACGCGTCCTTAGTCGCGCTGCCCACTGCGCCAAGGCTGCCGCAGCTGTCGCCGTTGCTGCTTAGCATGTCCTCCGTGCTGATCTCCACCACCTGTCCAGGCAGCACAGGTCACAAGAGAGCAAACCGACATCACAATATATGAAAAATATAACCCAGTACTCACTGCAGTGAGTGACAGAGAGCGCATTTTCTCGTCGACGAAAACGTGAAGTCTCGGACAGACAGACAGACAAATGGACATGGGGAGCACAATAGTGCATTTTTTCCATAGATGAGGAAATGTGCTAAAAACATACAATCACTTACGGACAATAACGTCAACAATAAAGCCCTAATATTAATCGCAAATATAAACAAGAAACTCGACTGAGATAAAATTTTTAAGTTAATAAGCAAAACACTAGAAAACTTCATGAATTAAGAACAAAAATTTTACAGGTGGAAAAAGAAAAAAAAGTCATGAAAAAATAAAGTGACTCAGGAATATTGCATTCGACTATTTATAATAATTTCACGAGAACAAAGCATTCAGGCTCGCCGAGCCGTTTAGGAGTAATTTTGAAATATGGAAGCATATTTAAGATTCTCCTCCACAGCTGTGAGCCCTAAACAGGCTACCCTGGGCAGTTCTTTCACTAATTTCCTTGTCCATTCGCATATGAGAAACCCTTTACAACTTTTTATGCTAATCCAGCTTTTCATTTACATTTTTAAGACAGAATAAAATACTTATGAAATTTGATAATTGAATAATTTACGCACAAGACAATTTTAAACATTGCTGATGAAACAATGGAAAACAAACATGATGAGTAGTAGTAGTAGTAGGGAGAGGTTTCTAGCGCTTCAGATCAGTGTCGTCTATTTCGCGCCGAAGGTCCAATATTCGTTTTGCAGGGTCAGCAGGCTTCTTCGTTGGTTTCAGGCTCGTAGCCTGATCCATCTGGTCTAGGGTGTATGCTTCTTCATTTCCAAGGCGCAGGTTCTATCCGTCTTCTGCTATTTCATCTCAACCAGTAATATGATGACACGAATACGACGTCTTGTCAGAGGTGTGGGTCTTTTCTGACCTCTGTCAAGGTGCCGTGCTAGATATCTGGCAGCAGGTTACACTCGATTAGGTATTGTCTAAGGTTGTCAGTTCTAAAGGTGCTTCGGGGAACTTCCCTCAGCATCCTAGACAGCATTTCATTTGGGCTGAGAGCAGTGGTGTTGGGGTAGTAGTTTTGCCGGGTATCACTGTGGCTCGGGCATTCCGTCATAACATGCAAGACCGTCAGGGGTACCAAACAGTCATTGCAATACGGCATTGGACGGCGTTCGATCAGGTACCTGTGAGTGAGGCGCGTGTGGCCGATCCTTAGTCTGCACAGCGCTACCTCCATCTTCCGGGATTTCTGGTATGATGAGGTCCACGCTTGTACACAGTCCTTAATTGTTCTTAGTTTGTTCCCCCTCACATTCAGCCACTGTTCCAGCCAGATATGGCGGATACTTGCCTTGATGATGGGGTAATGGTCCCGGCAAGGGACCTGCTCACTATGGATCACCTGGTCCGAGGAGGCGGCGTTTACCGCCGCCTCATCCGCCCTTTCGTTGCCTCGCACCCCCACGTGTCCGGGCACCCAGGAGACGCTCACCGCTCTCCCCGCCCCAGCCAGGCGCACCAGCCCGGTTAGGATCTCCCAGACGATGGGGTGCCTGCTATTATAGACTCTCAGAGCCTATACCACACTTTTGGAGTCTACAAATATTGTAAAGTCGTCTCCGGGCAGTTGATCTATTAGGTTGAGGGCACAGCTGACACCGACCAGCTCGGCGGTGAAGATTGACGAGCTCGAACTGAGTCTCCTTGACACCACCGCGGCGCCGGCCGCAGCTGCACATCCCACTGCGCCGTTCGTCTTAGAGCCGTCGGTGTAAATATGCGTGGAGTTTGCATGCTTTGTGGATGCATGGTGGAGAAAGATGTTTCTCATCTCGGTTGGGTGTGTCCTTTGCTTCAGTGGGTAGTTTTGGTCCGGGCAGAATGTGTTGATTGGGATGCGCCATGTAGGGGTATCCTCAAATGTGACTGGTATGACTTCTAGTACATGAGCCTGCGTTGTTGCAAGCAGTGTTTCATAGTCTTCGGATGACGGGATATTGTACGGGAAAATATTTGGTCGGTCTTCAGTTATAACGCTGCGCCATGTTGGGGATAGAGGTAGTTGCTTGAGGCGGGCTATCATCTGGAGTGTGAGCTGTATTCGGCGGAGACAGAGAGGAGGCTCGCCGCTCTCTGCATAGAGGCTAATAGTGGGGGATGTTCTGAATGCTCCGGTACATGTCCTGATGGCGGCGTTGTGGACCGGGTCGAGTACAGAAAGGGTTTGTTTTCTTGCGTATTGGTAGATAATACATCCGTAGTCCATCTTTGTTCTAATAATGGCTCTATAGAGGCGAAGTAGGGTCAGCCTGTCCGATCCCCACGACTGTCCGGACAGGTTCTTCATGAGGTCCATCCTCCGGAGGCAGCTGCCCTTCAAAGCCCGCAGGTGGGGCCCCCAAGAGATCCTGCAGTCCCATGTCATGCCAAGGAATTTAGCCACGGGCGATACGGCAATTTGAGTACCCTGTAAAAAACAATGGAGGGAGTTGTTCCTGAGAGCGGTTTCGTTTAAAGTGCATGGCCACGGTTTTCTCACTTGAAAAGGAAAAGCCGTGGTTCATGGCCCACTGACTGGCTCGGTTTATGGCGGTCTGAATACGGCGTGCGAGGGCGGGTAGGTAGTGAGATGACGCATAGATCATAAAATCGTCGACATATAGAGAGGACTGTACGTTGGGAGGAAGGCTGGAGTTGATCCCGTTTATGGCCATCAGGAAGAGCGTGCAGCTGATCACGCTTCCCTGCGGCACACCCTGGTTCTGGACGCATAGAGGTGAGAGCGAAGCCCCCACTCTCACTCTGAAAGATCGGTAGCGCAGAAATTCTTGGATGTACAGGGCCAGGTTACCTTTAATCCCGGCTTGATGGGTGAACTGCAGTATTCCGTGTCGCCAGGTTGTATCGTAGGCCTTTTTCATGTCGAAAAATACGCAAATTGTGTGTTTTCCATCCTTTTTGCTCTTTATGATATGGTTTTGGAGCCGAACGAGTGCTTCCGTAGTGCCTCTGAGGGGGCGGAAGCCGTATTGTGTAGGGGAGATCAGATTTTGGCTTTCTAGATGTTGTACGAGTCGGTTGTTGACAATTCTTTCCAGTACCTTCCCCATACAGCTGGTCAACGCGATGGGGCGGTAGCTGGATAGCTCCAGGGGCGGTTTATTGGGTTTGAGGAAGGCTATTACTGTGGCGGTTCGCCATTGCGATGGAAATGCGTGAGATAACCAAATTTTATTGTACAGGGTTAGAAGGGCTGTTATTCTCATTTTTCTCAGCATTTTGTAGTGAATTCCGTCTGGTCCGGGGCTGGTGTTCTTTTTATAGTGTTGTAATGCGCTGTATAATTCCAGATACGTGATTGGATCATTGTACGGAAGGCTGTGATCACTGATCTGTTCTGAAGTCCATAGGCTGTCGTTCGTGCTGGGCTCTGGTAACACGGAATGGATCAGGATAGTGGCGTCCGCTACTAACATCCGCAAAATGTCGCGCCAGCTCAGTTGCCACCAGCTGGGGATCCGCCGTGATCGGACCATTCACCGTCACGCATGGTTGTTTGTGTGGTGGTTTTCCTGCCATCTTCTTGACTCGCTGCCATATCTTGGACATAGGAGTATTTGCATTTAAGGATGAGATATATCTCTGCCATGACATTTTCCGGGCTGTATTCTTAACATATTGGGCCACGGCTCGGAACCTCTGGTATGCGATTTTATCGGCCAAGTTACCACTGCGTTGAAACCGGCGTAGGGCCCGCTTCCTGTCCAGGTTGGCGCGAGCGCAGTCGTCGTCCCACCATGGAACACGATGCAGGATAGTTCCACCTTTAGAGCGCGGGATTGCAGTACTTGCAGCCACTCTAAGGGCGTTTGTGAGACTTTCTGCCATTTCGTCCACCGATAGGTCATCCTCTAGCTATTTTATAAAATAAATTCAATTGAAAAGACAGAGGAACATAAAATCTTAAAATGAGTAGGAGGGAAGTGTGCACGTTGAATGAGAGGGAGGGTGCAACCAGATGCACGATAGCTCACTCCAGTCAGCCTCGGCCAACGTAATGCTGTGGTTGCTATGCCGCGCTCAGCAATAGGCGAACAGAAGTCTTAGCATTAGTGTCTCTTAAGGTTATAAAAGTAAATGTTGAATATTTCGGCCTTTAAGTACTTACACTTTGGAACTACTAACCTTTGCAACGTAAGTCACTTTGGACTGCTTCGAGTTAGGTCCGTAGAGAACCAGCAACTTGTCTCCAACGTTCACGGGAACGCTGCTCGGGATTCCAGTCTTACTTTCCCTGAGGAAAATATAAAAAAGTTTAACATTAAATAATCACTATCTACTGATTAAATGAGCAGCGCTTGTTGAAATTAATCTCGGGACAATTTTCAGGAACTAAAACATATAGATGAAAAATAAATTGTTGCTGGCGATATCTATTTAATAGTTTCGTAATTAATTGGTCACGGTCATTATTCTAATATAGAATCAAGAAGACGATAGCCAATTCCCGAGATCGCAAGACAATTGTAGTTAAAATTATTATACATAAAATATACGGAACACTAAAGTATCGATGTTACGTGTCCACTAAATGAACAGTACGAGCTAAAATACTTTCCGAGATCTGAAAATTACATCAAAAAATAATGATCAGCTTCTATTTTAAGATCTACGAGAATGACGAGTGTTACGAATGTATTTATGGGTTCTTGAATCTCAACTGCGATAACTCTGTGAACTGCGTGCAAAGAAACAGTTGAAATAAACGAAGCAGGCACACTTCTTGTTGAGATAAGAGTGATGGTCTGAGTGACACTTGACATCTAATTTGTAAGGAAGAGCCTTACGCATTCGGCGTTGTTCTACCCGTTGACGCTTGAGAACGACCCTCATCTTAATTCTTATAAAAACGCCTACGATGTTCAATTTTTTTTGTCACGAAAACAATACAATTCATAAAACATTGATCCATGATATTCAAATATACCTCATAATACTTAATTATCAAAATATTTGCACAATGAAAAAAAATTCTCTGGATGCAGGCGGATGATTCAAATTAATAACCAAACACACAGGAAATCATTTCATATTTTCACTCATAAAAAAAAACTCAACAAATAAGATAAACAATGTTGATTGACAACACTAAACTAACCCTTGAACTTCGGCGTCCATGAGAATGTTGGCTTCAAGCCTCTTCTTGCGCCCCTTCTTTGCCTTGTCGCTCTCGTCAGCAGACCGCGCGGAGCCGTTCGAGCCTTTAGTGCTGCTCGCCCCGCCTCTTGTCCTACCGGAGCCGCGGCACGCGCCCCCACCGCGCCTTTTTCCTGACCCGTTCTCACCAAAACTGCCTCCTCCGCTCGCTGAACTGTGACATGACTCGTTGTCTTGGCTGTCAGAGTCGTTGTCAAGATCCAGGGAGGTGCCTAGTGATGAAGCAGTCAGTTTCTTGCGAGAATTTGAAGAGGAAACCACCACAGACTTGCGCAAGTTGCCGACCGAAGGAGAGGACGGCGGAGCGGACAGTTCCCGACTACCCTCTCGTTGGCGGGAGGCTCTAGAACGCCTCTGCGCACGACCACACGCATGAGTCATATGTAAGTACAAAGTTTTTCTTTCGGGTATTTAACGACTTTTAGGAATATCAACAAATACTTTCACTTCTATACGAACATCTAAATTATGTTTAGATGTTCGTCAGGAACTATATGAATATAAAGACTAAGGATTCACAGCCTAATCTAAAATTCATTAAATAAAAACGACATTTAAAAATTAAATGCTCACCGTCTTGCTGTCAAGTTCAGTCTCGTTGCACTCTTCGTCATCCTCGGAGTCAGGCTCGTCTCCTTTAGCCCTACCCTCCTTGCCGGTGTCAGACTCGCCTCGTGCACTGGACCGCGTGCGCATTTCGCTGGACGCCGCGTCTTGGAGGTCCTTGGCAGCGTCAGGCTTTGTCGTGACACTCGTGCCAACAGCAGCCACTGCACGGCTATCCGTGGGTGTTTCAGATCTGCCAGGTGTACCTCTGCCCAACTTGGCTACGCTCGATCTGAAATAGGAGGCAAAGATGATATGGCGTGCGAGGTAATAAAACCAAGAAAACCAAGGAAGGTGATGATCAATGATCACCAGAGAAATATTTAGATCAGAGAACTCCTCCTTTTGGTTTGCTGATCAATGATCACTAAGGCAGGTGGTTTGCTGATCAATGATCACAAAGGCAGGTGGTTTGCTGATTAATGATCACCAAGGCAGGTGGTTTGCTGATCAATGATCACCAAGGCAGGTGGTTTGCTGATCAATGATCATCAAGGCAGGTGGTTTGCTGATCAATGATCATCAAGGTAGCTCGTTCAATTATCAATAATTAGATCGGATAATAGATAATAATATGAGCAGTATGCACGTCTAAAGTAGGTTGGTCTGAGCAATGATCAGACAGGACGAAAACTTGAGATTTTGAATAATTGAGACCTTCCGCCTCTTTGGCGATGCTATATTTTGACCTTCGGTGCGAAATAGCTTGATAGCTGAAGCGCTAGCAAACCATTATACTACTACTACTACTACGAAAATTTACGTTAATGCCAGGTATGGAAGCAATGACATGCATTTAGACCAAGGAACTGAATTTCAATGCACAGTTGATATAGAAAAATTTCGTAACTATAGTATATGTTAGATATAGGAGAGGCTGAAATATAAATACCGAGCAGGAGAATAGAATAGAGCATCTTTTTGGCCGCGCTGTTTGGATGCAGCAGCAGCTGTTAGGCCAGCAGTGGAGGCTACAGAAGACGGCGGCGTCCCGGCTGCAGTGTTGGCGGCAACGTCTGGAGCTCGGCCAGCTTCTTGCCGAGTAATGCGGCTGAAGATTTGAACAAAAACATTAACCTTAATCATAGTAATGATATACAACAACGGGCTCTAGAGTCAATGTCAAAAATGATATAGACAATGTCAATGTTTTGAGTCAAAAATAAAGCAAGTTGTCATCTCTGAAGCTTCGCACATGGAAATATCAATGGACTATAAAATTTGAATTCAGCAAAGTTATTAAGGAAAGCGTAATATGCCCATAATTCTAGTTCTCGCGACTGCAAGCGAAGCAATATGTAATCAAAGAAAACATTGAAAATCGTCTCAACAGATCGAGAGTATCGGCGCCATTGCCAGCGTTTTCTAAAAAAGGCAGACGAACGAAAAAATAACCATGTAGATAAGGACAGAAATGATTTCGGATAGAAGGGATATGCACATATGCGTACAGTGAGCACAGCACACCTGTACGTTCTGATATCCTTGGGAGTGGTTGAGACTGTCTCAGGCTCATCATCTTCTTCCTCCTCATCGTCGCCATCGTCGTCGTCATCACCACCACCACCTCCACTTTTCTTGCTGGTGTCCCGAAGCGCCCCCCGCCGACTGGGGGGGCGCCCTTTGACACCGCTTCTAGGGGTGCCGTTGCCGCCGCGTATGATGGTGCCTACGTACATGACTCATTCAAACCTCGTACATGGAACTGCTTAAACTTTGGCAGGAACGTAATACTTATAATTGCAGGTGCCTCGATGTGTTCGAGCACCATCAGCATGTACTTTACAGCACAAGCAACTGCGACATTAGCATGTACTTTACAGCACAAGCAACTGCGACATTCTCATGTACTCCACAGCACAAGCAATAGCACCAACATTACCTTTGTACTTTACAGAATAAGCAGCTGCATCAACATTAGCACTATTCTATTCTACTCCATCTACATCAGTGATTATTTAAAGATCCAGTGTCAAAGAACGCAGTAAAAACAATTTCTTTCCCAAATCCCAACTTATAAAACTTTCAAGGTTAATTTCGGACCGTAATAGTTCTCATGACGAAAAGAATATTTAGAACAGAGAACCTAACAAGACTAGACATCCCACCAGCGATGCTGGAGGGCTGAGGCTGCGAAGGCTGTGAGGGCTGAACCTCCCCTGACGCGGCGCCTGCAGCTGACCGCGTCGGGGACGCGCTTGCCGACCCTGATCTGGCGGGGCTGTTCGCTCCTGGGTATGAACAATAGGTACATCAGTAGGGAAAACTATATGCAAAGTTAGATTCAAAATTTAAATATTCTATGAAGAACTATATAAATTCGTTCTTTTTAATTATAATTTACAAAAATCTGCGTTTAAAAATTACTTTTTAAAGACACTTCTAAAGAGGCCAGTGTCTCCGATGTTACACACGTACAATGAATTTCTAATTTTATTTTTAAATAAAAAAAATTTTTTTTAATGTTAAAAAAATTAATTTAAACAATTTTTTATTCTGCCCATAGATTCAAGCATTGTTTTCGACCTTACGGAAGTGTGCAAAATTTCAGATCAATTGGACAGGTAGAAGTGTGTTTCAAATATCGATTATAAGATTTGTAGCAGACAAATAAACAAACAAGAAGTGAAGTTAAAGAGAAGTGTAGTAATAAAATGGTTTTGAAAGTGCAAATGATGAAAAAACCTTAGCCGTTAGTCACAAAATCTGGCAACATTGACAGATTGGATGGCTTTTGAAGCCTATGGGCTTACCAAGTCCGTGGACAGAGTGAGGGCTTTTGTCGACCCTGTCGCAGTCGCGTATGAGGGAGCGGCCCCCCGAGCGTGGGCGCGAGGGCGCCATGCGGCGAGGGCTGCTCACCATCGTACAGCCCAACTTGCGGTAGAAGTCCTCAAAGCTGTGCAGGTACCTGCGCACAGGGCACGAGGATAAACACATAGCGTGGGCAGTTGGGGCGATATACTTCAGAGGCAATCAACTAAGAAAAAGAATAAATGGGGGCAAGACTGAGAATGGCACATTTAACAATGCAATGCAGGTAAGAATTTTCCCTTGATGAAGAAAGGAAGAAACTACATATCCATCGCTGCTGCGGACATACACAAGGAAATCAGTTTTATGGTAACAGACAAACAAATGCGAGGAAATTAACCTCAACTCCTAAGGCAAACCAATATCATAAAATTAGGCCTATTCATATTAAAGGAAATTGATCCCACAGCCATGGAAGGGAGAATCCATGGACGTTAAGGGGACCGACTACCTTAAAATTTTCAATTTTGGCGTTTTCCGGTTTTTGAGCTCATCTTAAAGCTTAGTTTTTGACGCATCCAACCGTACCAGAATCATCCCTCTACGTAACAGCCCTCCGAAGGGAGGGAGTTTTTAGAGCCCTTAACTAAAGCCTATGGGATTAATTAGAAGGGTGGACACACTAAAAAGGAACGTCTGACGTAAAGCGGCCAATCATGGCATTATCCGGTGCTCATACTCATCTAAAAGCTTACTTTCTGACGATTCCATTGGTGGCAGAATCATCTTTCTACCTCCATTTTTACGTTCACCACGCCCCATGGAACGGGGGCGGTGGGATGCGGCCTTAACAAATTCCTAAGGCATTAATTACGGGGCGTGACTTGATATACTGCCAGATGCAGCCAGGTCTTTCAGTGCCCATCATGACAGCGAGGTGAAAGGTGTGCAGCCACTCGCTCTATGCCTTCCTCACTTAGTTTTAAGGCTTGTTTGCGGTATGTTGGCGACGTTACGACTCTTTTACGTCATTTTACGTGCCGCCCGGCAGTTTTTTGGGCGTCCTGAAAACCTCCGATTGGTCGCACGGCAAACCTATCTCCTCCTACAGTTTCCATGTACAAAATTGCTGTGCAATTTAAAAACTTGTATATTAATACCAATGATCTTGTAAAGATTAAAATTCCAAAAGCACTCCCACGCCGTGAATACAGCATACGCTTGAATGTTGTAATCGCGCCCATAGTAGGTTAGTAACTGATTACTGGCCAGTAGATTCCTAGACGTCACTCATCTCAGACCAGACCTATCGGTCTGCACAGCACGGCCTATGGCAGCGTAGCAGTTTTGTCTGGGGGGCTAGCTCGCACGTTAGGCTTGCGTTTCTCATGGCATTTCTCTCCGTGTCCTGAGCGCATAGCACACACGCAAAGCAGCGCAGCCTTCTACAACGCAGCGCTTGGCCTGGCTTGTCACTTGACTAGGTGGTTGGCTATGGGGGAGCCGAGAAGTGGTGAGGAACGATCTGCGCACTGATGGCCTTTAGTTTAAGACGTGAAGTGGCGCTTAAGGTGGAGGGTGCCTGGAGCGGAGTCTGAGTCAGGGACCTTGGAACTTGCCAAAGAACTCTATCTTTCAATAAACTGGTGCACTGTTTCGACTCTTAGTTTCACCTTCCCCGTAAATTTAGTGCATTCCAAGCTACAGCAATGAGACATATACCATTCGATTTGTAAAGACCATACCTATAGAACTAATGATCATTTTTTTGAATTTCTGTCTGGTTCGTTTTTTATATGGGGGAGAAGGGGGGGGGAGGGGGAAAAATGAGAAAAAATGAGAAAAATTGGATAAAACGCGCATAAAAAAAACTAAGGGGAAAATGAGAAAAATGATCATCAAATCTATAGGTATGCTCCTTACGAACCGAATGATGTGTCTCGATGTTGTAGGATGATATTTGTAGGAGGAGATAGATTTTCTAAAGTACCCATTTTTAGCCGTTTTCTATGAATTTCACGTTTTCTGTCAATTTTTTCGAAAAATTCATACGAGCAAAATGTTATTTTTTTTTTACATTTTACGTATGTATGTGAAGTTTCATGATGATCGGATAATAACTGTAGAAGTTTTTCCGGAGGGTAGTCGGTCCCCTTAATTCGACTACAGCAGACAAACAAATTGAGGGAGGCACATTCAGCCTAAGGAACCTAACTAATAAATTAGTCACAATAGAACAAAACATGGAAAAATGAATAAGGAGTAAAACATAAGGGAATAAAAGGAGCTATCATGTACTGTAAAAATAAAATGTCATGTAAAAAACAAAAATTTAGTGATAACACCGTTACAGAAACCTGATACAAAATACACCAAGAATCTCAGAGGGCTTAAGAATGTTGTCTTTCTCTATCAGGTTACGATGGCGATAAAAACAAGGGACGAAGCGTTTAGAAATAATACTTACAGGGTGAGAAAAAAATGAACTCACCTCTTGTACGCGGATTTGATGAGATTAGGACCTTGTGACCCCAATGAGCTGAGGTTCATTTTGTGAGCAACCACCTTCAGTTGATTCTGATTTAAAACTCGGTTAAAGCCACCCAGCTTCTGCACAATCTGCATAAACAAAATAATAGTTATACTAAGGGAATTTCCTGAACGATCTGTTTATAAATTTTTCACGTGACATAAATAATAATGCCGCATGAAAAAATGAAAAACATATCATTTTGTTTAGGAAATTATCTTGAAATAATTATTCGTCACAATAGTCAATTTCATATAAAATGTCAGACTATGAATATAAAATGATTGTAAGCATCAGATGATTTTGACATCGCAAAAACTATTATCAAAGGTATCATTCATACAAATAACTTTATTGAGAAAACAGACCATAAGGATACACAAATTTGCATATATATTATCAAAGGATTGAAATAGTGAGATATTTGACTGACCTTAAACAGTCTGTAAAGATCGAGGTCTCTGTTGGCGATAGTAGGGCCCTTGTTGATAGGCGTCCCACAATCCTCCATGAACTTGTAAAGCTGAGCCACGAAATGATCTTTCTCCTCGCGAGGCTCGTCGTCAGATTCCTGCACATTTTTAACCAATTATTTTCAAGACAAAAACCGGTTCAACGCAATAGAATCCTCACAATTATTTAGAATGAGATATTATAAATGACAAGTCCCAGCAAATGCGTTCCTAAGGTTAACAGATAGCCATAAATTTGCTCCAAGAGTTTGGTAGTTAAACCCAAAAATGTGAATGAACCAATAATACATACATAAACCGAATATTGGGTAAAGGAACTCTTATCGAATCTCGTAACTCGCAACAAGGGTGAAATTGAAAAATATTCAGGCACCAACAAATAAGCGTAAACAAAACTTAGAACACTTCATCCGGAGCAAAGATTTGAAAAGTTTATTCAGTGACTGACATCGGACTCGGTGCCGTCAGTATCTTGTTCAGAGATGTCCATGCCAAAGAGCACGTCGCGGTCCCAGTGTGGGGGCAACACGTCCGTGTTCAGGTACTCCATGGCCTTGTCCACGGCAGCCTTCAGGCTCCCTAGAGTGACTTTAGCTCCTATCTCTTTGGTGAACGTCGTCGCCTCCTTCTTAGGCACCGTGTAGCTGAAAACGAAATATGTATTCCTCACATTAGTTACTTTATTTTCTCGTACTCCATTAGCTCAGTACAATATTGTAGTGCCTAAATCGAAAAAATTGTGCGCAATTAGCCTGAGGTCTTTTGGGAAAAATATAAAAAATGTTAATATATGATTATGGACAACTCTGGCTCTTTCAAATAACCGGTGATTATCAATAAATCATACAGGTCCAAATGTCCGCCGTCAGTGACGTGACTTTCATCAGCCTTTTAAAACCAGAATGATATTTCACATAAAAAACATGAAACAATCCAACATACTGGGTCACAACAAATGAATCATTTCACAACAACTCACTATCTGCCATCTTGGAAGCTCCTGACGAGGAAGTCTTTGCGGGTGTCGATCCTAACCGTGTCCTGGGCAGTGGGGGCGACCACCAGCCCAGGGAACCAATTGTCGCGCTGCTTCTTCTTGTTGTCACAAGCCTCGACACACACGACCTGGTCATTCAAATAGGAAATTACTAAACATATGCATACAATAAGGATTCTACATCCACGTCACGTCATGAATATTAAAGTGAATTCTTAAAAATCTAGAGAAAATTAAAGCCACATAGCAGCGCATTATACTATGGGGGAATGACTTACTCATACATCACTCACAGACAAAATACTCAGCTTTTATCCAATATGAACCAATACATAAATTAATTACTAAATTACAATAATGATAGGATCACAATTTGCAACAGTAAATCGTAGATAAAATTCTTCATAAATGCATATATTTTGTCATATTTCAAGACGATCCAATGTAAAAAATTATATTACATAATATTTTGAGACTTTGTTGAGGTATAAAACTTGCCATTGAAAATGTATGGTTAGGTTAGGTTGTATATAAATACTTTAACCTTGATATTTGGCAGCAAGGAGATGCACAATAATATTAAGAAACTATGCAACAGTAAATATTGTTCGATACATTGTATTGCTATCCATTGTAATTCCTAGATCAGTCTTACAAATAGAGATCTTCCAAGCAGGCAATGCATGCAGAAATGCACATGCTGACTTGGGAGACTTCAATATTGCAATACCGTACATCAGACATTTTACACCATTGGCCTTTCAAGGAAGTCTGCCCGATTATTTATTATTTACTATCATCAAATTTGTTCAACAATAAACTACACTATTACCAGTAGTTTTACTAACGATGAACAACAAAACTAAGCTTAACAAAGAGAGCCTTCTAAGCTGACATCTACCTTGCTGATATCCTGTTCCCACTCCTCCCTACGCGCACAGTGCGTCTTGTGGACGTCTTCTTCTTCTCCAGACGACGCGCTACTGTCTGAACCTGACCCGCCACTTGTGCTGCAAAAAATTTAAATATTCATTAAAAAAATATACAGTACATTAATGTCACACAGCAGTGGATTAAATGCATTAGAAGTTCTTTTATACAGAGTGGTTCTGCATAAAGATAATAGAAGGAATTAATGTATGCTTTATTTGCAAAAGGTTTTTGCACTAAAAAGGTTGCACTAACAATTTTTTAGAGCAACAGCCCATGCGACTTCAGGCATTCCATTGCAAAGCTAAAGAAGACTCCACAAACAGTACAATCTCGGATGTCCCCTACAGCAACGTACTTGTGGCGACCACCACCAGATTTGTGGCGTCGAGCGACACCTCTCCTGCCCAGGCCTCCACCGCCCACCACGGGGCTGCCAAAGTGTTCAGGGTGCGTCAGGGGCAGTTGGTCCAGACTCTCACTCTCAGCAAAGTGCCGGCCGCTCTTCAGGCAGAGGGAAGTGCGCCGCAAAGTTGTGATGTCCCCGTCATCAAACACTGAGAAAATTATCACAGTCAGCATTCATAATTAAAAAATTCTCTCTTATCTTCTGGTTTCTTTTACAAATAAATGTTTTCACCATCCTCACATTGATTGGAATATCAATCATTAAAAATACTACCTTGAGAATCGTACCTAAAGCTGAGACCTAAAGTCTCAGACCCAACGTCTCACTTCTAGAAGGTACGGTACCTAAACTGAGAATCGTATCTCAGAGGCCACAAGCCTCTTAAATGAAACTAGAGACCCTCTGTGACCATAAGTCTCAGTGGCCATGAGTCTCAGTGGTAATTAAGTCTCTGTGACTACGAGTCTCTGTGACCATGAGTCTCCATGACCATGAGAGACCCTGCATGACCCAACACCAGTCAAATGAATCAACAAGCTATATAGAACTCTTGCTTATTTAAGCACACGCATTTATTGATTAGCTTCCTAAATGAATGACCCACACAAAAATATGGACTAATGCTTCAACCATCAAGAAGTAAACGATGTTAAAATCATTTCATTTGAAAATGAAAGAAATAGATATTCCCAAAACAAACTTCTAGTCTAGTTAAGTGGCTATTGGTATGTATTAGCATTATATGTTTTGTGGTTTTAATCTTTCTTCATTTTAATAGAATAGTATATCTCAGCTTTAGAACATAGGTATGAACTATGAAATTAAATTCATGAACTCATCAGTAAATTGTATCAAGTTAACTTATTTGAAAACTTGGATTTCATGGTTGATGGATAAAATTAACATTACTCCTATTTCTGAAGTAACAACATATTGCAGATAGAAATAAGTGGACATGACAGATAGAGCAATACTGTAGAGATTAAATATATTGGGACTACTATGATCCTTATTTGTGTAGCAACAGGTGCATGAATCATCCCAGAGAATGCATTGTTAGCAACAGGGAAGAAATTGCACGAGCTGGACCTCTGAACTTGCATAGGATTTGATGAAAGTAGAATTTTCATTCTAACTCCTGGCTGGAACTAGGGGTACCTATGAGAACCTCAGGTGAGACTCTTGCATTGGTAAGCCACATGTCTCTTGGTAATATATTTGATAAGAAAAGTTGGCATGTCTCCCACAGCCTTAAAATATATCAAATCTTTAGGTATTTATCTGGACATCCCATGACCGTAACATGATTTAACCTCCTAAAAGTAATATATTTTTAAATAATTAAAAAATCCACACATATCTTTGAAAAAGAAAAAAACTGCCAACACTCACCAACAGTGTACTGACTGCAATCCTGTATCTTGGCAATGGTAGCATCTTGATGGTTGGCTCGATCAGGATGCATTGCCTTCACAGAGCTCCCTACTTTGAGCAGTCCTTTAACTTGCTCGTCTGACACCACATGGCTCCCCAGGCCACCTTTGTATGTAACCTGAGAAAAAAAAAACATTTTAGTATATGCAATGATTGTGAGTTCCATCATCGAAAACTTATTTATTTGAGAATGATTTATAATTTTGCTTGAAACATGTATCATCTTGCACAATCAAATGATTGGCTGTATCTGCTATAAAAAATGAACATTTTGATAAAAATTGAAAATAAATACTTTCTTTGTAAATAATCAAAGTCAATAAATAAAATAATCAAAGTGCTCAGTGTGCTAAATGACCAAAAAATTGATTGGATATATTAAAAAAAAGTAGAGGATAGTATAAATTTATTTTACTTATACCAAAATAATTTTGAAACATGATTTTTATTTAATTGAAATATTTAATGAAAACAAGTATTAATTAAACTACACTGATGCCATCATCGATTTGTGTTCATATGAAAAAAAAAAAAATGTGTAACCAGAGATGCGCTACATTTTACATGTATCAAGTGATCAACATTATCATTCATTCAAGTGCAGAGATTTCAAACAAATTATAAAATAATATAGCAGCAGCAACAGGTTCCATGAAAAATTCTTTTTGTTTCATTTCCTTTGACCGAGTTTTTTCAGCCAGTTTTTTTTCAGGAGCATATATAAGACAAGCTAGGTAGATACTTGGGCAGAAACTGTGGGGAATTTAACTTGACCCAGCATCCTTAAATAAATTTTAATTGCTGAATTGAAACAATACAGTTTTACATGCAATTTACAAAAATCACCAGTTAAACATTCTGTTCCAACAAAAATTTCAATTGCTCAATATTACAGATTGATCCCAAATTTTGGCAGCTCAGGAGAAAAATTTAACCCTTTTGATATGGGTTAAATATTTCTCCTCAGCTATATATAGCATTGCCAGCCAGATCAATAGTATGATAAATTACAATGCATTGTTTCACACTCCAACTACAGTAAAATATATATAATTGAAATGGAAGAGCACATACCTTTATTTTAACACATTTCTCAACTTTGTGAACCTTGGCTTCACAAAAAGCTCCTTTGTATTTGGCTGAGACTTCAGTACCAACACTGAGAAAAGGAGGATCTTCTGCCTGTAAATTATAAATCACATTAGAAACCATACAAAGATTGAGTAATTAATTAACATCAGTGTTTATTAATTACTTAATTATAAGTAGGATTGCCACTGGGATGTTAAATCACATGTTGGCCACAAAAGGCATGAAACAAAATAGCATCATAAATAACTTGTCTACTATATCATTATCAAAGCTTTAAATTTTCTTTATTGTATTCATAATTAGCTATCTCACATTTGATTCAGCTTTCATTTCAAAACACAGCACCAACTAGAAGCATATATAATAATAGGCTATAGCTTTCAGTTTAACTTTTAGAAGGGGAAGGATGAAACTTGAAGCCCATGCTTCAGACAAAAAAAATGCTTTATGCATTTGCTGAAAAAAATTAGGTAGCAACAGAGCATATCAATTCAGACATTTGAAAACTTAGTGGATATAATTGACGTTTTACAAGCACCAACCAAAAAACTCCATCATAACCTCAACAGTACCGTCAACAACTTTTCTACTTTCTTTTGGTTTTACAAAGCCATGTTTTACTGGCAAAACCGTCAAAAGCTGAGTTCACAGTTCACAAACAACATGGCGACGACAATTGACAAACGTTTGTATAGCAAGTTGAAATAAGTTAGGCTACAACAGTCTTTTTCGCAGTTATAATGCCATGTGGCTTGATAAATACATAAATATATTATAAAAATGCTAACTAGAATACTATTTTCACAAATAGTTTGCAGAGTTTAAAACTATCGAATACGATTCCATTGTCCAGGTGACGACGTATGGATAGGATTAGGAACAAAGCAAAGTCGAGAAGTCGTCGTAAGGCTATGCCAGTAAGCACTGGTATCTGCGACATCATCTAAAAATTACAGACGATACCTTAATACCGTCATTCCTGTCAAAAGCAGCAAAGAAAGAGCTTGCTTGCAAAATGGCTCAGCCTTCCATGGTTCAACACGTAACGGGTTTCACTGCGCATTAACTTCATTCAGACTTAATAAAATTCAAACTTTTTTGTTTAAAAATACTGACCTGCATCATTTTGAAGTAAATATTAAGCTGATGTCTCTAAAATAAAGAGTGGTCAAGCAATAAAACTACATATTAGATATTTCATATAACTACACGCTCACATCACTGACACCCTTCACCGCTAGTGGCATACTGAGGAAACTCGATCTCAAAAGGCATTGCATCGCCAGCACCTCAAACATACATAGCACTATTCTGTTCTTAGATGACAGACAGTTATGCCAAAAACTTCAATTATATTTCACCATAATTTCCAAAGATTTAACGTGAATATTTTTATTTCTATTGAAATAATGCATGTAGAATGTACTTGCTAATATGTCAATTTGCTAGCAATAAGCCTGATGGCGCGCTGTTGAATTTTGCGTTCATAATAATGTACTATAATTTACCAAAAATATGAATTATATATCAAAAGTCTGGTTATTTTGGTCTATTCTTTCATTTATATACATGTTATGAAAAAATTATAAGCTTGTCATGAAGAGCAGCGACCTCTAGTGTGTGTTATGACTCACCATGTTTTCGCGCTCTGGCCACTGCGAGAATTGTGGATCGTGATTGGCCGCTGAAACACAAATAAGACAACGTTCATGGCAGTTGGCCTCAAGATAGGACAGAGGATGGTGAAAATTTACAGAACGCAGATTTATTAAACGTTGAAATTCTTCACCAATCTATCTGATTTGATCATCACCATGCAATGCCTCGTGACTCCTTTCGCTACGCAAGTCATGACAAGTTGATTTCCAACAGTCGTTCGACCCATTGCGACCCTGTTCCATTCTGAAAAATTATTTCTAGTACACAGTAGATCTTTTCTTTATTTACATCTAAATATTTTCTATCTAGATGTGGGTTGAAGAGCTCATATTCCAGATAGAATAAGAATAAAAATTCCACTCGAGAAATAAACTTCATCTGGAAATTTAAATTACAATCAAAATATTTGGTCATTTTAAAATATTTGAAACCCTTAGCCAAAAAGCATTGAAATTTTAACGAGCGTTTCTTTTGCTATAATACTGATGACATTTCCGATATCTCCAGAGATTATTAAGTATCTTCAAACTAAACTTGAGTTATGTTGTAGTGAACTACTCTAATGTTCTGTAGCAAACCAAAAAGATAGGCACGTGAAATTAAGGTAAAATTGTGCGCGAAAAACTTTCACATAGTGTGCTATTTACTGTAGGATTAGTTTGTGGTAGGAATGAGATGATTGATATCTTTGGTTGAAACGATTGACGTATAAACGTCTTGCTCTCTAATTATGTAAATATTTTTACTTTTAACTCAGTCCATCTGCTGAATGCACAAATAGGCTAACGATTTATTACGAATCACTAATCAACTCGTTTTATTGTGTTACTGTTTTCATGTCATTTTTTTATCGTTTGTAGTTCAGCTGTGCCATTACGTTTGTAAGTCAGCTGCACCATAAACTTGGTTGTTGCTTAATTCCTCCACAAGTAAAGTATTCCTCCACACCTACGAAACCTACGATAAACGATTGAATTGTATTGAGTATTAAGATCACTAACGTGCTTAAATTGCAAATTTACCAAAAATTCAAAAGCAAAGGTAATAGCCATAAAGTTCAACATTTGTTATTAGAGAAAACGTTTCGGAGTCCAGCCCCATCGTCAGTACAAAACCTAGGGCACAGATACCAACAATTAGTAATATGATATTCGCATTCAAACAATTCACCTAAAATGGAGAAAATTTGAGCCTAAATCTAGAAGAGAAAAAATATATAAATATTAGTAAACATGAACATAAAGAATGATCTATTTACAATTACGAGAGGATATCAAATGAAAGCGGCATTTAAAACTGACCCCCTGTTTAAATAAAATACTTTAAAAAGAAAAATTTAAAAAAAAACACGTTTTTCTTGTTGACTATAAAGTAGAAAATAAATTATGGCTCGCCCCAAAAAACGTGTGTCGGGCAGATTTATGATTAAAGCGAAAAGCACCCAACACACGAATTTTGGATATTTGATGGTGAACGTACAGCCCGACCCACGTTTTTTGGGGCGAACCATAATTTATTTTCTACTTTTTAGTCCACAAGAAAGACATGTTTTTTTTAAGTTTTTTTAAGTATTTTATTTTCTACTTTTTAGTACGTACGTATCGATGATACGCAGCGTTAGCGCCTGCTCGTCTATAACGTCAGCGCCCGCACGTCATACTATATATATGTATATATATACTATATATATACTTTACTCAATTAAACTAATTTCGGTCTCTAATTACTAGTTTTTATGATTGTATCTGAAATTGTTAGGCGAAAATAGCCTGCATGCCGAATTTCAGATCTCTAGAACAATCAAAAGTGGGCTAATTTTTGTTGTCAATGTTAACAACAAACAAACAAACGCGAAGCTAAGCTAAGAAAAACGTGTTAAAAACGTATTAAAAACGTGTTAAAATATACAATGATTCTAAAATTCGAAGATCAGAAACACCGGTTGTGAAAGCTAAAACTTTAAAATCACTATTGGACACCGGGACATTGCATGCATTGCTCGGCATGAATGCGTACGGCTGAATGGCAGTACGGCTGAACAAACTCGGCAGTATGCGCAAGTTAGTTTCATGTTCTATAACTCCTTCCTCTATGCTCTGCCAGCCTAGTACATATAAAAATAATATACGTTTAAAAATTACTTTTTTAAGACAACACTTCTAAAGAATGCAGTGTTTCCAATGTTACAGATGTACAATGAATTTCTAATTTTATTTTCGAATATGAAAAAATAATTTTTCTATCCGTTTAATATTTAAAAAAAATTTTAAATTATTTATTCTGTTAATTGATTCATGCATTGCCTCCAACTTCACACAAGTGTGCAAAGTTTCAGATCAATTGGACAGGTAAAAGTGTGTCAAATATCATTTATAAGATTTGTAGCTGACGAAATTATTTTTCAGTTTTTTTTATTATAAGAAAAATTTATTCCTAAAATGATTTATTTTGCCATCTGATTCATGCATTGTATCCAACTTTACGCAAGTGTGGAAAATTTGATATAGATAGGATAAGTAAAAGTGTGTTAAATTTCGATTACAAGATTTGTAGCAGACAGACAAACAGACAAACAAGAAGTGAAGTTAAAGAGAAGTGGTGTAATAATTACGTGATGTCCTACCGACATACGCAGATGCACACTGCGCACAACTATATTGATAAACTAGGGACGACGAATAAGAACAGGGAGAGAAATATCTTTGCACTTGAAAAATGAGCTGATTTTAAAATTATTCACTAGCTATGCATGAAGATTTACAATCCGGAGGTATTTAGCGAATAGAACTTTCAATTCCTTTGTCATAATCTCGGATGTGGTGCCAAAGTATGGAAAAGAACACACTATTCCTATCGTCACGCTCGGGAAAAACCTCAGCATATTGCCTAGACAAGAATTTTGCATCGACATCAATAGTGACGGAAATCCATTTAGTGAAATGATACTGCACAAATATTCAAATTCATAGCATGGAAAGTAGAGCAAATTTGGAAGCCGCGGTTGTTCCGCCGCATTCCATTTAATTTGATACGGAAAGAACGAACACTAAAAAAGTTAATGCTTACGCCGGTAAACGTCGATTTTCGGTAAATAGATCTCTGAAAAAGGCCATTCGATTTTATAACATTGCAATCGAGAAAAGATAAGCTATTGTTGGATTGAAGCCCCACCCATGGTAAATTTGATATGCTTGAAGTTTTACATAAAGATAATTAAAAAATATATAACTCAGTAGTCAGTATACTCACTGCAGTGAGTGACAGAGAGCGCATTTTCTCGTCGACGAAAACTTGAGATCACGGACAGACGGACATGGCCTGCATTTGCAAAAAATGCACAATAGTGCATTTTTTCCATAAATGAGGAAATGCGCTAAAATGACCGATACGATAGGGATGTTTGAAAATTAAAAATCTGTCATTGACATATCGGTTATCGATAATAGGCTTAAAATAAAGAGGATAATTGGCCAGCCATATAGCCTCGAGGAAACTCATAAAAATATTAGCAAATGTAGGGCCAAAATGTAAGACCCCTACCAAAACTGTCAATTTTGACAATAGAACTTGCCAGCAAATAGAAAAACGGAGTTTAAAAGTAATAACTGAATAAGAGATTTTAAAATGTTGCGCTTCAAACCGATCACAAGTTCATTGAACTTGTCGACTAAAGAAATGCACGTTTGACGGGTATCATTCGTTAAACAGCAAGTTTGAATGCTATATTTGCTTGCACCGTTTGGAAATTCTCGTATCAGTTTACCAATGTTCAGTCATATTTAGAATCATATTTGAAACTTGGGATTTTCTTTGAATCAATTTTAAATAAAGATAAATGATAATAGAAGATCGATCAGGTACGTAAATAGTAAACTTAATAATATAAATACATACTAATAATAAAAGACTCATTCTGTCTTAAATTGATTGTAAGTAGGTCTTAAAGCTCATGTGTTTGGAAAAACATACGATGGTAGTGCAAAAAAAAAAACTGCCTGCCTGTGTGGTGGACGAAGTTTTGGTAGCACCGCATCCAGCAAGTGCATATGCTACTGACGGGGCGCATGCCGGAGGCCAGTTTGCCCAATTTTACACTTTAATCACCTTCCTTTCCGTGGGTAAGAACGCTGGGGGAATAGCAGCCTATGAAGTCTAGCTTTTGAAGCCAAAACGCCGTACGGCCGTATATCTACAGCCACATCGTAAGCATGCCCAAGCGTGCATGGTCGTACTGCATCTGGCCAAACCTATTCCCGCGGCCCCGCCTAACCTCTTGTCGCCTAACCTACACAAGTTGGAACATTTCACCACGCAAAACGAACCTGAGCGGACCTAACCTAAGTACCTAACCTCTCATTGGCTGCTGGATGATAGAGAGGAGAGGCAAGTGCGAAAGTAGAGGCAGTTATTGGCTGCAAGAAGGTTGTGAGTCGGAGTAGCGTGAATAGGTTAGGCCAGAAGATGTTAGGCCGCAGTAGGTGAGGCCGGATGCAGAACTGCCTGCTTATGAGCGAGCATGCTGAGCGAGCATGAACAGCATGCGCTGTTATCTTTAACCAGTGTATCACTGGTGCCGATTACGGTGTTCCAGCAAAGACTGCGGTATCTATCTCTGTGGCTGTAAAGTTATTGCATGTTGAGTGAGCGTTGGCTCCATGGCTTATTTAGGAGTAAAATTTGTGGAGCACGGCTGCACCCCCAATTGATGACCAGCCTCGCTCGGGTAGTCGTTCCACCGCACGGAAGAAAATGTTGGAAAATTAGGGGCCACATCATTGAAAATTGGCGCAGAAGTATTGACGAAAATGCGGAACTGTCCCATGTGACTTGGAGTTCACTCCATCAAACTATAAAAGAAGTTTTGGGATACATATATAAATTAAAAGACAGTCCGATTTTCATTTTTTGGGTCCCCCCCTCGTTATAAGACTAAATCTACTTTTTTGTTGATAACTATACAAATAAACATAAACCTCAGTTGCTTATTATTTAGAAAAGAAACAAATATTGGGAGTTGTTCTCAAGCCCATGGCCTTGTGGCCAGTAACTTATCTCATTTTAACTAAGATGAAGTTCTATCCAATGTGCTCTAATTTGTTTCCGCTCTGATATGAAGATAAACCCTAATGACTGATGTAGCTAACTTGAGCTCATATCTTAACCCCGTCCACTGAACTAACTACTGAGCAGTCATAAACTGCTTGAGAAGTTGAGACTTGACTGCGTCATGCCAATCATCTGGACGGGTGCTTGCTTTCAAGAATGGTCAGTGCGTATGCAGTGGTCGTGGTGTTTGGATGTCCGGTTGGTGCTTGTAATAATAGCGGTTTCAGCGTTTATTAGGCCGCAAATTCTTAGCATCGCAGAACATCCACAGCTTGTTGCGATCACAAACTCGCAACTCACTGCTACAATTCTGCTGTGCTTAATCGCCCAGCCTCCTCGCCGATTCTGATCAGAAATTATCGCACAGAGGCTGACAGAGCTGAGATTGAACACGCACCTTTCTGCTCCAATCTTGGTACTTTTTGGCCATCCTGTTATTAAGTGTGCAGTTCATTGATAGTACGCCGAACAAATATCGATGTATAGTAAGGGAAAGCCCCATAATATGGGGATCAAAATCAAACAGGTTGATCAAAAATTTGTTGAATCTATGGAATTCGAGCGGAGATATCAGGAAAAGAAATTAAAGAGGGGTGAGTATTCGCGTTAATTACAGATTTTTCCATCTCGTAGGGAACTCGGACGAAATGCAGACGTTATAATATAAATTAATATTCTATCAACTACTTTTAATCGGATTATTCGGATATTATTTGATATTAAAGGCCTCATCTCCCCTTCGTAGTCTTGATTTGAAAATTAAATTGATTTTAACGATTACTCTTATCACCAACGAAGAATGGGATCTATGGAAAACTTGTGTCGCGCACGTGGTGCAGTTGTGCTCGCTTAGGCCTACTCTGTTCGACCATCGGCCATATAGGCATGGGTCTATCTCGCACATCGCGGACATGCTCGTGTTTGCTTAAGCCATGAAAAAATTCTATCTTATTTACTTTTTATCTCACGCGGGTGGCTGTTTATAGGAAAATCCTCCGCCAAACCTACCCCCAAAACAGATCACTTACGCAACAATTCACATAGTATAGGGCCTATAGGCCATGAGGAAGAAACAACTCGATCAGAACTCCCAAACTTTTTAGAAACGCATTGTCTTGCTCTCAGTTAAATTATTGTAGTAGCAATCATTGGTGATATCTTCACTACTAACGACATTGCTAATCGGAACGAATCTCGTGGATCATTATTACATCATCGCCTGAACGTCGACTGATCTGTTTACCACTGTAAATATTATTACTTTACTTATATATTTCGTATTGCTACTTGAAATACATTTAGTGTTAGCAGAGAAGCTTATCGGGACTGGGAGCATCAGTCACTCATCCTTTATTAAGCGATATGGGAAGAGCCATGTGTTGATACTACATGTCAACAGTGCATTGAATAGAGACCATAAAAAGTTGGACGAGAAAATGAATCTTGTTTGATTTGAATATTTTCCAAATATATCATCTCATAAGCTGCACTGGCATAACAAATAAGAACATATGAGCAAAAATCCATTTGACTTAAACAACTGCGATATATCCATGCCTATTTGCTGTAAAATATATTGATAAGTTGTCACAATTTACATTTTGATGCCCTTAAAACAATTACTGAATCATGAGATTTTCAAAATAATTAAGCGCAGAGAAACGATCGTTGGCAATACACAGAATTTCTGTGGTAGTGAGTTAGGTCTTGGGATAAACAACACAGAAGTTTGATGGTTGAAACTAATAAATGTTTTATACCAGTGAAAGGAGCAATGCTGAGCTCTCTACATTTTGGCGAGAGTGAACCCTGCTGTTAACAAGGCACGATTTTCATACAAAATAAATTTTTGGTGTGATGAAATTCATTTTCCACGTAATTGATAGCATATAGTTTATTGTAGAAAAGACTGTATTCCACTTTTTACCAGACAACAAAATAATTTTTTCTTACTTTGGGTGATGTCTAAATGGTAAACTTATTAGAATTTGATATCTTTAATAACTCAGATCTTTAATTTTTATTCATTGAAAACGTATGATGTGCGATTCGTTCATCCACAAGCAAGAAGTTGAGCAAGTTCATCCTTAGGTTCGTTGCCTAAAATATGAAGTGCTATTGAGAAATTGGTTTTATTTTTATTTTCATGTAACATACGCTTAATAGTAGAAATATACTTCGGAATACAATTATTCCTCATTTGGTAAGTAAATGATACGTAATACTAAAGTATTATCAAACTTCAACAAAAAGTAGAGAACAATTTTTGAATTATCCACAATATAATTAAACTGTCACTACGCCGTGGCATCTTCGTCACAACTGCCTGCTTTTCCATTATATTTCAGTTTCGAGTTTTTATATTCAAGAGTAGATACGCAGAAAAAGTTAAAACCCATTCTCTGTCTTAGATCGTAGTATGTTTGTATCAGCTGTTCTCAACCGTGCGTTGAATCGTAGAAGTGACTCATTTGTTACCCAGGTGGCAGCACCGTCTGCGGTGAACATTGGCCCGCCATTGGTCGCTTTGTATGAGATAGTATTGCGCTGCGAAGGTACGGCGTGCCTCATCGGAGTATCAAGTACTCGGTGAATAAATATGCCTTAGTTTGATACGGTATTCAAGTTAATCATATTTTTACTAACTTTATTTTCGTGTTAATATGATTGGATTTCGATTTAGAACTGAGGTTATGCGCAGTATTCTTAATAATTTACAAGGACGCTACCTGCACGTGCTGGTAGTGTTATCGGTGGTCGTGGTCCCATGACTCCCATCCCAATCATTCGGGCCAATCCCATCATCTAATGGACTGTAAATTAATAAAAATTCATAGTGGCAAACCAGATATTTTTTAGAATAACTTAATTTTTAATTTCCTCATCAACTCAAAATTCTAATCAATTTATTTTATTGTGTATGATAAATTGATAATGTTGGTATCCAAGATACTTAGATAGGCAGTCTCCTTATTCAAGTTATTGGACTTAAAAATGAACTTGTTAAAGCCTAGAGGAGCAACAGAAAAATATTCTCCTTTGCCACTGCCCACTATGCCTGTGCGGCTGTGCCCAGTGTTCCATGGTCAGAACGTTCTCAGCCATGTAGTTCTAGGCTTCTAGCACCAAGTAACTATTACTAAGACTCTAAGAGCAACGCCATTGCCAAATATGAAATTAAAGCCACTACTAAAGTTAATGAAATTTTGAAAGGTCAAAGCCTCAAAGGCTTCTCACGTTTTGTATGATAGTACCTAAGTATCTTCAAATAATTATCTATTTATTATTTTTCTTCTATCTATTTTTTTGAGTGAATTGATTAGTAGGTACATATTTACATTTTGCAGACACTGGTAAAACTGACATGAATTTAACATGACATGACTCACATGAGGACTTTCAATCAAGTTTCAGCTAACCTCAGCTATCCTACTGGTAGTCTTCTACCAAACCAAAAACCAAACTGCCAGATAGCAGCCAGTAATCTATGCTTTGCAAAGTTGCACTATTCAATATTGTGAACTGACTGAACTCATACATTTTTTATGCCTGTTTGCAATTATTTAGGAGCTTAAATTATGGAAATGTAATTGTGTAGCCTAAAAAAAGCCCTAAATATTGATAAAATTTTAGATTGGATTGACAATATATTCTCAAGTCAAATGGAGGTTTATTTATGTAAAAGTTACATTTATGCAGAATTGCAGAGTTCCTGATTAAATTGTTGAGTTGCACTTAAGACAACAGTTGGGACTTATGTTTATTCTCTAAATAAAAGATTTAAAGTTATTTTAGCAATACCTATTTGCAATACCAGACAGAAGCTTCTTAGAATTGCAGGTCTAAAGGATCATTTCACAAATAATTTTCAGAATTTGTTGGTAAAAATTAGGTGTTTATTCTTATTGTAAAGACTTCATCTTTGCCACTGTGCTAGGATAAGGTATAACTGTACTGAAGCTGGATTGAAATTTTCCTACTCATGAATGAAATATTGAGGCTCCAAAGTGACCAATTTTCAAGTCATTTGCAATCTTGTAGCAGTTTTATCAACAATTAGATTGCAGATACTCATCTAGCAGGATAATGGTAAATATATTTCAGGCTGGTACCAGTACCTATTAAAATCATCTGTTTGCTTAAATCACAAGTTAACCAGGAGTAAAAGCAATGACAATGCCACAAAAATTCATTTCTTTATGCAAGAAAATGTTTGGGACTCCAGCTCCATCATCAGTTCATTAATTCACAACACAAGTCCTAGAAACACAAATACAATTAATTAATAAAGTATAAATCCACTGTCAGATATTATAACAGAAACAAGCAAATGGCAACATGAAATGAACACCAGTAAATGGGTGTACCTATTTATTATTTCAGGGGAAAGGAGCTAAAAGCAGCATTCAGACTAGGCTTCCATTTGAATATATACAGGGATTCTAAAATTTGTAGCTCAGTTACACCAGATGTGGAAGCTAGAACTTTAAAATCACTATCAGATAGAGAGGTGTTGTGGAAAATTAGGCAGACGCCTCCTGTGAATTGTACAATAACACCCACGAATGTGGCCAAGTTTACCCATTCCTACAACTTATGGCTTTTTCCCAATTTATTCGGTAGAAAATAATAAAAATTACCTTTTTTTACTCGCTATCGACAGAAATAACTTGTGAAATGAGTGTTACTAGGTACCAGCAATTTAAGGAAACTGCTGCACAATAATCCAAATTAGCAATTGTAGAGATAGTGATGGTGAAAGGTTAAAGAGGACATAGATACGGTGTATTTATGTCCCGTAGTCACATTATAGTGGCAAACAAGATATATACAGAAACAGTTACTTTTAATTTCTTAATCTAGTTGAAAAATTTATTCAATATATATTAAAATGGTGTCTGACACTTAACTGGTCTACCATCAATAACGAATTGGTTTGCACTTGGCGGTGCTGCGCTTACCTTACCTCTGGTCACTAAAAACCTTATAATACTGGTCAGAAATACAATTTATTGGACTTGATAAGTACATGATGACTATCAAGCAGTTTTGATCAATCTAGAATAATATGTAATAGTTTTGTTTATAAAATATATAGTTTCTATCAAAGGCTAGTGACTTGAGTGATGTGGCAACATTATTGACATTGTTGGTGCCTAATGGATTGAAAAATGAAGAGCATAAAAAAACCTTCCTGAATTTCACAATGCAAGAATCAGATTCTATGATTTCAGATCTTACATTCTTGCCTAGACATTTCTTTGTATATTTCTTTGTAACTTGACAAAAATTATTGATGGCTCAGGTAGTTATGGCATCAAGTTCTCAATAATAATGGTTGCTTTTTTGACCTGAAAACATGATCATGGCTTTGCTGCACAGTCATCACACTCAGCTTAGTGGCCTCCATGTCAAGCATGCCAAGAGTGTTAAAGCAGATACACAACTTCAGGATAGGTTTATAGAATTTTAGGAATGGTGCTTTGTATATTAATGGATCTAGTTTGGATTGGAAACTGATCAGTTTCAAACTGTTAGCTGAGTACGGTATAGAAGAAAATTCTAGTACTATCAGATTTTAGATTGGAAGTTATATGTTCCCTTGTTCATATGTTATATACCCCACCTGAGCTTTAATAGTCAAGTCAATGATACTGATTCAGCGCATAAAGATGCATTTATTAGGTTTGAGAAACTCATTTTTCATTGAAATTGTAAAGCTTCATTACCACATATTTCTGAGAATATTTGAAATATTGCCTCGGCATAATTTTGTTGTTGCATCTGACATCGTGTGATTTGGTTTTTCTTTTGTTTCAAATCAGAAATTCAAGCTGAAAACTGCCAATCCTGCTGCCAGTCAGCATGATTTGCACTGCAATGCAATCCTGCTGCCAGTCAGCAGGATTGCATTGCAGTGCAATCCTGCTGCCAGTCACTTTAAAAGTTTGAGCCTAGGCAAAGTAAGGGAGGGTAATATATACATGAACAAGTTTATGTACATATATTGGATCTAAAATTTTTAAAATAGATTTTAATTTTATATTTAGCTGACACTTTGGAGCTGACAAAGTAACCAAGCTGGATCAATTTTGATTGTATGAAACTCTTTTTATGTTTCCACCCTGATTGCAGTACACATTCCAGTACAGATTTCCTTTCACCGATGCACATAATAGATGTACACGTGTTACTCCCTAGAATATAAAAAAGTGTTGAGTTACTTTCTCATCCAAAATAAATCTTGGAACAATATCACTTTAATTTTTATAGCATTAATTTGGGTTGGGAGAGATAATCTTGTTACATGTATGTGCAAACACAAGGAGCTTACCTTTGAATGACAAGTCTGGTTTAGCCTGGTTTATACACAAAGCAGTTGCAGTGTTAGCTTATAGACTACAATATAAAATAATTGGCTTTATGATAGAAAGATTTAACACTAATGCCACAGGAACTCCTGATGAAATTGTTTATTGTGCAGTAGATTTGACCACAATAACCAATAATTCTCAGGCCCATGGTAGGACCCATTAAAACCTGGCCTTGCTTCATAAAATAGTCTCAAGGATCATACATAATAAAATTGCTGCCAAGAATTCTCAAAACCATTATTTTACTATTTATTATTTTTTAACCATTTATTATTTTTATTGTCAACAAATACTTATGATTTACTATGGTTTTCTTGGCTCTCAATCAAAATCTATTATGGAAGTGTGGTTGTGAAACTATATACGGTTAGGAATAAGAAATATGTAGACCAATCAATCTTAACTGCTTAACTTAGTCTGTTTTATTGCAGTTGTTCAAAGTCATTGTCATCTGTGCTTGCATAATATAAATAGTAGAGAGCTTTATTTTTTTGTTACAGATAAATGTATTGCTCAGGAGATGATGGAGACAAGCCCAGGCACAAAAAGGGTTCGTTATGATGAGCATCAGCTGTATGGGGGAACATTACATCACCTTCCTCAGCATCAGCCGTATGCCTACATCGGCAGTAACAATCCTCTCTCTGATCTCAACAGCTTCAATTTTGGACCAGGAGGACCTTGGATGAATGGCAACATGCCTAAGTAAGTATTACTTGAAGCTCATTTCCCTAATGTGAACCTAATAGTTGCATTTTCTTAAATCCATGCCAGCTTTTTGTGACTGACTGTCACTGACATGCTAGGTATGTTTTTGTTACTGACATGCCATCTTTTTGTTACTGACATGCCATCTTTTTGTTACTGACATGCCATCTTTTTGTCACTGACATGCCATCTTTTTGTCACTGATTTGTCATCTTTTTGTTACTGACATGCCATCTTTTTGTTACTGACATGCCATCTTTTTGTTACTGACATGCCATCTTTTTGTTACTGACATGCCATCTTCTGGCATATGTGATCAGTAGTATGTGTGGACCAATGGCTGCTGAATTTAGTGGCATTTCATTGCACGTTTTTAGCGCATTTTCTCATTTTTGGAAAAAATGCACTATTGTGCTCGCCATGTCTGTCTGTCTGTCCGTGACCTCAAGTTTTCGCTGACGAGAAAATGCACTCTTTGTCACTCACTGCAGTGAGTACTGAGTTATATTTTTTATATATATCAGTTTGAAATATCTTGACACATGGCAGCTAGTGGTGCAGGTCACAAAATTAACATAAAATTCATTTTTACCTGTAAAACAAATATTTTTTATGTTTATTTCTTCATCACTAGAATGGGTAAATTTTAGAAGTGTTAATAGTCTTCACCCATCATAGTAATGTTACTCTCATTTTTAGAATAGACACAATTATAATCTTTGAATTTTGAAACCTCGTGCACAGGTTTAATCTAGGCAACAATCTTGTACATTTGCATGTATTTTTGTATGATTGAAATTTGTACAGAGATGGTAATAGGTTGATGTGACAGATTGGGCTTCATACAAAAAAGATGATCAATTATGTTATTATTTTGTGAAAGAATGAGGAAAAAAGGATGACATAATGAGAAAAAAATTTGGCACAGGTGCCACAAATTTCATGTGGCCATTTTTTTGGCCAGGATCCTTATGGCTATATTGATAAAAATGAACATCCAACCTGAAATAGCAACTGAAATATATATTTTCCTTGTAGTTAGTGTCAATTAATAATTTTTTAGATTTCCATCACAAATAATGCAGAAATTTTCTTTATATCATTCTTCAGACACTGCTAACATTTCACCTCCCCGTCACACATAAAACACTCATCCCCTCTCCTTACATTCCCCTCTGTATGCACCCCACATCCCCACCCAGCGCCCCCAGCGCCCCCACGCCCAACAGCCCCCACCTCTGCTACCATCACACATCGCACAGAGCTAGCCTAATACACTCTAATGCTAATCTAATACACTCTAATTAGTCAAATAATCAGCCAAGTACAGGGGCATGGCAGTTAAGATGCTTAAAAATAGAATGTTCTATAAACGCTTTCTCAGTTGATTGCCCTTATCATATAACTTAGGATATGCTTAGTTATCTGAATCCATTGTTCCAAAATCCCGTCTGACCGAATAAATTGTTCTCACACCGAGTAGTCACAAGCCCAGTGTTCCTCCAGTGTCAGGACGCGCAGCCAGCACCATTCCTCCAATTGCTCGAAGCATAATTCCAAACACTGCCCTAGTGACTATAGATTTAGTAACAAAATATTCCAGCATTCGCGTTGCACTGACATCTTCACTGCCGTGTCAGCGTCGTGCAATTAATGAGCGTCAGCCTTACGATGTAGCACTGTCAGCCGCGTGTCAGACGAGCAAGGCGCTCACTGTCAGCGTCAGCCGCGTGTCAGACGAGCGAGGCGCTCACTGTCAGCGTCAGCCGCGTGTCAGACGAGCGAGGCGCTCACTGTCATCGTCGTGTGTGGTAGTGCAGTGGTCGTGTCAGCGTCGTGTGTGGTAGTGCAGTGGTCGTGCCAGCGTCGTGTGTGGTAGTGCAGTGGTCGTGTAAGCGTCGTGCCAGGGAGAGTAATTTCACCGTTCGAGTTTAGTTCAGTCTCGGTTTCTATAAAATACCGTATATATGCATCTTATTTTCTGATATCCTACTCCTCGTCTAAATTAAGTCGTGTTTTAAATTTATTACCAGTGTGAATCTTTCCGGGACCCCTTTGTATTTTCCCTTTATTTTCGCCTTATTATTCTGCGTTTGCTAGTATATCATGTTGAGGAAGAAGTTGGAGACAGCGCTCGCTTGAAATTATTATTACAGAAGGTTACGTATAAATGCGTATATTATCCAAATATTTTTTCCCGATGCTGGAATGACCGAGATGCTCGGTGCATAACGTCAGATGGCGACTGCAGTGCCTAATACAACTTTTCAGAACTAACGGATGACGTCCATTTATAGCAAATACGTTGATAATGTCAATTATTTGTGATATTGCTGCTAAGTCGGCTAGCCCGAACTGCTGAAGCACTTGCATGAAATGACGAACGCTGGTTAGGTGTGAAATTGCTGCGTTAGTGACCGAAGTAAATTTAGACTGCATTGTAATTTTCTTTATATTTATTTCTTACGAAGTGTCCCAGACTAAAGCGTTTGCATTGTTGGCGATTTGCGTGCGGCGACGGGTTCTCTCCTGACAAGTTTGTGTTTATTTGTTATTGATCCCTACGAGAAAATACACGTATCAGTTGCATATTTCCGCGTTTCGATTGGTTGCATCGGCATATCCTTGTTACCATTGACCTCGTCACCGAGGCGGGATAAGTTATTGACCCAGATACGATTGTCACTGCTATTACCGCAGGCTCTTCATTCAGGTCCTGAAATCGTGCAGTTTTCTGGGAAGTTCCAGTTCTCTTACTAAATATTGTTGGAACATCGTGGGTTGAAAGTCTTCAACCGTGTGTCCTGAATTTATCATCTCGAAATATTTGGATTGAGTCATATATACTGTGTCCAGCTAGAAAATTATCGGTTAAAATATTCATTTGATTACTCAACTTTCATCCCTTGGCATTTGCTTGGTGCCGCTTTCGGCTATTCGTGTTAGCAGCTATGACGTCATGACTGATGCTACTGTCTCGGCTCTGAAACCTACGGTCGTGTTCATGAGCTGAATTTATTTGGAAATAAGGCCTGTTTTATATGCAAGACTTGGCTTGGAATATAAATATTGCTTTATTTACCTTTCTCCTATATCCTAACGTAAAAATTAACAAAAGCAAATTCTTTGTTCGTATTCTGCGCTTACACGAGAGCCGCTTGGTCACGTGATCATGTGGACCAATCAGAGAATGGAGACGTCTTCATGAACCGGGATAGTGCGAGATGGCCATTTTTATTTGAATACATGGAAAAATTTATGTAAATACAAGCAATACTATAATTATTGCAATAAATTGAAAAGCCTGAAAAATGTCTAAATTTTTCCAACAACAATTTTTTTACATCGAGGGTGTCTTGAAGCAATGACGCATGCCGTTGTGTTCTTCCAGTATGTTTTGTCGATCTGCGATCAATTGACTTGTATGTTATGTATTGCCGACCAAGTATTATTAGGTGAAAACATTTCACACGTAAAAAAATATGGAATGATTCAGCATATGCATTTTTTAGTGAATAATATGATCATATAATTTATAATTTTTCGATAGTTCTCTTGAGCTAGAACGACTTCAGGCCATAGACGCCATTTTGAAATTTGGCCGTTATGCCTGACGCCGATGTTGTGTGGCTTTGCAGTGTTCTCCAAATATCTACGTTTGTAGTGTTTAGAATGGGAGAATTTTGATTGCACTGTTTGGTGTAGTTATCCGTGGTCATGTGGAAAATAATGGTAAAATGTTATGAGTTATAATATCGGAAAATTGGATTGCCGAACACTGTGGCATCTCAACCAAGCCAACGGTCTAGATCACATCGCAGTGAGTTGGTGCAATTGAATGTGATGAATATCATCGTTTGGAATAACAAACATCAGCTTGTATAATAAAATATAGTTTATTTTGTAGGAAATGAATTCTGAATGTTAGAAAACTTCTGTGAAGTACCTAGTAGTGAAAGTTTTTTTGATCCACTTTCTTGGCCGAGTGCAATGCATCGGTAGCCTAGGTAGGTATGCTGTTTGAATGAGGCTAGGCTGCTTTTCTTCTTCAAGTTCTTGTCCGTCGATATTTCATTAGCTTAATATGCATGGTACACTTTACACCTGAATATGGAAAATATAATTAATCTCATATCATTCAATTATCATTCATTATTCAATAATTTCCATGTAGCCTAGGCCCTAGTGAGATGGTAGCTATTCATGGTAATTTATCATAATTGATTTATAGTTGATACTTCATGGTAATGGGCCCAGGCTCAGACATTTGTTGCATTGCAATATTTAAAAAATTGATTCTATAGCTACATTCAATTTAGAGAGCAATACATCCGGTCAAGCATGTCAAACATCCCCCTTTAGGGCGGCAACTAGAGCTTTCCCGCCATTTCCAAAACCGCGAGATTCCCACCAGATGAATTACCTCCCATCTAATTGTTAATGAAAGTGCATGATCGGGCTGCGAGTTTCAAAATGTATTAAAAATTTGTCACGTCAGAGCTGCAAGATTTCAGAAACAAATAGGAATATCCAAACTGCATCAGGTAGGAATTCAGCATGAGCAATTATGAATGCCGTCCCCTTCAAGAGCAGACTAGACAAAGCTATGCAGCACTTCAGGAGCATATTTCTGTCTTGAAATGTCCAGCACCTTTTGGGCAGTAACATACTAGGCAATAAGTCCAGCAGCTATCTCAATCAATCGTCAGCTATGGAAAGATCGGGTTCCAAAGGCCGGATCCCTTGTGAATCAAGTCACGAAAAGTACAAGAATCTGCAACAGGCCATGGGCTTATTTCTTCAGTGCTGACACTTCTATTCTATATATTTATCATGGATCACAATATATATATATATATATATATATATATATATATACACATTCTGAGCTGCAACTAGAGCTCTTTCACAATTTCTATAACTGTATGACTTCTGCTATATGAATTATCATATTGTTATTAAAAGTGCTTTAAACTAGCTGTGAGGTTCCTAAGTTATTAAAATTATGTCACTTGGGAGCTGCAAGATTTCAGTATAGAGTTATATATATATATTTCCAATCTTGAGTCTACACCTTATATTACAATCTTGAGTCTACACCTTCACTATAAACTGTGCTTTCCTTTCATATTTGGAGCCAGAAATTGTCTGCTAGACAATAAAGGTCCAATATGACTGTTAGTAAGACTGCTCAATCATGCTCTAAGATTTAAGATTTTATCAAAATAGTCAACTTTGAAGCATGGAATTTTGAGGTTCAAATATAAATGAGCCCAAACTACTCAAGCTACTTGATTGTTTTAGCTTTTCATGTAGCCTTGACAAATGACTGTTCCGAACATTGACCAAAGTATCGCCTTTTTAAACTTTTTGAATATATTTACAAGACTAAATATTTGTGAAATTCTACCTGATGTTCCAGGTTAGGTTGGTGCTGCTCGTGGCAAATAAAGATTAATTACTTGATCTTATTTTCAAAACCTGACCTGCAGCCATCTGGAATATCAAGCAGAATTTTTCAAAAATTGTGTTTAAAAATAGTCATTTAATGTGTGATTTTTTAACAACTGCTGGCAAAAAATATCCCATTTCACTTTATTTTCATCAAAACAGTTGGGCAAAGGCCAAAGAAAGAATTATTTTCAAGTTTGAGCAATCTTGTTTCATTCACAGGGGTCTTCTGTCCAATTAAACCCGCTTCAGTTTACAGTTCATACTGCCCAAAATAAATAGTAGCTTTTATGATACTTCAATCCAAGACTGGAATTTTCAAACTTATTGCATGAATTTTGCAGCTTCAAAGTGGCATATATTCTATCATTTTTCAATCTCACAGAAAGATACTGACTGTAATTTTATAAATGATTATATTGGAGGCAATTCATCTAGCAGTAATCTCATGGCTCCAAAACTGGTGAGGAAGCTCAGTCACAGCTTAGCAGGTAGCTGTATATATTCCTGATTTTCACACCTGCAGCAGTGTAAGAACCTCTTGCTTCTACTGGATGATGTTTCATGTGAACTATATGCAAATACAGTATCGGGAAAAATTGTCCCACGAATCATTTGTGAAATGGATCACTGAATTTGTTGTTTTCATGAATCACCAATCACAAAAAAGTATTTTTTTTAATTTTTGCAGCAAAAATAAGGCAACTGCTGATACTGAAAATGAAAAATATTTTTTGTTGAAGTTATGTGGCTCCTAATTGATAAATTGCTGGGCTTTAGAAAATTTGTTTCCAGAGTTATTCATTTATGTAGAATAAAAAAAACATTGACTCAAGTAAACTCATTGTTCCAAGAAAATTTGTTATTCTGCAGCTCCCAAATGCACTCCTGCCTACTTTTTTGCCCTATTGCATAGAAGACCATAGTACTGCCTGGTAAAAAAAATTGATTTTGACACTAAAATCAGTAATGAAAGTGCCTGTAACTTTTATATTAATTCAAAATATTAAAATATTGTAAAATCAAGGAATAGTGTAAAATCAAGGAAGCAAACCAACCAATGTCTTTTACATACCAAAGTCTGTGTCAAGATTTTTCTGATTTTTTATTTTTAGTCCATGTTTGAATGTAACAGTTTCATTGCTGAAAGAAACCTTTTGTGAAATAACACATCATCTGAATATAGAAATATGTGAATATTTAAATTTCTGGCTCTAGTACAAGAAATAATGGCCCATTTTATAATGTATGAACAATATACTCCTGAACATTTTCCTAAATTCTTTAGATAACACTGAAGTATATAAAAAATCTTGTCACTATCTTCACACCATTTTATATTATATTGCATTGAACATGCAAATATTGAGACAAATAGTCTAGGCTTCAATCTGATTAAATATCAGGTTACTGGTATTAATTGAATATAACTTGTTCCTCTGTTATTTAAAAACATGCGGAGTGTTTTTTTTTTTGTGGGCAACAAATTTTCTTAGAGGCTCACTTACTGAGTCTTGAAAATTGTAGGAGACAATGTACAGATGATTGATGATTGCTTGTTGGCAGAGGCATGGTAAATGTAGCCTTAAACATAAACCTAGGCACATAGTAGCATGTTTTGGATGCAGGTTTTAAGTTACAATGTATAGTAAATTGCTTGCTAGAGGTAAGGTTGATCTATCAAACATATAATCTAAGTAAAAGTTTTAATTTTATATTGAAAATATTTCATGTCAACCCATATTTGTATTTTTCAGCTAACTTGAGTGAAGGGAAATGCCATATAATTTCTCATAATAGTGTTATGAATTGACCAAAGTTGATGGTAATTCCTGCATAGACAGGCACCAGGGGCTCATCCTCTCCTGGAAACGTGATGCTGTACGTCTTATTCTTTGATTAAATTCTGTAATAAAATTGTGTTTCTGCAGTACAAGCATTTATGCAAGGGAATGTTTTAGAAGTGGATCTTGTGATGATTGATTCTGATACGTTTTTCATATAAATCCAGTCTAATTTGGTCACACATTTTTTAATGATATTTGTCATTGTAAATTAGAGTGCCATTTATTATATATACTACAAGATAATTAGGGACATTAGGCATCAGTATGTGAACTTGTCTTGTAGGCCTGTGATACCACTGTTGAATGTGGCTTAGACTCGATCTACCTTTTCGACTTCATTCCATTGTCGTTTTGAGCCTTTGACATGTTTGATGCTGAAGAACTGAATTGTGTTATATTTCCAAGATAACTGTGAGATAGTGACATCTTGCTTCCAGCTGTCAGTAAGCTTGTCCCCATGCTGGATGTTATTGTTCATACTCCCCACTATATTCTTAGTCCATTTGATTACTCCAACTTGATTACTCTACTTGCCGATGCATGTTCTAATTCAAATGTAATTTTGCAGAGGTGTGAGAATGGAGGAAACAAATGGTGAGGGTGGTGGCACCGTAGAGTCTCCAGCAACATCAGGGTCTGCTGCCATGCCTCCCACCTCCAACACTGTCACAGCTCCCCCCAACGAGCCCCCTCCTCCTCCCGCCAGGGAAGAACCACACATTGAGCCCGTCAATGGTATAGTGCAGCCGCCTGTTGTACCTCCTCCTGACCGACCAGGTCGCCTCACTAACCAACTCCAGTATATTCAGAAACAAGTTATGAAGAATGTCTGGAAGCATCAATTTGCATGGCCATTTCATCAGCCAGTTGATGCCGTCAAACTTAACTTGCCCGACTATCACAAGATTATCAAGCATCCTATGGACTTTGGCTCAATCAAGAAACGTTTAGAAAACAGATACTATTGGTCTGCAAAGGAGTGCATACAAGACTTTAATACGATGTTTACTAATTGTTACATATATAATAAACCAGGAGAAGATGTCGTCTTGATGGCACAAACTCTGGAAAAAATATTTCTCACTAAGGTCTCTGCAATGCCCAAAGAGGAAATAGAAATAGAAGAACCTGCAAAAAGTGGCAAGGGCAACAAGAGACGAGCACCTGTTTCAGCCACTAAGAGCAGGTTTGCTGGTGGTGGCGCCATGAACAATGTCAGTGATGGTGGACTTAATTCTTCTAGTTTATCCAACTCCATACCCTCTACACCCACTGCAACAACTCTGGGATCTTCTCAGTTGCCACTGACGACATCTGGCCACACTGCCTCGACCAACTCAAAGGCTGTTCCGTCTGCAGTTACCCCTGCTGCACAAGCTCCCTACCATGCTGGCGGCGTTCTAGGCTCGACAGCACAACCGACTGTTCCTTCTGCAAACTCCAACTCGTTTCCTCCAGTGAGTTTAACCTATGAGTGTAGCTTACATGTTAGTACATATCTATGAATCCAGATGCGTTTTGTTTTGGCTTTGTTTGAGCAAGAATAATTTAAGGGTGTGTGCTGAAGATTGAATTTCTGTGTGATTTTTCTTTCAACGGAGATCTGAAATCCGGAGAATTGGTATCTGCATAATTTGGTGTGTTACATGTCCGTCTGACTCCATTATGCATGTAATAGCAGTTGAAGTGGGAGAGAGAAAATTGAATCATCATGGGAAAATTTTACTTTTGATTAACAACCTCAAATTGGCTGCAATGCCTTGCCTATCTATTGTATAGTGTAATGAAAACCTGCCTGCACTTTCCTGCCCCTTGAGTCCCATATGGCTGCAGTGAGTTGTCTTTGTTTGCTATTTATTTCATTCTTGAGAAGAGACTTGGTTTCCAAAGGACAGCATTTTGAATAAAAAAAAGTTAATGTTTTTGCACGTTTTTGCCCTTTGGTGGGCAGACACAATATTAAGGATGAACCTGTATTTAAGTACATTTAGGTTTGTCCAAGGTAATGTGACATATTCTATGATAAATTAACTACTAAACATTTTTCAAAAAAAATTAGTTTAAATGATGGATTAAATCGCACTGCGTGGAATTAGCTGAGTGCAATCACTGTGGTCGAAATGGTTAGTAAAATCTTGAATTGAACATGCGATTAGAAGGGGAAACTCTCTAATTTGATTTTTGTTCCATATCAACTTATTGATATTAACTGAAGAGCATAAATTTTGTTTGTCTGCACAACCGATTTCTGTTTTAAATTCTCTTATTTTAATTTAGAGCATAAAGGGGAAGTCATGTATGGAACAACGGGCAGGTGATTTGCAAGGCATGATTACTTAGCCATGAACCCAAGCCTAGAGGCGTGGTGGTTGGGTCAAGACTTCGAGGTGCTCTGCATGGTATCCTGCCATCCAAAGGGTTAAAATGTTTATGATGATTCTTAGACTTAATTTCTTTCAAGTTTGACGACTATCTGAAGCTCCAGATTCTCAAGAGGTTATTGTGTGCATTAACGAGTTTTGAGACGCTTTTTAACGTGTGTGTTTGGATGGATTTTGATTGGGGATTGCTGGATGCTTTCTGACGTTTCTTCTTGCTATTCTTGAATGAAATAATTTCCTTGGTAGTTGCTTTCCTGTTTTCACCCTGCTGATATTATTGATATACTTTCCTTATTAAAATATTTTAGGTATTAAAAGTGAGTAAAGACAAAATTATTCTCAGGTGCTCATTGCAGTAATTGATTGACAGGTTTTGAACACTCATCACGGGGAAAGTGTCAGCATTTCGTATTGAAATAATGAAACTACACCAATTTCCATTCTGCTTGTGCCAAAAATCAGCTCCTCATAGCTAAAGAACTATTTTATTTTCGATTAAAGTCGCTTGATGGCAGTGCGCACTGCGCAGTGTTTCTGTGGGGAAATGGAATTTAGTGGCATTCATTAGTATTATAGATGCGAGTTAACTATGTGATGACTAAACAAAAACTATATCAGTGTTAATATTTCATCTTCTTCATTCTATTTCTTTGTCTGAGGACATGTATACAATTGTAGTGAATCAGTGCGCCTTACATTACCTTTGCTTAGTGCCAATTATTTGTTTTATCTTGAAATGGTGGTTGTTTCGGATTATGACTATTTGGCAAGCGAAAATAGCCTTGTTATGTGCCTGGATACTAAGTGGCAAAAAATCTTATGCTTTGTTAATTTTTTATCACGCAAATTAGAAGTTTTTCTCAGTGCATTTGTCAAGCATCTTGGAAACTGATTTTTTGACTAAACATATAAAGCAAACCATCTTGTTATCATAACTTGACTTCTAGGCAGACTGCCCTTTTGTTCAGAAATATTAATCTGGATCTTGAGCTCATGTATAAGTACTTGTAGTTAACAAACAATGTAGTTAGCCAGCACTAGTGTTGAGGCCCAGTACTGAGTTGGCTTTATTGCTCCACCTATCAGAAGGGCGTCAAAAGGAAAGCTGACGCCCTTTCTAGTGGCGGGGCGGTAGCAGCTCCCGCTCCTGCCGCAGCTGTGACGGCAGGCGCTGTGCCCACAACCCCCAACTCTACTTACGACCCCAATTTCTCTTCGGCGTCATCAGGACATCCCAGGGACCTCACTTCTGCTGGCAAAATTTCCACTCGGAGAGAGTCCGGCAGACAAATTAAGAAAGTGAATAAAGACTTACCTGAGGCTCAGGTAGAATTTTCCTAGGATGCTCGCATCTTGTCATGAGGCGCACTGCTTGTAGTCTTCCTGTCCCCCCATCTTCCTGCTTGTCTTTTTTATTGTTACCCCTGTTCTTCTTGGGGACCTCCATGTCTTGGCAGGACATTTTATTTCTTTCAACCCGTGGTCGCCGCTGCGTTTCTCATACAGTTCATTTGCTCACTTGAATGACGTGTCCAGTGCTTCCCTGCTTGTTCTGTGTAGGTTTTTGTGATATCTCTCTTAGTGTAGATTAGATGGTGTAGTTGTACCTGCTTGTTACTGCTATCATGGACTAAATTACTTGATGCTGTGGCCGCTTGTTTTGCGTGAGGTTTCTGCCATGGTATAGCAGCCAGTTTGGAATGACTTAGAGCTTCTGCCGCCTCATGCTTCTGTCGTATGCCAGCTTTCTTGTTTTCCGTTTTGTTAGCCTTAGTTCTTCTGTTTGTGCTAATTATTGATGGATCAGTTGACTTTGAATTGCATAGTATTTTTTGATACAATTTTGTTGGCAGTCTACCCAGCATTTATGCAACTGCGGATGCACTGCTTTTTTTTGCATGGGGTTGTTAGTATGAATTGCTTGTTCTTTGAATTGTAAGCAGCCATGGAGGAGATATGTTTCAATTGATGGTCCAGTGGTGGTTTGTGTAGCTCGCTTGGTTCGTCATGAGTGTCTCTGGGCTGTTGCTTATTGTTAACTTATGATTGTCAAACACTGCTTGTTCAGAATACTATTTAAAAAAATTTAGACAGATAGGTAGCTTGTTCCACGGTCAACTTTTTCATCAGTTAATCGGCTTAAACCGCCTAATAGAAGCTTTAACCCTATATGTTTTTATATGATTTTTTAATTTTAACTTTTTTATGAGAATGCTAATAGAAAAGGTCAACAAAACGGGTTCTAGTTAAACCATCTTGGCTACTGTGGCCACCAAGTTGTTGCTTGTAAAGTATCTTGCTCCTATCTCGTCATTTGATAGTATTTTTCTGACCATCTACTGTATGGATTAGTCCTTTTTCATGCCGTGCCTGTTAATCGAATCTCAAATCTGTACATGCTATCACATTGTTAAAAAGAATCATGTTCGTTCACGCGCTTCCATTATCTCACTTGCCCGTTGATATTAAAATTGTTACTTTGATACAAGATCATGTGCTCCAATGAAATTGTGTGGGCTAGAAGCTCACAATAATAACCACTTCGACACCATTCAAAAATAGAATAGTTTGGTATGATGATATCACCATGGCAGCCTGTACGCTGGGTCCTGGATACAGCGGCTCAATCTTGGTGTCGTTCTGTAAATAGAAAGTAGATACTTGTTCCCTCGTATAGATTGCAAGCTTGCTCATTTGAAATTATTTCGGAGGTGAATGCCTGGAATTTTTGAGACTTATGGGTGGTTTTAATTGAGTTTCTCGTAATTTCATTAAAATTAGATTATCTTATATCATGGGGGTTTACATCATATACTAATATTTTGAAAAGAACCCGTTTAATCTGATGGATGATTTTATTCATTGCAGCCCCAACACAGCTCCAAGCCCAAAGGGAAGGTCTCTGAATCCTATAAGCTCTGTGTGGAGATCCTCAAGGAACTCTTCGCCAAGAAGCATTCAGTAAGTTGTTTGCTTTGCATTTTTACTTGCATCCGTGTCATTCTCTGGGTGTTGATGTGCTTAGATCTGTGATTCTTACTATTTCTTATTTATTACTTATTTCATACTATATACTTTTTACATTTAATTATTCATTATTTATTTTCTTTATTCATGGTACTTATTCTTATCATATTATTTTTTATACTTGATCACCTCCCTTTCTAAGTTAACGACGTGATTCATCTCGTATTGAGTGCGTTCATCAAGTCATAATGTATGCCAAACTACGAGTTCTGCTCTTATTAATGGAGCCATTTTTGCAGGGGTACGCGTGGCCTTTCTACAAGCCAGTCGATGCCGAGCTGCTGGGCCTCTCCGATTACCACGAAATTATCAAATCCCCCATGGACCTCGGTACTGTCAAGGTGGGTTGCCTGCTGTCTTCTAGAATTGAAAATATCACACGGACCTCGGTACTATTAAGGTGGGTTGCCTGCTGCCTTCTAGAATTGTTGAATATCCCATGGACCTCGGTACTGTCAAGGTGGGTTGCCTGCTGTCTTCTAGAATGGTTAAATATCCCATGGACCTCGGTACTGTCAAGGTGGGTTGCCNATAAGAGACAGGACCTCGGTACTGTCAAGGTGGGTTGCCTGCTGTCTTGTAGAATTGTTAAATATCCCATGGACCTCGGTACTGTCAAGGTGGGTTGCCTGCTGTCTTCTAGAATTGTTATATATCCCATAGACTTCGGTACTGTCGAGGGGGGGGCTGCTATATATCCTGTACTAAAATTCCTAATCGTTCATACATGTGAAGTACTAGACAGAAAAAAAGACGCTGTCACAGTATCATTATATAAATCGAGGTATTGTATGATAATATAAATCGAATGTTAATAGGGAAACGTTGCATGATATTATTCTCATGATCAAAATTTTCATTAAAGTTTTATCTTCAATTTAGCAATGGACTAGTTGTATTCAAGTGCAGTTGAGATTTGAGACCCGTCACTGTCTTCTTGCTTTGAGGCGCCCAATAGACCATCCAAAACTTGGTAAAGCATGACCAAGAAACATGACCTATATTAGCATAAGGACAATTTATTAAGGTTTTTAAAGTTTAAATTACGTGTTAATTTATAAAGTTTGTTTTCAATGTTGCAGATGAAGCTGGACAATCGCGTGTACAGAAATGCAAACGAGTTCGCAAGTGACGTGAGAATTATTTTCACCAACTGTTACAAGTACAATCCTTCCGACCACGACGTCGTTGTTATGGCGAGGAAGCTGCAGGATGTCTTCGAAATGCAGTAAGTACTTCTTCTTTATTTTTATACGCTTGCCATCTAACCAACTTCTCGTTACCTCGTGTATAAGATTGCTCTGAAAAATACTTACGTTTTCGGAATATTTTTGAATTTATCTTTAGTTCTTAATTTCTTTGCTTCTACCTCCTTACCTTAAACGTTGTACTCGTAAATGAATCTATTCGAGAACCTGCTCGAAGTGTGGGAACTGGATAGTGAACTGTAGGAACACGCTTCGAGGAGAATGTCGTGCAAGTGAACTCAAACTTCAGTTTTACATATCCTCAAACATGCAGACTCTTAAACTCTTTTTAGCGCATTTTCTCATTTATGAAAAAAATGCACTATTGTGCTCGCCATGTCCGTCTGTCTGCCCGTCCGTCTGTCTGTCCGTCCGTGATTTCACGTTTTCGTCGAGGAGAAAATGCGCTTTCTGTCACTCACTGCAGTGAGTACCGAGTTATATTTTTTTGTTTCTCTGCAAGATAGTAAACTGTAATGGATCTCGCATGGGACTTTCTAAGCCTATTTAAATATCTTCTTTCTCTGAAGGTTACCTGCGATTTTTCTATTGTAGATAATGATCGTTATCCAGTTTACTGAAGATCATTTGCACTGAAGGTTTTCGAAAGTGAACTGCGACGAGCCTTTCGAAATGCCGTCTGGAGGGACCGACAGTTCGGACCAGGGCTCAGGGGGGGAGACCGAGAGCGAGACGGACTACAGTGAGGACGAACGCGAGAGGAAGCTCATGGCGTTACAGGAGCAGCTGCGGCAAGTGCAGGAACAAATGAAGGTAAACATTGGTAACATATTTGCGTTACTCTGTACCTACTAATTTCATGCACTACTCGGTGTGAATTTCATGCACTACTCGGTGTGAATTACGTGAAACAAGGTCGGTAAAGTCGTGTCAGAAATAAATTCTTGTGAGCCTTTATCTTCAGGATAAAGTAGGAACTATTTACTTCTAAAAAGTGGGCGTCTATTTTCCGTATAAGGCTCAAGAATATGGTTTCGTACACCTGCAAAACTTAAGGCGTACGGCAACTTTAGGTGATGTTCTATCGAGACTGTCGAGTTTGCCTCGGTATTTTGAATTCCCCTTACCTAAAAAATTTGTATTCGTTAAGAAGGTCAAGGAAGATAACTCGTCAATTTCTTACAATTCCTAACTCTTAGTCTGAAATTCTTATCTGGTGAAGTGGCATCATTACTGCAGGGGCATGACGGGACATTCTCTGAGTTTTCTCTCTTGCAGTAATGGCATGAGTGAACTCTGTGTGTGCTTTGAATTCAACGCTGTTTTTTGTGTTTATCAAACTCAATTTGTTTACAGCTATTGATAGAAGAAAGTTCGAGAAGAGGGAAGGAGAAGAAACGCACCAAACGAAAGCGAGACAAAACTCAGGAGCGAATGTTGATGTTGGAGAGTCTCGGGGGTGTGCTGGGCAACGCCTCTGTGACCAACAGCAACAGTGCGTCTGCTGCCACTGGTCAGATGGTGTTCTGCTTTTGGGTACCTGTTGAGTAAATCTGCATCCTCATCTCTTCAGTCTTTGTAATATTCTTTATATAATTCTAATTTATTGCGTTATTTGCCCAGTAGTTTGTTAATTTTGATGAGCCGTTGCTGAATTGTGCAATTGTGCAGGTTTACCAGGCGGCGTGCCGTTACCAGGTAACGCAGTAGCAGGAAGTGCCTCCGGCGCTCCCCCTAAGCCTAAGAAGAGCAAAACCTCCAGCAGCAACAAACAGAAGCGGCAGCGGTCTAGCAACAGCAGCAGTAAAGGCAGCAAAAAGAAGGCTGGTGCCCCCGGTGCCGGCCAAGCTGGCATGATGTTCGACTCTGATGACGAGGACAGTGCTAAGCCCATGTCGTACGATGAGAAGAGACAGCTCAGTCTTGACATCAACAAACTGCCGGGCGACAAGCTGGGCCGAGTAGTCAATATTATCCAGAGCAGAGAGCCATCCCTTAGAGATTCTAATCCTGACGAAATCGAGATAGATTTCGAGACCCTGAAGCCCTCTACACTGCGCGAGTTGGAAGCTTACGTCGCCTCGTGTCTTAGAAAGAAGCCTAGAAAGCCATATTGTAAGTATTATTCTTTTCATTGCTAGATATTATGTAACTTAAAACTTTGTTTAATTAACAATCTGAACATTATATGGGGCTGTTGCTTGACATCATGTAAACATGACGCAATGTCATAAGTCAGTGTGTGCCAAACGATCTATATCATAAATTCAAGAGAAACCTCTCGGTAATGGCGTATGTGTCCGTTCAGCCACTCAGATCAGTGTGTCATGGCCGTTCTGTATGAATTCGATTTTTGTCGGATATGTGGCGTTCGTCTTGAAATTGGGACGTTTCGGTTAATGACAAGTTAAGTTACGATTTTTCCAGTGTCTTCGGAGGTTAACTCGATAAACTATTTACTTTCAATTTAATGTTTCACATTTCCATTGTCTTGAATTTGCCAATTTTCAACTGCAACTTAGTCCATGAAATTTTCAATGCAGTCGTGAAGCATAATCGAGATACGTGATGTAATTGTTTGGTCACTTGATGGCTTGAATTTGTTGCAGCTCGACAAGATAAGAAAGGGGGCGGCAGCAACGCGACGGGCGGGGCACATAATGTTGCAGGCGCGGCAGTGGGGGGCGCTGCTGCGGCGGTGGCAGGGGGCGTGGCGCGCCACAAGGAGGACAGCATAGCGGAAAAGAAACAAGAGATTGAGAAGAGACTTCAGGACGTGGCGGGGCAGCTGGGCACTTCCGCACCTACCAACAACGCCAGCAATACAGCCTCCACCACCAACACTAATTCTCCTAGTAAAAAGACGCCTAAGAAAGGTAAAGTCCTGCTATTCTTACGGCAAAGTAGTAGGTTAGAATGTGAAGCTATAAAAACTGCTAAAGAAGTTTGTATTTGCTATTACCAGTTCTGTCATGTAAAATCAAAATTAGAACTGTTAACTACAGCTATAAAAATTTACATTCATAACTAGAGTATTGCCAAGTTTGAATTTGAAAGTAAAATTTCCTGCCTAAAAATCTTAGCAAATAAAGATAGATAAGGTTAGAATTAAGCTTCTTTGCCCTTGAAAATTCTTAATTAAAAAGTGTAACAAACTAAGGTTAGAATAAGTTGTCGCGTCACTACGAAGTATCTATTATTTGTCAACTAATTCGCTAGTAACTTGCATTACAAGACATGAGAGAAAGTTAGTAATATACTCATTGAAACCCTTTTTTGGAAACTTTTCTGTTTTTTTTCTGACTGACATTACGCTGTGTTATTGAACACTGAAATAAGGGAATGACCAGGTAAGAGGCAGGCACTTGGTGTATTTGTAGAAGGAGTAGATTAGAGTCAAATTTTGACCCTGTTCATATTAAGCAGCTTGGGTCTAGTGAGCGAGCCACCTGCCTCGAGATGATGCATGTTATATTTTATACCGTCATTAGACTTGAACGAAAACAATTTTATCAGGGCCTGTGTTCTAACATGCTGATTTTATTAATTTCTTTGCCTATGTAATATGTGATTGTAATCTTGAACGAAACTTATGACGTTTCATTGCCTTGTCAATAATTGTCATCAAAGTTTCTATGTGCTAACAAGATGAACCCTTATTTTAATTGCCTTCAACTGCCCCAATTTTTTCAAGAAACTGCTTCAATTTTAGATAAGGTTGTCAAACGATTAGTTGCGCTGATTAGATCGCCTCTGTGATATATTTTTTTTAGACGAAGGAATTCGTATTATGGTAAATATTGGGATTACGAGGATATGTTAATACTTCCCGCTCAGTTCATTATTCTATTATATTCCCAGCGCATTAAATGCTGAAAAACTCCCGAAGATTCTAAATGTGAGTTTTTTTTACAGAAGGCAAGGACGCACAGTCATCGCGTCTATCGGCGTCAAGTTCCAGTTCATCAGATTCAGATTCATCGTCTTCATCTTCCTCTTCCTCCTCTTCAGAATCCTCCGATTCCGAAGCAGGTTAGGCTCAAATCTTCTCCGAGGATTAGTAAGAAAGCTTTCTATCTCGATTTGCACATCATTTTACTGTGAGCTCCGAACTACGTGCCGTCAAAGAAAGGACCGCTTGTGACTAATAGGGATCTTCGCTATCTCGACTCGTCATATATCTTTGGTCGCGCCTTCGGTCTTGGGTTCACGCTCTACGCCTTGTCCAGATCAAATTTGAATTTCGAGAGAATGAATTTCATTTGGCTCCTTTACTTGGTTGCCTTTGTCATTTATCTAGCTTTACGCATTATCTCTAGTGACGTAGAACCATGACCAACTACTATTCTTTAAGAGAAGGCAACTTACTCTTATAGGCTGCATATTTTTCATTTATGCTGATTCTTTGGTCCTTTTCATCATCTCCATTTTCACTGCTACTAAAAATTGATCTCAGCAACTGGTAGCGTCTACAGCTTTCGTTGCCCTGAAGTTTTTGCTGGTGGCATCTGCTGAAATTTTCAGACTTTTCGTGGAAACTCTTCATCAGTATTGTGGAACTTTCTTGGTCTTTTCCTCTGCCTGTTGACCGCTCGATCTCCTTCATCTATGCTTTCGTACTGATCTGTTATCTTTTGAATTTTGAATTTGTATGTGATGTATTTGGTCGAATCGCGCGCGAAGTTGAAAGCCTGGATGCGTTTAAGCAGCTAAAGTAAGAAATACTTGTGTGAGGTTAGATATTCTGACAGCTCGCGTTGTTCCATCTGACACAATATATCATTATTCATTCATTCTCACTGGTACACTAGTATTCATTTCATACCCAATCTCATCATTCAGATCCCCGCCAACATTGAGGCATTCGATGTTGGAAGCATTTGAACATGCATTCGTACAGTCTCGTCTTTTGACTCATTGCTGGAGGCACTTGTCTACTGTGTTGGTTTAGGTATTTTCCCTGTAAATACTTTCCTTGTAAATACTCCGAAGTTCTAAGCAATCTAGGGCTATGCACTCGTGTTTTGTTTCAACTCTCATCGTTCATGACCCCAACAGTGGTTAACTCCATTCATCAGGAGCTCATTTTCAACAAAACTCGTTACTCAGCTGTCTCGGCTGTAGATCTGTTTATTTTGTACATGCTCTGTTGATTAATAGTTGTGTAGGTATGGGGGCATTTATTGTTGATACTAACCGTGTCGTTTGAGTTAGATCAATCAGTTGTTCGGATGTCGTGTAGCTGGACTTATTGCTTGATTCTCAGTGTTTATCTTATTTTTGTATTATGTCTGAATTCTCGGCTACTTATACAATGAGTTCTGTCGGTCAGGATTACGTATCGTTGATTCGTTTGGTGCTTGTGCTGTTCCTTATGTCAAAGATCATTTGAAATTCTCAGAATTCTCTCTATCGCTCTCTCATGCACTTTTTTCCTCTCTTGAAACTAAGCATTATTTGTTCAGGAAGAGTTCACTCAAAAAAATAATCATTTTTTTTGATAAAGTTTATTGCGATAACTTTCTGTAGGAATTCACTCATCTGGTACGGTTTGATATTTGAAGTTCTTATCGGTTGAAAAATTCAAGATGTTGATGGTGTATGGTGTCTTGCATCTAGACGTTTTCTGGCCAGATCAACTCAAAAGTTAATCGATTAATCTGTTGTTTTCTCTCAGCCGAATAGCATAACCAAATTTCCAAGTGTTATTCCTTAACTCCATTGGCGGCAGGTAGCTTTTGGCACTTATCCTGTTAACTTGTTCAATATTCCTTGTTCTTTACCTTATGCACGTAAAACGTGGAAACAGATTTTGTACGTCATAAATTATTAAACTTGAGTCAAGTTCGTTAAAAGAAGGTCGAAAGTAAAACTTGCCGCTAATTGTGTTAAGTTGTTAAATGGATGCACCTGAGCTGTGAGAGGAGCGTCGTCTTGAGACTGAAGGTAAGTGCAAAGCAGAGCTTGCTGTTGTGTAGCGCAGTGCCCTAGCAGGGCTTACAGAGTGCCAGGGGTATCATGTGTTCTGTATAGGAGGCCAGCCAGCCACTGAGCGTTGCCACTACTACCACTACTTCCTAGACGCAACTACTTTAATTCTCACCCGTTATCTACCAAGTTATTTCTAGATCTTATCACACGATTCGTTCTCAACCCTACCCTGCGATCTACGTGAACGCTCAATTATGTAACAATTATATACGATTGGACATTCTCCCAGAAGTACCTTTCCCTGCTTGAAGGATCCTCTAACATGGAAATCTGCCGTATGCCTTGTCCCGAAACTTGCTCATATTTGCTGAGAACATTGTCTGGATTCTGGATTCGCCTACTTCTGGTTATTGCGATCTGGCGGTTTTTCTTCCATCACTTCACCTGAGATTCATGCATTCATCTCTGAGAAGAAAATTTTTATCTCGTTCAGAGTAAAATCCTATTTCTGGATAAGATATCGAAAATAGATTATACTGGAAACTGCCAAGTGAACTTCGCATTCTCGGCAACTCGACGGAATTCTTGAAGATCTTGAGCTGAAGACGACGGAAAATTAGCGTGAAGAAGTCCGGCGGTATTGGAAATACATGGCGGATTGGGCGCTTAGCGCTAGAGTGGAGTAGGGCGCTTGTTGCTGCTGGCATAGCGGTGTCCTGTAGTGGGCGGCCCGAGGCAGACAATGTGAGGCAGGAGTGTCTACATTCAAAAATAAATTTGCCCTTTTGTTGAGATTGTGTGTGGCAGAGTTCGCATCAAGTGTGTCATTTTGCCTGAAATCACATCATTCTTTAGTTTGATTATGTATGACAACATCTCTGATCATTGTCTCCTTTACAAAATTAACGCATGTTTTGTGAAAATTTGTCATTTATGAATGGCGTTAACCAATAGGGTATGGAATAAAACTCGTGTTTCTCATCAAATAATTAACCACTATGTTGTTTAGATATTTTTGGTGCGTGTGAAGAGTTGACGTGAGAGTGTGGTGATGGTGTGGTGTGAGGCAGCGTGACTACCTGAGAGGAGCATCACGAAGCATCTGCATCAGGAAAAACAGTTGTGATCATTGGTGGTGGGGTGGATCTCAGTAGTAAGATATTATCTTGTTTGCAAGATAATATCTTGCAATAATATAATATAATATCGATCATAGAGACGCGGCACGCTGGCCTCCTTGTAACACATTGTTTGCACTCAAGCCTCTGCAACGGGCACGCGCTATACCGCTGCCTCTCTTGCACTTATTTTCATTAAGTCTTCGCTGCTCATATTACTACTTTTTCTTTAGATTAAGATTTGTATTTCGTATTTTTACAGAAAAATCAAACATCGTTCATAAATGTTCTTTTGTCTGTGAGAAGTTTTACTGGAAGATGTCAGAAATGATTCTCTCCTCTTGCCATTGTTTAGTTTCTGGCACTTTGATGTTATTTTGGTCTTAGTGACACGATTACTCCGGCAGTATTTTTTTCTCGGCAAAATGTCAACTGGTGACGGTGATACGCGGCTAAGATTCAAAAGGATTTTTCTTAACTATCGAAAAACTTTTCAAATATCAGGCGAATTTTATTGTATTTTTTTCGTGTTTCTTGAAATTTTCAACAGGCTGCTTGGCTTGAGTGAAGTTTCGCATTGCACCAGCGGAAGGGAATACATTAGTTAGTTAAACGGTTTTTGGTATGACCCAATTCGATACTCTGCCTTTTGATATCTGCATAAATTCTCCTGAAGAATCTGAACTATTGTGTCTTGTATAGCTGGATGCCTCATTTGGTGTCGTCAAGTCAAGCCTCTGAATACGATTTGGTCTGAAGGTCTTGAATGTTGTGTAGAGATCTTTTTGTATTTACTAGAGGTCGGTTCCTAACTGCATTTTTCTTGTGTTTTTTCTTAGCTCGTCGATTCTTTTAGTTGAAAAATCTAAAGCTTTCTAACTTCTGTGGTGGCGTCGATTCTATAAAACCTATGGACTGGTAGAGCCGGCTGCAGTCTGATTTTTATTAATTTATTTTAATCTTGATCTGATCAACTCAGCTGGAACTAATTTAAATTCTTGTGTCTCGTTAGATTGCTGGAAAATGATTAAACTAACGCTTGCTTTTTGCAAAGACTCGTTTGCTATCATATCCAAAGGCATAAAGTTAAATAAGTTCTAATTATCTGATACGTGGTTAGATCTTGTTCACGACAGCTCTGCCGTAAAATAAGTCTTCATAAGAGCCGTTCTCTTAATTATTTCTGTAATGTATTTAGCACCTGAAACTTTTCACTGTCGCTCAGTCGAAGAAGAGATCTTTGAATCAAATGAATGAGTTCAGTGACACGTAGCGTGGATTTGAACGAAGTCCAAGTCTAGCTCCTCAGGCTGAGATTCCTGACTGATCGTTAGTATTCTGGGACCTTTTGTTTATTAGCTGTTCATTGCCCACTTCACAGTTATCAAACTACTTCTGCGACCTTATATCCTAAATTTTTTTGTTTCTAGAGAGATGACAATCATTTTTTCATACACAACATAGTTTTGGTACGATTCTTTTTTGTTGAAATTTTTAAAATTTGACTCTCTGATTTTAACTCGAAACTATTCATGTGAATATTGAATTTACAGTCAACGTCACGCGGTAATTGAGAATGTATATGCTCCGATTACTCACTTGTTTTAATTTTTGCATACCTTCTCTTCTCCGGAAGACGTACGAACGAATCAAAATTAAATTATCAAATATAAAGTAAAACTTTTTTTAATGAAACTTTCTTCAGTGCGCAGATCGTTTTAGTTTTGGATGAGAGCCTAATTTCTTGCGACGTTGTTTTATAAAGGGGTTAAAATAAATTGAAGAATATTTTCTACGTGCCCATTATAAAGATGTCCTCAAGGGCGCCCAGGAGCATTTGCTCCTTGCCTTGCTCCAGGTTTAATTATTTTCAAAGAGGCTTATTATCAGTAAAGGGGCTTATTTATCAATTTAAAACTTTTCTCTCTTCATTGATAAGTTTTATAAAACTCCTAACTGCCGGAATTAAATCCTTGTAATAATATTTTAGATTTATTTAGTGATACGTTACTTTAAAGTCACGGACGATTTTACATGTTTCTGCCGATTGGAAGATGTCGCTTGATTTTCCTATTTCTCCGACCTTGTCATGTCTGAATCTTGACTTTATTAGAATATTCCTGAAATTTTTATTCTAACTTCGTTTCTTGATCCTTGCTACCTAGCTTCAGAAAGTTAGTCCGTATTTCATTTCAATTTTGAAATTTGTCGTTTTGTTGGGCTACGGTGTTCTTATTTTGAGCCGACTACATGAACTTCTTTCCTGCTATACGCGATTTTTATGGTGAAAATTTTGTTGGAAAACATGCAAGAGATTCCTAATGCCCGTACAAATTGGTAGCGAATTTTTAGCTTTAGCATGGGTCATTAATGATGTTTATTTCCCTGCTAGTGATTGCCCTTATTGTTTCATTTAGATATTTTTATGTTTGCTAGCGTTGAGTGTGCTGTGGTAGTCATACTTGGCGAATTTATGCTATTAGTCATTTTAATTCGATATTGTTTACGTTTTCTGTGGATTATTTCGTCGATGTTGTGACGCGTTTTTTTTTGTGTTTATGGAGGTAAAGCATTGCATGAGTTACAGCGTGTACAGTTATGCGTTCGTTATATTGTAGCAAAACTGGCACCTTCTGAACTGCGTTACAATGCAGTGTAACATTCGCTGTGCCAACCCCCAGTGTACATATTACTGAGATGGTCCGATCGTCTCTAGAGAGAGTCATCCGGCTGCATCTCTATCTGTACAAATAAAGTGAAGCACTTAAAATCGTTCAAACAATGTACAGTTTTATAGAAATTAAATACTTAGCTTTAAGAGGAAAGTTATTATAGAGCTCCCCTCCCCCCACCGTTGACTAATGCATAAGTTGTCTGCCATGATTTGATTGTGCCGCTAGGTTGTATATATGTCATTTGATTTATTACTACTTTGTTCGGTGGGGTGCCGGAGCTATTGCAACTGAACCAGTCGTCCCTTTAATTCGATATTTTATTTATTGTTTCTCTATAAGAACATGTACGAGTTAGTTAATTCATCATGCTGTTTTCTCACTGATATTTAAGTTCTGTGAAGGGCCTCGTATTGCAACGATTCTTCCTCGCGCATCAGACCTGCCTCCATGCCGCTTATGCGACAATTATAACAGAAATCGTGCAAAGCCTTTCGCAGTTCCTCAGGCTGGTCCTAAGAAGTCGCTGAATAAACTGCTTCAAAACAACCGTCACCAGTCCACAGCCAGATCATTCGCCTTGTACTCCGCATCATTAATCCGACACCTTGAAGTGCATCGTTCCTGAAACCCGTCTTGCCGGTCAAGGATTTTGCAACGCATTTACGAGCATCTTGAAATTATGCGATCATTCGGAATTTACGATCTTCATGAATTATTTATTGTATTCCGGTTGTTTGCTGGTCTTGACTGAGTGAAGACTTTTGGTGCGTGTCCTACGTGTTCGTATTTATGCTGGTTTTATACATCGGGTTATGCGGAAGCTATAAAAAAAAGGCGCCCCTGTACGCACACGTCTCGTGTATTATATTCTAGTGCTTTATTGTCACCTGGTGATGGCGGAAGGCTCGGTTCTCGTCACTCGTCAGATTTGCCATTGAACTCATTTTCTGTACTTTAAGAAGAGCAGCGTAGGTTCTCTCATTTTATGTGAACACCTTGTATTCATATGAAAAAATAATGATAATAAATGATTACTATTGTACATCGTGCATTTATTTTTAAAGTACCCTTTATTGCGTCCTCGTTGCGGTCAAAGTCAGTGGCATGTCGTGGCTTGTACGTGAACTAATGTGGCAGTTGGCTTTACATACAGAACACATGATACCTCCTCATTTACTGTGCGCCTTTAGGCTCCAGCGATAAGTGCCTTGTCACCAGAGTGCCTTGAGTTTCACTTCGGTCAACGGCCTCTGTTTATTTTACAGCTATCACTTTATAATTTTGTTGAACCGGAAAACCATTTTCCGACGGTCTTTGTTAATTTTATAGCTATCACTTTAAAAGGGGAGCAGAATTATCAGAACATCTCGACTGCCGATGTAATTTTCAAATGTTCTGCGAATGTAATGTACTGGCGCTGTCCCAAATCACTTTGTAGTAGCGTAAGTTAAAGTAACAATGGCAAAGTATGCAAATACACTAAATTCTGAACCGTCTGAACCAGTGCTGAATTAATTTCATGTAGATTGATTTGATGTATACGAGTCTTCATATTTGTGGTCAATATCTGCATTGAATATGATACGAAAAATGTAGCACTGGATCGAACTTATGCTGCCCTGCACTTCGATCACTTCTGGTGTCAGCCTCTTTCAGGTAAGTCGGATGATACTAGCGGTATGTAAACCATGCTACGTTAAGATTTTAACTGGGAATACTAACCTGGGCATCTTGTGTAATTCATAGCTTCCGGGCAGCCTTGAAATTTATTACAAGCATCATACAATTATATGTGACTAAATAAGTGAGTGAAGGCACAAAGTGTTAAAATGTGGGACTGAAATGGTAGACAACTGGGGCTTTTTACTGTGCCGTGTTCTGAAAACTTTTACTTACAATCAATTTCTGATGCTGGAAATCGCATTTCGTTGCAAGTGTTTGATGAGCATTGAAGCCACATTAGTATAAATTTTTAAAATCATTTATTTCCTGAAAATGATGTTTGTTTACCACTCTTGCGAAACTTCAAAGAAGTCGAATTACGCTTGCATCGCGTTAGTTACAAATAATAGCATAACATGTGTATTTAATCTGTAAGAAGTTTCCCTTTCCTCATGGAAATTATCGTAGTCATAGTTTTTATTTTTGAAGGTTGATTGACAATAAACATTCCTACTTTGGTACACAACTTGGCCATCTTTTTCAGGTCCTAAAAGGAAGAAAGCTAAACTCGATTCTTCGGGCTCCCGGCAGGTGAGATATCAAATATCTAACGTGACATGTCTGCGAGTTAGAAGTTTCCGAGCAACGTTTTGCATTCTGGCTTCATTTTTGTTTAGTTTTTACAGAATTCATTAGGTAGTAATGGTGAGTTATAAGAAGCGAAAAATAAGCACTTATGTTGAGCGTTCGTGCCTGTCATCACTCAATTAGGTGTCTCAACGCCGTGCTTCTATATGGGGTTGGTAAAATTCATGTCAGTATATTATTCCTAATTTATCGAGAAGTTCAACAACAACGCGTTGAATACGTTCCGAGTTAGGATTGAGCTCACTAAAGACATCCTGACGTTCATTTTATTGGTTTCTTGTGTTCCAAGATTTTTGCGCTGGCTTCCGTTCTGTGCTCCCTCTACTGCAATCCTTAATAATTCTCTATGCGCGGTAGAGTAACCAGGAAAAATCCCGCGATATGACCTAATCAGTGGACTAATTTCATTAACACAAGTTGCTGTGGGAGCGATGATCTTAAACGCAATTGTCTTAGTGATGCAAGGCGAATCCGCATTATTAATTAATGTTTTTGACTTGTACTCGGAACCTGTTCAGCTCGTGCACTCAGTTTTTTGAGTTAAATCATGATATGGGAGTGTGTGATGTGTTCTTCACTGATGTTCAGGTGGTCGTTAGATGGGTGAGAATTGGTAGTTTGTGTGATCATTGACTTTTTAGACGTTTTGCCGAGGGTTGCATGCAATTATCGTCAAATTTTCTGAAGATGATCATACATGTGTTGATTCCTGTGTGGGTTGAATTTCGCATTGTAAATTGTAGTTTGGTGGCCATTGCCAACTCGAGTAATTGCTTGTTTAAGCATTTCTTGGTACACACTAGTATGCCTTATGTTTTCCTTGGTGATGATTCTCGAAGAAAGGCTTTTTTTCTCTCCTTGTGGAATAGAATTATTTGTCCGTAAATTTGAATGGTTTTGTATTTTATGTTTGATGCTGCCAGAGTTAATTAAAAGATCTACAAGAAGGTTGAGCTGAGACAGTTATGGATGATATTTGCTTGAAACAATGCCATGCCTACAAGTGCAAAATTCTTTCTAATACTCAAAAGAAACGCAAAATGCATTTTGTGTATTGTGCCATTCATTACAAAAAAGTCGTATGAAATGTTCGGGATTCTTCAACCGAAAGAATTGTCTCTGATCTCTGAGATTTATAAATGATCGCCGAAGAATATCGTTCAAGACCTTATTTGCACTTTCTTGTGGTGCAATTTTGAGTGAGAATTTTTGCGAAATGCAGTACAAATGATTAGGGCCTTATGAAGAAAAGGTTGATTAGTTTATAATAGGTTATTATATCATGAACCATTAGCTCGATAACTTCTTGGCCGCAGCGTCGGCAGCAAGACTTTAAAATCCCATGACTTGAAGTCAACTGAGCTTCAAATGACTCAAACTACGAATTCAGTAAAAAATATTGAAAAATTTAGTTCAGCTTGTATTACGCGAAATTTTTGTTGATTGCTTTGCTAGTAACGGGTATTACTAAACGTATGAGAACGCCACGGATGCCGCCGCTCCATTCCAAGACACTGCACAATAGTGCTTCTTATTCGTAACTCGTCTGAACTGAATTGCATTAGGGTTTTATTCAAATACATTTTAGCCTCGGAAACAAAAGGAAATGGATAATCTGGCCCAGTAATGATTTAAACGAGCCTGACATGTTTCTTGATTGTAATTGACATTGATTTTTATCATTATCAAAATTATTTCTTTTGAATACCGCATGATTTTAACAATGGAATAAGTTGATTACAGATTTAAAAGCAAAGAATAGTCCACAAAAACTCATATCTTTATAGAAAACGTTTTCTATAAAGATATGATGTGAATTAAAGATATTAATTTTTGTGGACTATTCTTTAGTTATTTTAAAATTCATATCTTTATAAAAACGTTTTCTACAAAGATATGATATGAATTAAAGATATGAATTTTTGTGGACTATTCTTTGCTTTTAAATTTTTAGATAACTTGCGATTTAAGCAAACAATTGACATCAATTCTCGAATAAGTTGATGTTTAGTTGATTTAATTTTAAGTGTCGGCCGATTTCGCCGATAATAACGGAGTCATTTTTAATTGTGTGCAGTCTAAAGGCTCGAAGAGCAAGCTCAAGGACACCTCATCTACTAAGGATCCCGGTAGCGCTAAAGATAAACACAAACACACCACAATCAGTTCAGCACAGAAAGACTCATCCACCACAACCACCATCACAACCAGCTCTAATCTCAGCACCATTACTACCACGTCCTCTATCACTTCCGTCTCTACCACTGACGCTGGTCGCCCTATGGTCTTCGTGCAAAGTCGGGGAAAGCCGCAAAAAAGTTCCGAGATGCTTTCAGCTGGCGATCCCGATATTGACATAAATATTCGTAACAGCTGTATTAGTAGTAGTAATAATGTTAATAGTAGCATAGTAATATCTAGTAGCAATAGTGATATTAGCAGAGTTGCTGTTACTACTGCCAGTAGTGGGCAAGTAACTGCAATGCCCTCGACCACGTCGGTCGTGTCTGTGCCATCATTGAACGCTTCGCCTTCCCCGTCGGCTGCCCTGCCCTCCTTAGACACATTAACTCCTGTCGCTGTCGACAGTGCAGTCAGTCTCGCTCATAATCCTTATAGCTCTAATAGTAATACCAGTAGCATTAGTAATAGGCCGTATAGCATCAATAATGCTTCAGCATCCAGTAGTAACCTAATGAGTAATACTAGTGAAAGCGTTAAAGCTGCCACTATTTCTCCCATGGGCAGCAGTAATATTCACAATAACATTGTTAGTAGTAATGCCAGCAATGTGGTTAGTAACAACTCTAACAACAGTCATGGTAGTAGTTATAATGGTACAATTAGTGGTGCAGCGCACGATTCTCAACATGCGTTACCACAACAACAACATCAGGTAGGTCGTACTAGTGCTACTCCTCCGAGTCAACATCACCACGGGACTTCTGGCTATCAAAGCCTGCAGCATGAACAACAACAATTCCAACAGAACTTGCAGAACTTTGCGGCGAGTATTGCTTCGAATGCTAGCGCTGCGGCGACATCTTCTCCTAGTACCATGCTATCATTACAACAAATGCAACAACTGCAACAACAATCTGCGTCTGACAAACAATTGCTACAACACTTACAGCAACAGCACCTGTCTTTGAAGAACGGCGCCGCCGACCACGTGCAGCAGCAACACGCGCTCGCGTCCATGGCGTCCGCCAGTCTGCACATGGCTGCTCAAAACACCACCCTCGGTCAGTACCTTTCATGAGCGTGTAACACATTACATGTGCAATATCTCCACTCTACTCGGACTTAATCTTGATAATTTCAAATGTTCATCATCTTTTTAAGTTCGTCTTGAAGCCTACTTTATTTTATGCGAATATATCTATAATATATTAAGTTTTTCCTAATGTATATCTTAACGAAGTCTAAACTTTGAAGCTTCATTTCATGTCTAAAGACCAAGTGTATATGTTGCAAAAATTCCGTTGAATTCATTCTCTTGCACAGGTAATGATCTGAAAGCCGAAGATTCGGTTCAATCGGAACTACAGAACATCTTGAGTGGCGGGGGAGCCTTGAAACACCATCAGCAGCAGTCGTATTTATCTCAACAGCAGCAGCACCACCACCAACAACAGCAGCAGCAGTTAGCAGCCGCTGTAGCAGCAGCCGCAGCTGCAGTTGGTGGTCATCAAAGTTCGGGAGCTGCCAACGGATACTCAGACCTCTCGAACATGAGCTCCTTAACGCACATGGGCCTCTCAGCCTCAAGCCAGAGTTCCATGATGGCGATGTTGGGGTCCGATGCCCTTGACAGTTTGGCGCTGCCAGAACCCGTGCTTTCAGACTTGAAGATGGCAGCGCTGGAAGCGAGTGGGCTACCGTATGGGCAGTACAGCAGCGGTGACATGCAGGCCATAAGCCACTTCGCTGCTGCTGGAGGGTCAGTAGAGTCACATCATCTTCTGGAGTCCCGAGGAGGACACCTGACCGATCCTGGCCTCCTCGATAACCATTCCACCAAGAAACATCATCTCTCGCATCAGCAGCAATTGCAGCAACAACAACAACAGTTACAGCAACAAATGCAGCATCACCATCAACAACAGCAACATCAACAGCAGCAACTACAGCATCAGCAACAACAGCAACTGCAACAACAACAGCTACAGCAGCAGCAACAGCAGCTTCACGAGCAGTCGAAGCTCAGTCACAGCAACTCTGGCAACAGCGGTGGGGGTTTCAGCGGCTCAGGAAAGCCTCGAGCAACGCCCAAAAATTTGAGCTCGTGGTCATCGCTTGCCCAGAGCGCCGTGCCCGCCGCCTCAACGGCTGCCCTCAAGACCTCCGCCAGCGACTCCTTCGCCCAGTTCAAAAAAGTTGCCAAGGAGAAACAAACTAGGGTGAGCCTGCAGTTTTCGCGCGAGTTGCATCAAAAGGTCATTTATGTATTTTCTTTACTAAATTTAATTGAAGGATAAATAGAACAAACTTCAACTACCTACATTGATCAGTCTAACTTTTTTATACAACTTTCAGTCGCTTTATAATTTTATCGAGAAAAGTATTCGATTATCGAACTTATTAATTAGATTCGTTGTGTAAAAACTCTCGTAATAATATTTTTATGTAAATATTCTAAAATGTTGTTTACAGCTATAAGTGTATGTGTATCCTCTTTGGTAAAAATCGTTCTTTCTGATTGTACGGGTTAAATGAGAACTTAACGATTTTGATTGCTTGCATAGAGCAATACTATGAAAGCCAAAATTTCAAATTACCCCGTTTGATAAGCTTTGCTGTGAATGTATGAAGATTCAAATTTCCTCGGCATCTTGAGCCGATTCATTTAAAATATATTATAAAATGTCAATACATAACGTACTGATGCTCTCTGCAGCAACGTCAGATCCGAGAGCAGCAGGAGCAGCGGCGGCAGCAGAAGGAGGCGGTCGAGAAGGAGCGCGCGCGTCAAGAGGCTGAGCGAGCGCGGCTTGACGACGATGGAATTGACCGAACACCTGAAGACCTAAAGGATCCATTGCCTGTCACTTCTGCCAGCACGCGTCCTGCCCTGCTGGGGACACCTGCTCTGCCTCCTGGTGCTGGCGGAGGGAGTGGCAGTGGCAGTGGTGGCAGTTGTGGTAGTGGAGTCGGCGGTACTATCTCTGGGACTGGCAGCGGTGGTGGAGTTGGAGGAGGTGTAGCTGATCCTTCACAAATGTTGATGCACCCCGATAGGTGAGCCATGTTGCTGTGTCTCACTTATATTTTGCATTGCTGTAAAATATTGCATTGCTGCCCTATGTGTACTTGTGCGATTTGTGTACTTATCTTAATATTTCTGTATTCCTATTTATGTGGTTCCTTTCAATACTCTTGTTCCAATGTTTAATGATAATAAACTTCCTTTGTCTAAATTATCGATTTCTGTTAGTAATTTTCTTCATTTAACCTCGCCAGTGCATTTATAACTGCGTTGGGAGGAGTTTTTCTCCGGGCACCCTTATGCTTTTTAACTACTTTTACTCTTCTAGCAAATTAGTGAAAGAATTACGAACATTTTGTGCTTCATGAGCTTAACCTGCAGTGTAATATCTAATATCTACACGATATAATCAACTCGCCCAGGTTATTCTAGGCCATACTTGAATGCCGGGCAATTTACTTTACTGAAACCTGATTTAACATCATTTAATTGTCTATCCATCAACTTCATTTACTCGACAGGTAGGTATGTACTTTATTTAATCTCTTTTCATTTTCAGACGAGATTCAATATCTTCCTTGAAGCCATCATCTGTGAAAATGAGTTCTGGAAGCGGAACTCTAGGGAGCTTCTCCAATGCCGGGCACCACGCCTCGCAAATATCAGGGTCCTCCCATATATCTGTTGCATCCCATATATCGGCGACGTCCCTCATACCAGGCGCGTCCCACACCCCCACCGCCACCACCACCAGCAGCAGCACTCCGGCAGATACACCTGGGCGCCTCAGTGACAGAGACAGACAAAAAATGCGCGAGCAGGAACGAAGGAGGAGAGAGGCGGTGAGAAATTTAGGTCTTTGAACTTGTCATTTGTTGAAAAACTAATATATTTTTGTTTAATTATTTTTTTTACTTTGATAAGAAATTCTTATTGACCAATTACGGAACAAATTATTTTTTTGCGCATCATATTCATTTGGATTTAGCATAAATTTTGCCCGGCAGATGGCTGGTCAAATCGACATGAACCGTCAGAGTGACCTCATGGCGGCGTTTGAGGAGCAATGCAGCAAATGAAGGACCGATCATCTTCACTTCTTCTTCTCAGCTCTGACGAGTGTTCAGACTACCGACTTGCTGATGATAACATTGGAGAATAATCAGTTGGTTCCTGTAGTCTGTGAGCCTCCGCTTGATGGGATATTTCTGTTCCGTTGCTTACCTAGGAAATTTTTAAGGGTGATGCGCCGAATTACAACCAGCAATTGCAGTGTCGATGTAACGTCTGTGAAACAGACGAATTACTGCTGGGTAAGAGAAAGACAAAGATGTTCTGTGATTGTATTTAATGAATATTTTTAACGGATTGATTGGTTATGGATGTACTGATCCATCAATAATGTGTAGGAAAAAGACTCCAACTTGTTTCATTATTGAGTGCTCAACACGTGTCGGATTTTAGGGACGGTTTTGATATCAGGAAGCTGCTGAACGATTGCAGTTCTGTTCCCAGAAACGTTAATGTTGCTCATCCTAGTGCGGCAATCGAAATGCGAGGAGTGGAACTAAATCATGTACATAAGTGAACAGCAAAATACGCGTGAGCTGAAGAAATATTGTGTGGATAATCACTCCCAGTCAATTTCAAAGACATTTTTTATCGAATGTGATCCTGCGAATAATATCGCACTTTGAAGATGAAATGGATGCCCAACACAAACTATACAAGAAATTTACTGGCGCTCTTCCTGGGTCGCCTTGTCCATTTGTAGCTTTGCTCATAAAATCAGCAAATTGTTCAAAGTTCGTTTACGGGTTGTATTTATTGTTCTGTATTGTTCATGTGCCTGAATATCTGAGGTCTCTAACTTCTATAATTTCATCACAAGTAATATGAACTGTTATTATTTGTCGGTGGAAATCAAAGTTATCGTGGTACAGGAATTTCACCGAATCGTCTTTCTCGGTGTGATTCTATCATGAATGGTGAGGCCATCTGTCATCAGTCTATGGAGGTAGAAAGCATCCGGTTGACTTTCTCGTGGTGGTGTTATGTTTTCAAATGTTCGGAAAGGCTTTGGTGTTGATCAGACGAGAACCAGATTAAAGCGGTGACGAAATATGCTCACATTGAGGTTTTCCAGGAGCCAAATCTGTACGTTAATTGCAATCTGGTTTTCTAGGATGAACGTAAAGGGAATTTCAAGAATATTGTACTCAACAGCTAAAAACGGTATAATGAATACAGTACTGTAAGAACTGTGTTGTAACAGATACAGTATAACGAATACGGTAGCTTTAAAAATACGATGAAATTTTGCGTTACGGGGAGAGGACGGAAATCGGCTTGTAATACCTCATGCCACGGTGCTTGAAATGTTCTACGCAATGAACTCAAATCAAATGTATATCTATTGTAAAATTTTGGACGTTCCAGTTAGCTGACGCTATAGCAGATCTCGCACACAAAAAGCAGACAACACCTCGTTTGTTAGATCGTGGGCTTCACCCTGTTATCAGTATGTATTTTTACGCATAGTAGATTAACACTCGTCTACTTGCAGGCGGTAGCTTAAATTAAACGACTTCTTGCAGTCGACATACAACGGGTGAAGGCACCTATTATAGTTATTGTTATGCAGAGATTACCAAACTTATCAATATGAGACTTCATCAATATCGTGATTAGGCACATCTCATATTTATTCCATATTTAGTTCAATATCCGGAGACATCGTACGTCCTGCTTCTCTAGCAGTACGATGGGTTAACAGACGTGACGACGTATCAAGTCACTAAGATTGTGTTTGTTGCGTATATCTCCAAGTGTAAAAGGTTTCGGTGATTTTCGACCACGTTCACATACAGCTACACAATTATTTCAACTATTATACTCTTTCTCTTGACAAATTGCACCGTATGTCTTTTTCTCCTTGTGTATGTCTGTAATATTCTAACCAGGTTTGGAATCAAACAATGTTTTATCTTTATGATGCTTTAAAGTCAGAATGATTGTGTTATGATCCATCCCAATTATTACGCGGTAGCAGAAATTTTTTCTGAGGTGATAGTGCAGCAAATTGCTCAAGTATTAATTTTTATTGCTGATTCTCGAGCTTTTTTATGTTTCCTTGATTGAAGCTCCGACCTTATTTTTCTTGTCGGACTAGCATATTAATAATTTGTTTAGACCGTATTTATTGTGAGACTTCTGAGGTAGGTGGTATTTGAGAGGAAGCGGTACTCGTGGCACCAATCCACCATTGAGGTTTGGCGAGCGGTGATGGTCACCCTTAAAGTTCTCAGTTCTTCAAGGGGCGACTTTGATATGCCTGTACAATCAGACATTTTTTGTAATCAGCTTGGAAATGTTCGCTTTCTTAGTGAATTTCAGCGCATTTGGTAATTCCGTTTAACTTTAGACAGTTATTCCCTGTTGATCTGCCCGTGTTACGTGTACCAGAAATCAGGCATGGTTTTTTCCATCGAAGATTCTTTTAGCGACTTTTTGTGCGTGATACGGGATCTGTGGGTCTTCAACATGCCATGTGTGCTGCAGTTTTCACTGGGTAAATAGTTCTTCTTAAGATAACAAATTAATATTTCGCTGGAATGAGTTCGTCTCAACTCCATGTTCTGTTTGATTCCTTAGCTCCAACAAAACGGCATTTTATACTAGCGACTGCAGCTCATTCTCATACCGTCAGAAGTATTGATTAAGTCGCGCAAACCCGTCAAGTATGTGAGTTTGTTGTGTTGTACTACACAGCTAATTCTTGCTTGAGTCATTGGAAGGATGTGTTGTTGGTGCTCGAGTCATTGCAGCATTTAAATGCTGCGTCCGTCCACGTGCAAGTGACATCTCGCTCATCATCATTGGCTATAACGGCTTTGTTGTCATCAGTTAAGGTGGATTGCGATGATCACGTACATTTAAAAACTTATATCATATTATTGTTTCTCTTCTCTATGGTAATGATGTGTTTTGTGTATATCGCATAGCTATAAGGAAAAGTCGTTTGTACAGTTCTAGGTCGTAGATAATTTTTTGTGCATGATTATTGTAAGTCAATTGTCAGGTGCATATTATATATAAATGTCTTCACTAGCAAGAAATGTAAAAAAATACTTCCCATGTAGTTTCTTAAATTATTTATGGTTGTGAAATGTAAATACTTAAGCGTTGCTCTGTTCATAATTTTTTGGTAAGACGTTTGTGTATGGCAGTCATCATAGATGTGTGTTTGTCTTGCTTGTCTGCCCCTATTTTGGCTCTGAAACTTTGGTACGCTCTAGTAATTACAGCGTAGCTAAAAATCAGTTTTGTTACCGGGAGAAGCGGAAGAAGCGACTTGCCATCAAGCCTGGTATTCATGAGGTGTTGCGACTCAGACGCTGCACTCTATTGTCTTGAGCGCTGGAGCGATGAACGATCACTAGCATATGTGTACGAGTTCATTTAACTAAACGTTCTGTTCTCACGTTCTATGTCAACTTATCAATATTTGTTAAGAGCTCATGTTAACTTGCATCTTTCTAAATAATTCAATTTGAGTTTGTAGTCCTTGAAATCATAACTTGCATAATTCTCCGTAATAATGTTGAGCTTTCCCCTTGAAACTTACATAAATATCAAACAAATAAGCTGACACCAAACGCTGGTCACATGATAACATTTAGTTCTATGCATTCCATTGCACTGGATGAAAGTTTCGTTCCATTCACAAGCCGGAGTAAAATGCAATGGAGTGTATCACGTGCTTGATGTCGTCCTAACACTGAAGGCGACACGCGGCTACTGTCTCACCTTCATCCATCGACGTTTAAGGTTGGCCTGCATCGAATTTAAGATAGCTTCACGTGCGGGTTTTACGATTGTTCTTTGTTCCAGTATTTGGTTGTTAGAAGATCGCCCTACCATTTTGGGATACACATAATTGAGCCGTTCAATTCCTATAGACATTATTTATTGTTCTGTGCTTCTACTTGCGAGATAACTCTCCCGTGAGAAGCAGTTGTTCTAGTTTACCCAATTGTTATTTATCTCAGGCAATTGTTAATTAAATATTGTGAGACTTTTCTCTGGCCTTTCATAATTTGTCACCATTTTATTAGCTTAAGATAACATTTTCAAACATTAGGCTTATGAATGATGCAATGGCTTCGCAATTAGCTCATAATTCAGGGGATGTTTCTTGAATTTTTTGTCAATAATTTTGTCTTGATAACAACAGTTCTCTAAAGCTTGTTCAACTGAAATCGACGATTATGAATATTTTGCGTCAAATGAGTCAATATATTGTAATTTAATTTTTTCTATGTTGATGTTAGCGTAAGGTATTCTTCAACCGAATAATGACCAATGCTTACTACTAATTGGGTGAAATTCCACTGGCTTTCTCATAGGCAAAGTTCATGACTCTGGCAGTCACGAATGAACATTGTAAGCGTCAATGTGTGTTTACGCTATGTGGGGAAAAGTCACAAATCTTTTCTCATCTCGCCATGATGTCAAGCCAGTGGTCTGGTTAATACACATGATTGAAATCCAGGGTACTATAGCCAGGTTACAATGTACCCTAAGTGAACGATTGCAGTTCCAATAAATGTTGATTACAAAGAATCCTCTTATTTATTCATTTATACTAGACATACACTCGGTGGATACAGTAAATATACTATGAAAGATAATAAGGGAATTTATTCGCCAGAGTTGACAGAATGAATACAAAGATTGAACAACTCACAGTAAAGATTTCTAACATGTGCAACGTAGTAGGTTAACTTTCGTCAAGGATTCCGTACAATCTGAAGTTTTGTTTCGCACTAAGTGCCTTATGCTTATTCACGATGAATTTCTAGAGATGAATCAGATTAAAGCACTACTTAGCACGTAGTTCGATCTCAATTATGGATAATATGGAACTAAATGATCAGAAAATCTTGCAATGAATGGAAAACCTTTTACGAAGATAAGGTACCTAATGCCAGGTTCAAATCCAGACGGTCATACAGGATATAATTGCAAAATAGAACCTGAGGTTGTGTGGTAATGTAAAGTTGTAAACGGTCCATTTCAAGGCTACTGAAAGCTTGTTTCACACACGAGCCGAATAAGTAAATAATACACAACAGAATGATAATATCATCAGCGCCAAGGAACACCGTTCAAATCTCTGATTTGGAAAACATGCATTTAGAAAATCTCGTGACACAAATTGAAGGTGAAGTTGACAGTAGCGCGAGTGAAACAGTAGCTCCTGTGAAAATCGAGAAATTTGAGAGGATGCAATATTTATTTGCAAATAAATCAGAACAAGAAGTGGATTTGAATGAAGTGTGTTTTAGTTCACCTTTTAGCACTGGCATTGTATCAACATTTTTCATTGCTTTTTTTAGGCAAATGACATAACATCTGGGTACAATGCTATATCAATTGAATAAAATTTACCCTGGAATAGGGCAACATTCCAAAATTGAGCAATAGTATCCTTCACAGTGTAAATAGAACCCACCAAATGATTCATCCCGTAATAACAGCGATGGGTCTGAGCTTTATGCACTTCTTGCTTCTCAATGTAAATAGAACTCACCAAATGATTCATCCCTTAATAACAGCGATGGGTCTGAGCTTNTGAAGAGGGAGATGAGGGCCAAGTTGCGGCGAGACTTGGCGCGAGACTGAGCGCGACCCTGTACAATGACGAGGGAGATGAGCGCGACCCTGTACAATGAAGAGGGTGATGAGCGCGACCCTGTACAATGAAGAGGGTGATGAGCGCGACCCCGTACACTGAAGAGGGAGATGAGGGCCAAGTTGCGGCGAGACTTGGCGCGAGACTGAGCGCGACCCTGTACAATGACGAGGGAGATGAGCGCGACCCTGTACAATGAAGAGGGTGATGAGCGCGACCCTGTACAATGAAGAGGGAGATGAGCGCGACCCCGTACACTGAAGAGGGAGATGAGGGCCAAGTTGCGGCGAGACTGAGCTTGACCCAGTACAAGGAAGATGGTGAAAGAATGATTCACGCCAATTTTCTGCATTAAATAACGACGAAAAGAAATACGATGAATAAATTTGAGTACTTTACTGCGCAGAAACTTTGATTCAAGACAAAATTATGATGTAAAAAAACAGTTACCAGTTCTCGATCTCAAAAACAACGAATGCGTAAATTGGGTAATCAGTCAGAAGTCAAACTTTATAGTTTGGATTGTTATCAAAAAGTGAATAATTTGCAAAAGGGATCTATAGGAGAGAGGCTATTCAAATCAGTCTGAACATTTGCATGAACGTCCTTAAATTTAAATTCATTAGCACATAATTTACAAAAAAAAGCAGTTCATACTGACACGTACAAAATTTCAATCGAAGTAGTAGTATTTTGATTAGCACTGCCTTTACCATGAAAGCAATTGCTAAATCTCTGTTGGCGTTATAAATGTGGGCAGTGTTGAGGCAGTAAATGTGGGTAGTGTTGAGGCAGTTTATATGTAAATAAATTAGTGATTAATATGATGTTCAGAAACCGGCGGTAGATTTGAACATTACATGCGGATTAATGTTAGACTAAAAATATGATATAATAATTTGAATATCAAAGCCATCGTCAACTATTCTCAACTTATTGCAGAAGAATGCTATCTGATGCTATTCATATCTCAATGGTAATCAGATATAAACAGACTGCCAACAAAGCGTTAAGATAAGAGCTGCAGACAAGTATCTTAAGGGTAACTAGAGTTAAACAGACTGCAGACAAAGAAGAGTTAAGATAAGAGCTGCAGTTAAGTATCTCAAGAGTAACTAGAGTTAAACAGACTGCAGAAAAAGAAGAGTTAAGATAAGAGCTGCAGTTAAGTATCTCAAGAGTAACTAGAGTTAAACAGACTGCAGTTACAGCATNGTTTTGAGCCCTGCAACCATAGGTACACATCAGTTGTTTTGAGCCCTGCAACCATAGGTACATATCAGTTGTTTTGAGCCCTGCAACCATAGGTACACATCAGTTGTTTTGAGCCTTGCAACCATAGGTACACATCAGTTGTTTTGAGCCTTGCAACCATCACATCAGTAATTAACTTATTATTTGATTAGAATTTTTCATTTGCCTGAAAGTGGCGGTAATATTGCACTAGAATGGAACAATTAGATATAATTCATCCTACACTGTCGGGGAGTATCAAGTAATATTAACTTTGTGCGACAATTTTGTTGGCTGTTGATGTTAGGATAAGAGTGTTGGCCAGTTGTGTTGCAAGGAGATGTGAGGGAGGTGTGTGTCGTGCAAATAATGCAGGCTTTATAAGTGTATTGTTAGATTTTATACATTAATGGGCAAAGATTTGCACCTTAATAGAATGCAATAGCAATTCTTTATAAATAATATATTTCCGTATCCATAATTGTTTGTTATTAGACGTTTATTCATTTCAGCATTTGTAGAATTAGTTATTGTTTGTGTTTTCTGAAAAAAGCTGAACGTCTAACTTTTGGTTCTGTAATCAGGAGCAGGATATAAAGGCAAGAGATTGAATATTTGGAAAAGTGGGTTAGAAAAGCAGTAAGTGTTCAGTACCGATGTAGTGATGGTCTAGTGACGGGATGTGAGGTGAGTCATCAGCAACCCATCAGGCGTGTGATGAAGTACCTTCATTAGTTATCTGTTGCATAATCATACATACAAACACCAATCAGGAACCAAAATTATGATACCTAGTGGTGCTTAACAGAGCATTCTCTTGAGGTTTTTACTCAAATGAATAACTTATTTTATTATTAAATGAAATAAGAATTAAAAATGAATACATGAACTCAGCCTAACCCAAATACGCACATGGCTGCATTACATTCCTAAAACATTATTCACAATAGCTGCATTATTATTATTCACATTATTCACAATAGCACAAAGCATGCTCACTTTGCGATGCACCAATAACGTCTTCAGTTTATTATCAACCCAGTGCTGCTCGATCTTAGCGATGTTATGTGACACGTCATATATGACATGCATGTCGAGATCGTCGGGGCTCATCTGGAACTGTTTAGCGAACGCCTGGCGACTGAGGAACGTCATCGAGCTTCTGTTGACCCAAGCAAAGTTGGCGGCAGCAGCCATCGCTTTGAGGTAGTCTTGTCCCTCAGGAGAGTTAATCCTTGCGCACGCAAGTTGTCGGTCATTGGTCTCGATGTTGTCGCGCTTCATGGCTTTCTCCATCGCCACTAACGCGTCTGCAACAAGTGCAGTTGTTAGCAAGGGAAACATTTAGAGAAATATTTCTGTTGTACACATAATTTGTGATCGTCCAAATAACTTCAAATCAAGCAAATATTAAAATATCTAGGATTCCATTTTCAAAATAAAGATATTACATTAATGCTGAAGTGGAAGCGAACTAACCAGTGGCAACTTGGTGGCCAAAGCCTCTGCTGCCGGAGTGAATCATAACACAAACTTGTCCAGTTTGATCAATGCCCATTTTACTTGCTGCCCATTTATCAAAAATTTCATCCACCACCTGAATTTCTGCGTAGTGGTTGCCTGCCCCTAGTGTGCCAAGCTGCACGAGTTAGGAAAAAAAGACATAATTTAAAAACAACCAGCAGACAAATGATAAATATTTAATACACTATAAACGTTTTAATAACAGTTAATAGACAACACGAGTTATTTTACATATCGTTTTTCATTCAGCTATTAGAAGACTGGAAAAACATTTTACATTGACAAAAGACTTCAAAATAAGAATATCCTGCCAACACATAAAATTAATTAAGATTAAGATAAGATTTTTAATATTGCGAGTTACATTTCGGAAAGGAATTTATTTGATCCCGCAAGACCAATGCTAACTAACAAAAGTGGCTATACAATACAAAATTAAACAGGATGATATTGAAGGATGAAAAAAATTAAATGAGCAAAAAATTGTATGAGAAAATTGATATTAAATGACATCTTATGAACAAAACGTGAAGGACTAGGACAGCAAAGCTAAGAATAAGTTTCAAAAGTAAATCCAGAACGAGGCCCTGTATGTCACTTGCCAGCAAGAATAAAAGCAGTCAATTTCGATTATAGATGAAAGGCAGGGCAGACGAAACTCATCTGTGGCAGGCCATGTTACAGGCAGGGCAGACGAAACCCACCTGTGGCAGGCCATGTTAGAGGCAGGGCAGACGAGACCCACCTGTGGCAGGCCANCACATATCCTGCACACAGACAACTTGTCCTCAGCCCACACATATCCTGCACACAGACAACTTGTCCTCAGCCCACACATATCCTGCACACAGACAACTTGTCCTCAGCCCACACATATCCTGCACACAGACAACTTGTCCTCAGCCCACACATATCCTGCACACAGACAACTTGTCCTCAGCCCACACATATCCTGCACACAGACAACTTGTCCTCAGCCCACACATATCCTGCACACAGACAACTTGTCTTCAGCCCACACATATCCCGCACAAGTCATGTTTTTCACAACAATAAACATTACAAAAAATTTAGTAGTTGAAACCCATTTTCAGAAATTTTCATATTAATTTGCAAATAATGCAAGTTAGCTGAGAAGTTAGTCCAGAATCATCTGAAACACATGAGAAACTTTGAGAGCACAATTGCTTGAGTGCAACTGCACTTCATAATCTACTTCACTGACAGAACAGCCAAGTTTTCTCAAGCACAGCAAACAACAACCTGAATGATATTTTCACTGAATGATAAATGATCTGCATTAAAATTTTGATTAAATTTATTACTATTGAAACTCCAGTTAAGATATAATAACCTCCCATAAATTTACCTTCTCTTAGAGACCAGTCCATGCCCATCTCTAAAGCTTCTTCCAAGTCTTTGGCTGTCATGGGGATGATGCCTTTACTGCCAACCCCAACAGGGATGTGGTCAAATAACTTTTGTGCTATCTGCTCCTGTATGGCAAATAATAAAACAGAGTTACATATCATGATATACATACACATAGACTCGGAAGTACCCATATAATTTAAGGCCATACCAAAAAATCATTGCAGCATAGAACAGCCACTGCAGAATGAACACTCAAAGTGACATGAAACAGACTAAACATTGCAACATATACAATGCTAACATCTCAATTTCAATGTGAAACCTTATCAGAACTTAGGTAATTTCTTACCTTAACTGGTGCAACATCCTTCTCAGTGAGGTTGGTTCTAAGGAGTCTCACTCCACAATTGATATCAAATCCTACTCCACCTGGTGACACAACTGACTTCGGATCATCCATGTCAAAGGCAGCCATGTTACCTGCACATTATATATAACATTCAGAGAAACTTAGCAGATGCTTATATAATCATAAAAAAGCTTATATAACATTAATAACAATACCACAATACCTAGCTAGTGAATTAGGAAATAATTCAAAAGATGTGTATCAATAATCATATTAAGAATGATAATATTATTAGCATTACAAATGGAGTAATAAAGTTATTTCCTGTAACTAATGCATAGTTATGAGACAATTTTCCTTACCAATTGCAAATCCATAGCCTGAGTGCACATCAGGCAGTCCAACACTTTTTCCAACTATCCCTGGTAGTGCAGCCACATTAGCAATTTGCTTCATACCAGGCAAGAAGCCTCCCACTTGACCTGGGCGGCAAGAGTTACGTAGCTCCTCAAACATTAGCTTCTCTAAGGTGTCATTCACATAGAAGATTCCTTCAACCTGAAAAGCAAGTGCAATTAATGGAAGATGGCTTTCATCATTTCAGCTTGAATTTACAAGAAAACTAATGTTTTTTTACAAAATTTTGGATCTTATGTATGTGTCATAGTCAGAAGCTGGATAATGATTGATTACAAGCTAAAATTTTTGTGGGTCCCAAACAGAAACATTTATGATTAACTATACATAGATTTTATTAGAAATTATTCATGCACAATGAATTGATGAACATATAAATTAGAAGAATAAATGTATGTGTTGTCAGATCCCTACAGGTCATGCCGCCTAGTTAGTGGTAAGAAGATTGTATATGCACTCAGAAAATAATTTTAATAGAATAGCGAAAAAAAATATTAATACATTGGTTTTTATCCAAAATAAGAAAAAACAACTTTTAGCTGCAATTATATAAAATCACCATTGAAATAATTGTTTTGAACTTCCCTTTTTAGGAAACTCAAGCCCAGGACAGTAATACTGTCTATATAGGACAGTAATATGTAGGTACAATATATCATACAATTAACAAATGTCAATAAAATTTGCATACAATTTCAATTTATTCATCAATTTAGGGAAGATTGTAGGAAATTCTTATAGTATATAAGCATTAGCTCAATGTGTAACAGTAAGGAAAACATTACTTTCAAATCACTCACGTTCATGTTAGGCTGAAACCCTTTCTTGATTCTCCACGAATGTGGAGTTATTCGTTCCAAGTATTTAAGTTCATCATTGTATTGTCGGACAACCATTTTGTACTGCAAGTTGCAAGCAGGGTATGTTCAAAACCTATGTTTAATGTAATGAAGTTTTGAGTGAAATAAACTTATGATAGTTTTCAACTCCTGCAATGTTGCAAATGCCACAAGAGTTTGTTAGTATGGCTCAATCAACACTTAACAGTGGTGATTGTCTGATTTTTTTGAGGATATGGAGTCATCACTAATGTACCTCACAGGCCACAGCTCAAGGCTGCTTCCTCAGTAGACAATCCAATCTACAAAATGAAGCTTCAAGGGCACAGCTGCAATTACATTATGGGCTCTACAGGTTAATCTGCTGGTTAGTAGCCATTACCTACATCCAAGCTTGTCGTTTGGACTCTCATGAGCTCTTTGGGCCAGACGGTCCAACCTGGAGCATCTATTGTTTTGTTTAGGGAATTAACGGCTTGTAAGCATGTCATGTACCAGTCTACTTCTACTCTACTACCACCAGGTCCAGACATGGGGCAAATTGTCAACTCCATGGTCCAAAAACTTGTTTTAAGGGCAGTTAAATATACCTCTAGGCTCTAGCAACTCTCCCTAACAAGTGATACACTTGCAACTGTTAACATATGGACATTGCAGAAAAAAAATGCTTAATTGATTCAACTCTCCCTCATAAACAAAGATATGGGTTATGTAGTTAATTTAAACCTAATCAAGTGTCTCTGTAGTCACACATGCCCTAACTTAAATTTTGTAAATGCAGTTTCCATGATTTTCCCCTTAAACTAAAGGACGACCAGGGGCCAGGGCCAATATCCCACACTCCTAATTTTCCAAAGATGGTGAACAGTGTTAGTAATTGGCACCTTCCATTTCCTAAGCCAGCACTGTAAAACAAGCTCAAAGCCCAAGTAACAATAAATAAATTTTCAACACCAAGGGTAAATTTGATGTAGGTTAACAAGTTCAAACTTGATAATGATCTGTGTACACCAGTAACACCACAGCTCCCCTGTCACCAGCAGTGTCATCCCTCATCATTTGAACAGCCTGAGTAATGGCAAATAGTGTTACCAGAGGTTAAATTAGGCAACTGTGTAGCCCAACCTTCATGTCTTTCTTCATCATTAATCATTTTAATTCAATGCTCAATCCTACTCAATTTAAATATATTATATTTATTTTCATTTTTTTCAGAGTAGATGACTAAAATACAATTTGCAAGCTTGAATTATCACTCTCACATATTTCTACTCAGTATCTCACCCTGGGCACTCAGTTGCACTGGTGAGTGGCATAGAAATTTATATCATTTATTCATTGATAATTTAGGTTAAGTTTTGTCCTTGCTATTTTGCTAATTTCATTGCTATTAACTTCTTGAGTTCCCTTGCATTTTACTTTGGTTGTGTTCATCTCTGACTGATATGGTTTAATTTGAAGAAATTAATTTATTATATTGTATTATGGTTATAATTAATTCCAGCAAGTTATGTTCACAATTCATCTTCAAGTGTTCCTTTATTTATCTGTTCTCTTGCAATTCTTTTCAATTCAATCCTCATTTGAGTACTTAGTTTTAAAGATAAATTCACAATATGGAGATGAGCTACTAGTTTTACAGAGTTTAATGATTCTTGCTGTGTTTACATTCCACATCCTATCAGGTTATCAGTCATTCATGATTGCATTTTTATTCTGTTGTTCTTTCTGTTTGCAGTTACATCTGCTCATCTCCACCTGTCCATGCTCCTTATATGCATCTAATTAGCACATTTTCACACTTTCCAAATCAATACAACCATTTCATTTGCAATTTTATCAAAATAATCAAATTACATGTTTATTACTGTCCCATATTTTAATTCATTATTTATTAGAACCAGTCTTTCATTTTCCTTCATTCAGAATAGGTTTGTTGACATTTAGTTAAATAAGCAGATAAGAGGTTTATCTCACCTATGGCACAAGAAACTTTAGACCCAGCAACAATAACACACAGCTCAAAATTGATTTCTGCAGGTGTAATTCCCAAACACGCATCTTTGAAGATCTTTCTTTGTGAATCCCTAATGATGCTGTTGATGAGGGCTCTGGCTAAAAATTTCTTGAACCATCTGCATATGCTTATTGGGATCCATTGTACACTACACTTTGTAGATCTCTGAATAGGGTGATAGCATTTGTCTCTGACAGCTCCCCAACAGTCTGTCAAGCATGAAAAGGAGAAGTGTATGGAATAGAATAGAATGGAAGTGTTGGCACTGAAGAAATAGGCCCATGGCCTGTTCCCTGTTGCTAATTCTTGTACTTCTCGTGACTTCATTCCACAAGGGATCCGGCCTTATGAACCAGATCATTCCATAACTGACAAATTGATTAAGATAGCTGCTGGACTTAATGCACGGCTTGTTAGGTTCTAGGCATTTCAAGACTGAACATAAGCTCCTGCATAGATCACCTTACAACTATATATACTTTGTGCGACCTATTTCTCACTGTGTTATAAACTCTTGTGTCATCAGCATAAATTGAGCACACGCTCAACACAGCTTTTGGCAGATCATTTATAAGCGCAACGAATAAAGCAGGACAGAGAATGCTTCATTGTGGCATGTCACTGTGCACTGAAGCCCAGTCTGATACGGTCCCATTAATACTGACATGTCTTGTCCCTACTAGAAAATCTCTGATCCATTTGAGTACATTAATCTCAATTCCCAAAGACTTTAATTTATGCAACATCCACCTTGGGAAAACCAAGGTACACCTTTTGTCTAGCAGGCAGGTCCATTTGTTCTGAGTTGACAAGATGTTAGTGATGCAGGATCTAGGACAATTCAGTAATTTTGCTGGCCATGATCCCGTCACTATTGAACAATAAAGCAATAAAAGTCTCGAGCCAGATAGGCGGGGCATGACCTACCAGCAATAAAGCCATGTTGACAGTCTGATAGATTATTAACATTCAAATGATTGATCAATCAATCCCTCACAACAGATACCATTACCTTGCAAATAACACTTGTCAAACTGACAGGGCGATAGTTGCCTGGGTAGCTTCTGTCACCTTTATTGAACAATGTTGTCACTTGAGCTTCTTTCTAGTCAGCCAGCAGGATCCCGTTGTTCAATGTTTTTCGAAAAAAATGAGGTCAAAGGTCCGGCTAGAACGGTTGCTAACTCTTTGAGTAATCTGGGTTAGAAGCCATTAGCCGTCCAGTCCACATGACTTATTGGGATTTAGAGCAATCAGGTGCTTGAAAACTTCTTCTTGTATTTCAAACCTTGTTAATTTAGAGCCAATTGAGTGCTCCTCAATAGCTAGAATACTGTTCAAGTCCTCTTCAGTGAATATATATATGCCACTAAAAAACTGATTAAGAATGTTAGCCTTGCCCTCATCATCAGAGGACAGAGGATATCTTTTGTTTATCTATTTTCAAATCAGAAATACTGTCCATTATTTTGTTGTCGTTTTGTCTGCTTCTTGAGGAAGTGGAGTCATCCTCCATACACCTCACGGCTGAAAAGGCTCCCTCGTCTGGCAAGCCAATCTGTAATAAATAAGGCTATTAGGCAAAATAATTGTGTCTTATGAGCGTTAAATTGTGCATCAGATTAGTCTACCGGTTAGTAACCCTTACCTAGCACTACCGTCAACCGGGGCTACTCGGGACGGTTTTGAGCGTTTTTTGTTAATAACTTCTTACGATGAAACATTTCATAAACAAGTTTAGGCTCATTTTATAGCTCTTTGCGAGGGCTATCGAATGGCATCTTCAAAAAAATTCCATATGCTATTCGTAAGGTGCCAGAAGCAAAAAAAGAGTGTCCCGAGTAGCCCTGTCGAACTGTCGAACGAACGGGGCTACTCTGAACACTGGGAATAAAACTTCATTTTGAAATATTTGAAGCATGCAGAGCGTACTCATCCATTACTAACAGTACTCTGAAGTCCTCCTCTTTCATTGTAGACAATGTAGAGGTAGAATAAATGACATTTTCTGTGACTTTTACTAGTTTTTCCTTCATTGATATTCCATTTTTTTCAGGAATTTTTCAAAGCTAGTAAATGTCGTATTTTTCGACTTCCTTTATACTACATAGATAGGAAAAATGTTGTTGTTTAGGCCACTATATTTAGTTTAGCAATATTCCAATTAGTTTCGCTACTATGTCTGTTTTACGATGTATCAGAGGTGCATCCCGAGTTGCCCCGCCAGTCCCGAGTTGCCCCGGTTGACGGTAATTTTGTCATTTGGACACAAGGATTCATAGGGCCAAAATGCTCCAGCCTGGGCTGGCGCAGCCTGGAGCATTCAATTTGTTCTCAGGGGGAAGTGACTAGATATTTACGAGCATACCACGGACCCTACTACATATACTTTACCACTACTACAGTCCAGGTATGGGGGCAAAAAAGAATAATTTCTTGGTCCAAAGACTTATCTTAAGGACAGTGAGACAACCTCCAGCAACTCCCCCTTACAGGTGATGCACTTACATTCCTATGTACATCTGCAGGAGAGGTGCTGGTGGTTTGTGGCCCTTTGGCTTTTTTGAAGTTCTTTGTCTAGGTTATTGGTTAGGTTTAAAGTTGCTTCAACTTTCCCGTTGAGGCTAAGAAAAGTGATACACTTTGCATAATTTGCATATCCCTAGAGACCACATGCACTGCCTTGTAGGCTCAATCCAATTGAGTGCAGTTGGGTCAGCAAATCTGAGTGACTGTCAGCAAATAATGGGCATTGCAAGAAGAAGTGCTGGATTGTTTCAACTCTCCCACATAAACAAAGGTCTGTGTTAGTCATATTAAACCTGGACAAGTGCTCCCCAAGTCCCACATGCCCTAATCTGAATTTCGCCAATGCGGTTTCAATGGTTCTCTCCCTGATGGATGACCAAGGCCAATATCCCACTCGGTCTCTAATTTTCAAAAGGTGGTGCCCAGTGTTAGTAATTGCTGCCCTCTGTCTCCATCCTTCCTCCCAAACTCTCCAGACTGCCACTCTTATATCTCTCACCATGTCCTCCCTGCTCATCACGGCCTCAGCTGATACCTCGGTTAATGCATGAGCTGCTTTAGCAGCCATCTCATTTCCCCTGATGTTTTTGTGGCCCAGGACAAACTGGATCACAACTGGAAGATGAGCTCGAAGGACATGCAATATTTGATGAATCTGGAATACCAATGGTAAATGAGATGATGGTCTACACTCTACGGGATGCCAATAAATTCAGACTTGATAATGAATCTGTGTATACCACTGCCCCCTGGTCATCAGCATTCCTATCCCTAATTATAAGAGCAGCCTGAGCAATGGCAAATAGTTCACAACTCAAGATTGAATCTTGTTGGCATACAGTGAGGCAGCTCTTGGAGGCGGCAGAGGTATCGCAGCTGCACTAGCTGGCGGTGAAACCTCAGAGGGGGTACGTCACTTTCCAACTCCAGAGAAATTATAGGGGAGATCTTCCTTGCCCCAACGGGCCAACGGCTAACCTGATACATCTGTTCTGAATTTTGTTTAGTTTCTCTAGAAGTCTAGATAGCTATTTGCCGCTGTCTCATAAAACATGGAGCCATAGTCCAGCTCCCTTCTTACCACTGCCTTGTAAAATTTGAGCAAAACTTCTCTATCTGCTCCCCAATGAGCTGACATTGCCTGCATCACATTTACATGCCCACATTATATGCCACATACTAGTGACAAACCAGATTTTTTAGAATAGTTCATTTATAATTTCCTCATTTACTCAAGAATTTAATCAATTTCTTATGTATGATAATGCTGGTATCCATGATACTTTACTGGTCTACTTATAGGACTCAAAAATGAACTTGCGGGAGAGTCTAAAAAACTCTCTGCTTTGCCACTATGCAGTGACCCAATACAGCTATTTCTGAGGTAATTTATATGGTCTTTCATCCCAAAGCTGGGGAGTCAAGCATGAGGCCCAAATACTTATACATTCTGACAAAATCAATACTTATATTATCAATTTTAACTTGAGGGTTATCAATGTTCTTACGAGTGAACAGCATGGCCTTAGTTTTTTCTGAGTTCAGTCTGAATCCCCAAGTTTGGGTCCAATTAAACATTAGATTTACTTGTGCCTGTATACAGGCTTGCACTTCTGTCCATTAGCCTATCTTGCACTTGCAGTTCCAACTTCCAGCTAACATACAAAAAGAAGGCTTTCAGGTTCTTTTTGCATTTGTGGTGATATTTTTTTGAAGATTTTTTCTGCGGTGCGACAGCTTTCTTTAGCTTGATTTCGAGCTTTGGCTTATAGGTTGTATTTGTAATCAGCATTGCTACAAGTAAGTAAAGGGATGCATGTCGGAGACGGTACTGACTAAAACCCGGACCCGGACCGGTCCGCCGGACCCGGACCGAGTGACTTATAGAATGTGAGGTGCAGGCTGCCTGCCCCACTGAAAGTAAGTGCGAGGATACCTCCGGGTAATGAGAGATGCAGATTCATTTCCCACTGAAAGTGAGCACAGGAGTCCATCAACTAATTAGAGGATTATATTGTATTGCTCACTGGAGGTCAGTTCACCTTTGACGTTAAGAAAACTAACGTGCAGATTAACAGTAAACTTCCAATGGTTTATTGTTATTACTTTTTTTGTAGACGAGGTCACACTTGGCCAAAACTAAAAAAAACGAATTTACAAGTCAAATGCCCTGCATATCAATTGAAATTTGTAATGCAATTTGATACCGGTACCCTCATTACAGGGTCATCAATATTTAGCGTTACAACTTTGAGTGGTTAGAACTATGAAATGAAACACAATTGTGGATATTTGAAAATGTATTTATGTAGGTAGAGGTTCAGAGATACAATTCACGCAATTTCATTCAATATGTCCGCCATCTGCATCAATAGCGAGTTGTAGACGCTTAGAGAAAGCCTTACACGAGTCACGAATGACACTGCGGGATTTTGGCCCACTCCTTTAGCAGTTTGACCTTTAGGGCGTCCAAACTGTGATGGTGAAAGGTCGAGACCTTGCTCTCAAGGTATGACCAGATCCCAAAATCCAGAGGATTCAGATCGAGTGACGATGGGGGCCATTCATCTTTGGTAATGAAGTGGGGAACATTCTCGGACAGCCACTCCTGAGTCGATTTGCCCCATGGGATGGTGCAGAGTCCTGTTGGAACGACCAGGGGCGTTTTTTGAAGTGCTTTCGTGCCCAGGGCAACAATGCACCAACAAGGATGGCATCTCGATAGTTATTGTTATTCAATTTCACCCCTTTGTCAACAAAAAAGAGGGGACTCCTTGAGGACTCTGTTACGGCTGCCCAGACCATCACTGAGGTCGGGCTTTGCTTCCTAGTCACCACACGGGATCCTTCGTCCCATTCTTCGACCAAATTCGATCATTTTGGGAGTTGAAGTGGTGTTCAACATTGAATATCTTCTCATCACTGAAAACTAGGTTTGGCAAAGTGCCATCATGAATGCGGGTAAGAATAATCTTGGATCTTTGGAGGCGTTTGTCGACAACTTGAGCAGACAGTTGGTATTTTTTGACATGCTTGAATGGGGACAACTTTAGGTCCTTCCGGAGAACAGTCGACAGGGTTTCATACGACACATTTGACTGTTTTGCGAGTGTATTGATTTTGAAAAAAACAATGTAACGCTAAATATTGATGACCCTGTACTTACATTTTATACAGAAAGTATTGACATATAATTCGTTTTTGTTTAGTCAAACCATGCAAATTGTATTCGGATCTGTATTGTATGTTTGTATTGATTAGCGTGAATTGAATGAAGTGCAGTTCTCGCTGCGTGAAGCGACTCGCGTATCATTGATGGTAGTTTAATGGAATATGGGAGCCTTTAATTCACGAGCGTAGACTGTTAACGTTGAGTAAATTTCTGTAAATTAAAATCTGTCTGTTCAAGGATTACCTTTTTGTTTCTAAATTTCAGGTCTGAACACTGATGTACAAACGACTATAGTAGACAATCCTGGTACGTTGGAAAACATGGCAAATCAATCAATACAACCTTTATTTCTGACAAATTAAAAAAATTGTATTATTGCATGATCGTTGACTTTACCTCAGGCTCAATCAAAACCATACAATTTTAAATTAAATATATCTATCTAACTTAAAAATAAACTTATCTCTGCCTATAAGGTAAACACAAAAACCCAGATATCAAAAACATAAGCGACCATTAGCATCAACTATAACTAGCACCAGCAATCGCTGATGCCAACCATAACTAGCCCCACTAACTAGCTTCATTCAGGTTGCCCCAAGCATCTCTTTGGTGCCGGCTGTGCCCAGTGGTGCCCAGACTGCCTCAACTTTGGGAAATGTCACCCTCGCTCTGGGGAATGCGTCTGTGCCCCCGGCACCTACGGGGACCGCTGCCAGCACTGTGAGTGTTGTCACCGAGTGCGTTACTTTATTGTTTGATATCAGGAAGTGATCTCTTAGAGAGATAACTCTANTATTGCTAAATCTTGCTGAATCTTGCTAAATCTTGCAAAAGCTTGCTTAATTTTGCTAAATCTTGCCAAATCTTGCTAAATTTTGTTAAATCTTGCTTAATCTTGCCAAATCTTGCTAAAGCTTGCTAAATCTTGCTAAACCTAGCTAAATCTTGCTTAATCTTGCTAAATCATGCTAAATCTTGCTAAATTTTGCTAAATGCGTGCGGCGTCTTATTTATTAAATCTAATAGAAAACTGCTCACAAAAAATAATTTCAATCAGTAACTTTTGTAGAATTTTGTCTTGGAATCCTGGTCACACCTGGTCTGGGGTGGTCAGGGTTGGTCTCGGAAACGCGGAAATCGGATTTAAAAATGATTTAGCAATTTAGGGAAAATCTTTGGAACGATATAGTAAATTTGAAGGAAACGTTTTTACAGTGCTAGGAAAAGCGAGTGAAAGTTCAAGAGAAATAGAAATGTCATGGTAATAATTTAGGTTTATGTGTGAATGAAAGACGCGTTCATGAAACCATATAGTTTTATTAAAACAAAGAATGCTTAGTTAATTGCTGTATAGAAACTAGCGAATTTATGGTGCAAGACGCGTTTATTTCGTGTACATAGTGAAGCGCATAAAACGGGCTATTAGAAGTGAAATTTTTTTCTGCTTTCGCTTAAGAACGGTTCTGCTGCGAAGCATTTTTGGAAAGCTATGTTAATGAAAACACGAGTAAAATTTCGTGACAACAATTGTGGCTCCAAGAGGAGCCGAGTTCATATTTTAGTAGCCACCTTGCGCGATCAAGTTACTTTGAAGAGGTGTATTTGGTAACAGCCTTGGTGCCTTCTGATACGGCGTGCTTGGCGAGCTCTCCAGGAAGCAGCAGCCTGACGGCGGTCTGAATTTCCCGGGAGGTGATGGTAGTTCTCTTGTTGTACTGAGCCAGACGCGATGCCTCGGTTGCAATGCGTTCAAAAATGTCATTGACGAACGAATTCATGATTGACATGGCCTTGCTCGAGACACCAGTGTCAGGGTGGACTTGCTTCAGTACCTTGTAGATGTAGATGGCGTAGCTCTCACGCCTCTTCTTCTTTTTCTTCTTATCTCCCTTCGTAATAGACTTCTGGGCCTTGCCAGCCTTCTTCGCTGCCTTTCCGGACGTTTTAGGTGCCATCTTTACTCACACTCACAATTCAGTAATTTTGCGTGTGTGTGTGTGTGTGTGTGTGTGTGTGTGTGCGGTGCCACTAGGAAAGAGTGGAAAAGAACAAGAGGTGGCGCAGAGTGGCCAGAAAGAAGAAGGGGAAATGGAAAGGACAGTAGAAGATGAAAAGGCGCATTGCGCATAATTGGGTTGGTTATAGGTTTTGGGGGTTTATTTGGGGTTTTGGGGGGGGGGACCCGTCAGGGCTTTGAATAATTGACATGGAGGTGTGCTGAGAGAATGGAGGTTCTTTATTCACAATATTTAGATTATATGAACACGGTACATATAAAGAAAAATAATGCGTGCTCTCACTAGTTACCGCGTTTTCGTTTTTTTTCATATTTATAGTTTTTCCCTTTTTTGGATTTGCCTCATTTGATATAATGGGAAGATGTGGGGGTGATGATTGTGATGATTGATAATGATAAGGAGTTGCTCGAAAATTAGAGCGATGTTGGGGGTCAGCTGGTTTGTTTTGGACTGGGTTTTTAGTCTCGCATTTTCTGTGCGTCACTCTCGGTGAGTCGCGTCAGTCCTTTAGCGTAATTGAGCCCACGCGCCTGATCGTGATTGGGGACACCCAACGACCAGATGAAAACAGCCCTTCGTATTGTCTTGGATGACGTGGGTTGTCAGTAGGTCAGTATGACCAACAAATGGGAAAGTGGGTCAAACAAGTGCATCGTTATTTGGACTGCGGTTGACTCACCAAAGTGGGTGATTGTATGTGACACAACGCATTTTTCTCATTGTATGTGGAAATCTGCAGCCATCCCCCTTACTCCGGTTTTCGTATTTACTTTGCAGTTACTTGCAACATAAAACACGTGTGGCTTTCATTCAGTTTGGAGTCACGGTGACCATGCTGAATATTTCTAAATTCTCTGCGTTTTTCTTCCTGTTAGGCGGAGTTTGGCAAGGTGCAGTGAAGCCGAGCAGAATTGTGGTTTGTCCTATTTACCCAGAAGCCAAATATTCGGCTTAAAAATTAATGCTTGATTTGATTGCTGAGTGAATACCTTCTCCTGCATGGAGAAGGTATTGATCGTTAAGGTTAGACCATGATTCGTGTTGATGATTATTCATATCGATTTATATACGCTTTATGCTAAAGGAAGAGTCAGTCCGATTTACTATTTCTCTCAAATTCCTAATCGGTTTAACAGGATTCATTACATCACCAGGAGACACCAGGCCGCTGTCACCAGGAGTCAATACACTGCTGTCACCAGTGCCCACTATACCATCATCAACAGCAGCCACAACACCGCTGGTTCCAAGAGCCACTACACCGCCATCACCAGGAGTTATTGCCAGTGCCGTCATGGCAGTGGTGGTGGTCGTGTTGCTGGCCGCGTTTTTGGGGTGAGTGTTCCGAATATTTTCTCTCTGCCGCCTACAGACTATTAGCAATCAGGTGACATGTTAATGACCTAACATTTCAGCAGTAGAAACTATAGTTCATGGTTATAAATTCCTTACTTCATTTAATTTATTTATATATTCATCTTGTGGAATACCTATATAGGAAGTTCTGAACCATCTTCAGCCTCTGCTCGAATATTAATCTTCAAATAATTTGTGCACGATTTATTTACCAAAATAGCAAGAAACTATTCGCTGAACCTCATTTAATGGGTACTTTTTACTCTGTGGTTGCTGTAGCGTACAATTTCTATCAATTTTTAGGGCAAAAATTTCTTCTATTTCTGCTTGACTGATCGCTTCACTTGCAAATTGTGCAAGACCCTTACACTAGCTTCTTCCTTCCTGTCCTCCTCACCCTCCACCATCCACCATCTCAAATAATCGCTGCAATTGCATTTCAAGCCAGCATAAATCAGCTTGATTCTCCACACGTTCTATTGGGTGGTGGTGCTGGGGTCATGTTTGCGGTGGAGAAAAATCTCGGCCATCTGTGGTCTCTCGTCAAGTCATGATAGTTAAATAATTCCTGTAAAAATTCTTGACCTAAATAACAATTCCTGGCCTTGCAAGCGCATCGTTAATTAGTAAATGAACATAACATGATTATTTCTGAGTTTACGAAATCAAGCTCATCACAGCATGTGAGTGCAATGATTCCAAGCTAAGGAGTTGCGGTAAACCTCCTCGCCTTGCTGGTCTTTGGTTGCTCCCCCTTGCTTTTCTACCGAATAGGCATGAACTGTGTACTAATTTTTCAGGGATAAAAAGCAGACAATATTCGCACCAAATTGTATCATTTATCATAAAATTTGATAATTGAAGCCATCGAAGCTTAATTTTTTAAATTGCCAAGGCAAATTTTTGCTCATTACTTTTGATGCTATGTGTGACTTTTATATTTCAGTTGATATGAAATTGCGAAATATATGCTCTACCGATCCTTTCACGCAATCAGCATTTATCAATCAGCCTAAATCAAGTTGATTGTGCTAACTGTGCACGTATTGTGAACTGTGAGTTAACGAATTATGAACACGTATTGTGAATTCGAGTTATCAGTAAGAAAACAACCTATTGGATAATACAGTGAAATAATACAGCAAATACAGTACAGAATTTTTAATACTGTATTGTATAATACT